GCCGGCGTTGTAACATGACATGATACCGCCGATTTTTTTCTCGGTCGAACCTCTTCATTTTCTGATGTTTCAATAATAAATGCACGTTAGTTCTTCCTTGTACATATTAAATGTATGAGGAGTTATAAAAAATAAACATATTATTGTTGTTAGTGCGATTTATAACTTATTAGTTTACATGAGACCTGCAGAATTAAATTTGTTTATAAATTAAATATTTACATAATTCCGAACCCAGTTCACCGGTTATTAATATTCCATTTCTAATAAAGCATTATATTAAATAGAGGCGCGTAAAATTAATAGCCAGTGTAATAGTAATTTAAATTAATCGTGCAGGTAGGTAATACCTATAATAACGCCGACGAACGGTCATTAAATAAACGTTCGTTTTGAAATTAAATTCGAGTCTCTATCCCTTATTTCAAAATATTCATTTACTACTTCAAATGCAAAAGTGCACGTGCCAGCGATTTCCATTTCACCCGTTTTCTCGTCATAGAGAATAGCATCTAATTGCGTTACATTATTGATGTCTTGCCCTGAAAGGGATCTCCAGTCAGGGTAGATTTTCTTTCAAGCCTATATAACTCGGGGTGTTTCTTTCAGAAGACATTTCTGTAAAGAAATTCGAAATAATTGAACACTGAAAAAATTTTGGTACATAATATCAATGAACACCATGTTTTCAACTTGTTTTCATTAGCTCAATAAAATAATACATTAATCCAATAAATTTTCATTCATTAGTTAATGAATTCATTTATTAACTCAATGTTTCTTGTAACATTAATTATTAATGTAAAATTTCATTAACTCAATAACAATTTTTATTAATTCAATGAAATTTAATCATTAATATAATAACCTAGTACATTAAAAGCGAATATTTCAGTTAATGTATTCGATACATTAAATCAAAGTAACTTGTACATTAATATAACGAATTGTTCATTCTTTTAATGAAATTTAATTATTGAACCAAAAACATTAATACATTAGTTCGATAAACCACATTCGTCATTTTTTATGTTGCCCGTACATTGATTCAACAAATTGAGTACATAAATCCTATGTTCGAGTTCATTGAGCCAATGAACGCATATACATCATTAGTTCGATAAAACACATTCGGCATTTTTAATGTTGCCCGTACATTGATTCAACAAATCTAATACATAAATTCTATGTTCGAGTTCATTGAGACAATGAATGCATATACATTGGTTCGATAAACCACATTCGCAATTTTTTATGTAGCCCGTACATTGATTCAACAAACTGGATACGTAAATTCTTGTCTCGAGTTCATTGAGTTAATGAACGCTTTTATTAGGTCAATGAATATCAGTTTGGATTTTGGCAATACACACTAGAGTGCAAATCTATGCCGTTCTATTCTATTAGAAAAAAAGAAATAGATAGAGACGCTTTCGAAAATCGCGTTGACCGTTAACTACCCCTCTTTCTCTCCTGTTATTTCGTGTTGAAGCGTTGAACTGGAAGTGTTCTGTTTAGTTAATTTCGTTTTCGTTTTGTATTATAAGAAGGAAGAAAATTCAAGCGCTGTTGTTTTAAGAGGTAAGCATTTTTTAATTCGGTACACTATAGGTTAATACTTATACATTTTATTTCTAGGATTTAATTTTAAACACAAACGTAAAGCCTAAGGGAGATATAAGTGCAACAACTTCAAGATTCATACAAAATGTGTGTAAGTTTTTATGGTTTTTACTACAACTCATTAAATTATTGGATATATTAAATTTTTAGGCCCCAAAGACATTTGTGAAACGTGCATAAGACTTCTGAAGTTTGAAAATTTATCATCGGAAGAGTTCGACGTATGCAGCATGTATTGGAACTTCGCTTGAGTGACATAAAAAACGCACAAAAATTCAGATGATAAAATGAACTTATTACAAACGACCATCTGGATATAGCTTGGTGAGTACCTTCAATAGTATACCTACCTATACACCGTGCTTCATTCGCGATTGCAACATGAGCATTTCTATGAGTTGAACAAAGAAATATTAGTAAAATAACAGTTGTCAGAGTGAAAAGTTGCAATGACATAATATCATACTGTTTCTTTTTCCTTTACAAGTGTCTAATTGAACTTATCTTTGTTGCACCCATAGCCTATGTTGCAATCTATATACTTACTGGATATGTAGATAGGAATTTACAGTCTACTATATTAACCCATAATTTTTTTTAGATCGATATGGATTTCGCCCCAGCGTATGATGCAAAGAATTTTATGGAATAATTCGAAAATAATTCTTCGAAGATTGACCAGTTTCTTCTAGCAATAATACAAAAAATGTAAATTCGTTAATTTAATAAATCAAATTCATTAATTCAATGTACTGCGTTCATTAATTCAAAAGCTAAAATTCCTTAATTCAATAAAAGAAATTCATTAAACCAAGATCTAAGTTTCATTGATTCTATAAAAGCATTTCATTGATTCTATGAAAGCATTTCATTGAATCAATGTACTACATTTATTAGAAAAAATCTAAAATTTGTTGAATCAGTGTACACCGTTCATTAAACCAATGTAAAATATTACATTGAATTAATGTACTTCTTTATTGGGTCAGCAACTTTAATTCATCGAAACAATGATTTTCATTTCATCATATCAACGAATTATACATCACTTAATGTACCTCTTCATCGCTTAATGAACAAACGTTCATTGATTTAATGAAATCGTTTATTGGACGACTTTTAATGTAAAAATTTCTTGGATTAATGTATTTTTTCATTATCTGCACGTACTTTTTTGGTTCAGTGAAGGCACACCATATGATTTAAATATTAACCATACCTACTACGTGACCAATAACTGCTATTATAAATACAAATTCTAATATTTATTTATCAGTCGAATTAAATGAACTCTGATTTAAAAAAAGGATTTATTCATTTATGTGTGCATTGGTGAGGACAATTTTACCGAGAGAAAAAGCCCGCGATAGGGATCTACGAACCGTTTGAAAGGCAGCAAAACTACCAACCCGTGTGTTATCTGTATCTGTTCCCGAATTCGGGGTTAGACCACAAAAAAAAGTAACAAAATACCGTCCATATTAAAACGACGATGGTAGCGCAGAGATCCTCGATAGGATTGTCGATGTTGTCAGTTGTGTCTTTCTTATCGTTTACGGGGTGTTATTTCGACAGCTTTTGTCACTCGAGCACTATCTAATTGAATGGAAGGCGATTTCATCGCCCCTGAACATCGTTAATTTTAATTATATAATTTTATTCTCGTACGTTATTACTTTTTGTAGGTAAATGTTAGCTCGGATTATTCATTTATTTTTATTTGCCTACGTAGGAATCGGAAGATTAAATTAAGCTTAATTATTCAATGCATTTATTTGTATGGTGCATGATATAAATAATCCAAAAACATTATGACAATTTAAATAAAAATGTTAATATCGCTTCATTTGATAAATTAATTACTCATAAAAATAATAAAATACCCATCAGTATTTCCCTTAAATCTGTTTTTAATGTAATTTAAAAAAAAAATTCAAGCCTATTTTGTGATAATTGCTGTTATAATAAATATAAAAACCGGAATAATTAGGTAATAATACCAAATAAATGAAACTTGATAGCATTTCTGCTTCAATTACCTTCTTGTTTTATTGACCTACTTTTAACAGCGTCCACCAAACTAAACGAAAATACAATAGATTCGTAATAGAATTTAGGGCGTATTCCCTTCTCCTACGGTTTCCATTCTCCCTTACAACCCGGTGCTCGCATTCAAATCATTGTGTACGAAGGAAGAAAATATTATTAATCCAGTTGGTCTGACCCAGCGGTAGATACGGCTAGCATTTCAGAAGGATATTGTATATTGATTTTTTTCAATAACAAACACCAAATATCGACTGCAGAGCGAATAGAAAAAATTCAAAAAAACACGCTTGCTGATCGCATTTTGCTAAGAAAATTCGAGCTTTCTTCGCATGAACGCTTCCAATAGAAACCAATTCGGGTTTGACAGCGAAAATATCCGGGTAACCCACCGCTGGTCGGCGGTGCAGGAGGCGGCTTGGTCCGGCGAAGCGAAACAATCGAGTCTGAAAATAAATTTCCTTTTTCAATTTTCATCCGACGTCAATCTCTTACACTTATTTTCTTCGGCACAGATTTGATTTCATTCGAGTCGGCGGCGATTCCCTTTTGTTGCCTCGTTATTTACGTTTTCGTTGCTTCGACAAATGAGACCGGGGAATAGTCGGCCTCCCGATCCGGATGTTGGTACGCCCGGAATATTATTTCAAACTCGATTATGGTGATGTTCTTCGAAAGGACGGGAATCTAGTTATAACCTAATTAATTCGGACCATATCTAGATCAGATGTAGGTGTACTAATCTTGTTATCAATTTTAACTTTATCCTCTATAGGTAATTTTTATGTTTTGGTGTTACTTTTTTTCTTAGAGCCATAATAAAGCTTTAAAGTATTTTTTAAAAAAAGGAAGCTTTCAAAATGTGTCATATTAAGGTTAAAGTGTCCTTTAAAATTTCAAATGGTTTCATAAACCATTCATTCCCTTTTGGGACAGGTTGCTTCAAAGATATTTTAAACCTGAAAGGGGATATATTATTTAAACTAATCGATGCATTTCAAGTAATAAAAAGAATTATATAAGAAGGTCGATAAGAATAAGAAAGAACCTTAAAAACTCTTCACTATCATTTCTTACAATCACTAAGTAAATATGTAAAAGGTTTTCTACGTTAGATAATGTTTAAAACAAATTTAAAATGACTACGCCTCTGTAATCTACACACTTAAAACTTACATTTATCTTACCTCTAATTCTAAGTACTAATTATCTATAAATAGAATCGGTTTTGTAACAAACATACGTCCCTTCCAACGGTTTGTAAAAAAACCAATAACCCGTACACCTAAGTTGTACCGAGTAGATATAGACAGTTAATAAATTGATATACTTCTAGATAAACACTATTGGCAAATAAACTAAATTAGTATATCTCTTAATTTGGATATCATTTGATAAGTCGGGACGACACCCATTTCATAAAATCAGCACCAGTGCTTCCGAAAAATTACCGCTATGTCGTTTGTCGTTTTCGGTGTTTTGTTTTCAATATTTTGTGGAAACGTATTGAGTGATATTTGTTCCAACAACAGTAAATTCGATTGCGTTTGCAAATCGTTCACAGATCAAATCACCCATCTGCCATTAACGATAGCCGATTGTGGTGATGCAGGAATCGAGACACTTCCTACCGATCTAGGTGAAGATTTGAGTATTCTGGATGTTTCGTCGAACGAAATAGGCAGCTTAGACGCGAAGCTAGCCAGCAAGAGCTTAGTAAAACTAATACTTAGCTACAATAACGTATCAAAAGTGGCAGTTGGTTTCTTCGACAACCTTCCGAATTTGAAATATTTGGATTTGAGTAACAATTTTCTTACTTCCTTTGACAACGCCGAGGTTTTCAAGAAATTACCAAATTTGAGATACTTGGATTTGAGTTACAACAATTTTAAATCGCTACCAGAATTCATATTCAGCCCTTTAAAGGAATTGAGACGGTTACACTTGAGCTACAATGACTTGGGGGAGTATTTAATGCCAAATAAAGCTGTGTTAGGCGATGTGCTAGGAGTTACACCGAATTTAACGCATTTAGATTTAAGCGGTTTGGGTTTAAAGGAACTTCACACAACATACTTCGATCATTTCGTTGAATTGAAAACGTTGAGTTTAGAAGATAACAATTTAACCACGATTCCGACGATACCTTACACCATAGAATTCTTGGATCTTTCCGGAAACAGGCTTACCGTTATCTCTGCGAAATACCTCAATTACCATTCCTTGAAAGTACTCAAATTGAACAGAATGAATACCTTGACCTCCATACACCACTACGCTTTCTACAATTTGGTTTCTTTGGAAAAATTGTACATCACAGATTGCGCTAATTTAAAAGAATTCAGCGATCTAGCTTTTGACGACGCTTCCAAAGACATCCATCATCATCCAAAATTTCTCTCACTAGCCAGAAACGGACTGGAATCGCTGAATGAAACGTACAAATACTTCTTCAAGAGAATGGAACACATCGATTTGATCCACAATCCGTGGAACTGCGACTGCAATATTCTGTGGCTCAAGGATTTCGCGCAGGAATTGAACAGACCGCACGAATTAAGGTAAGTCCTGAGCGAATGATTTATTAAAAAAATATACGAAGAGGCTTAATGATTGAGTTTTTTAGGTGTAGTTATCCAGACCAATTAAAGCACAAGAAAATACTAGACCTCGAACCGTCCGATTTGAAGGATTGTTTTCCAGCGATTTACGGGAAGAAAAGCCATAGGGCATTAATTGTGGTGTTAGCAGTAGCTTGTGTAACACTCTGCGGTTTGATATTTTACCTACTGAGGTACCCTGTGAATGGTTTTGCTGGCAGACATAGAATAGGGCCAAATTCGCCTTACGTTTCTGCACCGACCACTGAACCTATTTAAATTTTACTCATATTGAAGATATACCTATTCCTGATAAAATAACTGAGGATAGATGCCATAACATATGATTGTCTATCTACAGGATGGTAGAATATAACAGTCAAAGTTTAACAACCAAATAACTACTTACTGAAAAAGTTCAAAATAGCTCTCCTGTAAAATTTTATAAATTCGACATCTCATATCACGTTATGACATCTACCCAAATACAAATAGATTGTAGGCTGTAGGTTGTAAATATTTCATAAGTTTATTCTAAAATATAGGAAAATGTTAGAATGTGATTTTAATAATCTTTCTTTGTTCCACTCACAGAATTGAACATTTTGCAAACAAATTTCCACTTACCCATCTTTATATTATTATAGGTAATATAGTTTGTGTAATAAAGGGATATGTAAAGTTTATTTCTTACACTTTTGTATTTGTTTGTATCATAATGTAGTGTTTAAATAAAAAGCCAAATTCGGTACATTCATTTATTAACCACACTTTTATAAAAATCTTATAAAAAAAATCAAATTTTTCTACAGTATATCCACATTTCAAAATACTAATTTTTATTGTGTATAAATAGATGTACGAGGTTATATTGTAATGTTTCGGTATAATAAGTAATCCTATTAAATCTTTTTGGTTACAATGATTACATTTATAGTTGTAAAAGTAAGAGTATTAATTAACATGAATGTGTATAAATTTCATGCGTTTATATATTTAAATATATGTTTTATATAAAAAAGAATCAATCTTTTAAGTACAATTATCTATAAACTGTGTTTATTCGGAATTTAATATAGAAACACCTAGAGTACAAAACATGGCAGTAGCTTTAAAAGCAAAAAGTACGTTTTAGAAGATCCAGATGGTAATGCTACAGTATTAAAAATATGTTCAATATATTTATAAAAATTTTAATGTGTGCATTTCGTTAATTTTACTTTTGTGCGTCTGTAAACCTGGTTCTTCTAACGAATGAGATTCAATTCTTCATGTAAATAATATCAAAAATTGAGCAGCACAGACATTTATATGAGTAGTAATGTTCAAAAAATTATATAAAAACGTTATACTATAAATACTAAAGTCTATATTTTTCCTTAATTTCTAAATTGCATATCGATATTAAGAGTAACGTGAGAAAAACTACTAATTGTAAGTACATATTCAATTAAAACAAGGCAATTCAAAAAATGAAAGAAAGGAAATTGACACGAAAAGATTTATCCATTACATCTGCTTCACTGAAAAAAAGGAATGTTTAGGAACCGGTATAAAAAAGAATACAAAACCTGAGTCATAAGAGTAAAATACTGGAAGAAACATTTTAGTGACAACAATCTCTAGAGAGCGAAATAAATTTGTGCTACTTATATTTTAGCTACCTAGCAAAATCACACCTATATTATTTGTTTATACAAAACAAGTTACACACAAACTACCAAAAGGGCACTTCGATCTCACTTATGACAATAATAAAAACGCTAACAGTACGATGAAATTAAAAAAAAGTATAGATATGCTTATCAAATCAGTCTGTCGCAAGACCTGGAATACTCTATAGGTCATACGGAGGTTTCAGAATTTAATCTCAATACAAATTTGTTGCTCTTCGGATCGACGACCTCCTCGGTTATATTGAAATGAGGTAATTTTCTAATATTGCACAACAGCGACACGTCGTTCTGTCTTAACTGGAAGAACACTCCGTCGCCGATGGGTCTCGTTAAAATTTCTTCGCAAATCAAAGCCCACGTTTGCACGTCCTTCTTTTCCTTTTCATTTTGCAACACCGGCTTGCTCACCAAGTACGGCTCGAGGAACGCTTTCGGCGTTAAATCGTTGCTCAAGCAAGTCGCCAAGTGGTTCAAAATACTCTCGACAGAATGCCTGGGTTGTTGTCTGGTCACTCTCAGATACTTCTGCAACGCCCTAGCCATAGAGGGAAATATCGCTTGAGCCGCCTCGTGGGGATCCATTGGTATAGACGACACTTGGTCGTTGTGCAAACGCTTGATGTGAGTGAAAGCCTCCTCTGCGGCTGTGATCAACCTCGCCCTGCGCTTCTTCACTCTCCTTTCGTACTCGTGCTCTTCGTAGAACCTCTCGTTGTGGCTGGAATCGCGTCTTCTAGCGTGCGCAGCCAGCATAGCTCTCGACTGGGATTGCTGTATTTGAGAACTGTTGATACCGTCTACCTCGTAGAATTTAAAACTGGAGGAAGTCTTCCTGGATTTGGACACCGGTATGCGCTCCAAATAGGGATTGTAAATGGGAAATTCGGTGTAATATTTTTCCAGCACCCAAACGGCCGCTCTTTGAATACTTAACTGGCCAATGCCGAATGCACTGCTAGCACCATCGGGACTCCTGACAATCTTTATGTAGTACATGGGTTGCAAATGTCTTATTTCAACTAAAACTACTGCTAAATAATGAATAAATAAAAGAGTGTCCGTCAGGCTCGAGGCGTAGGCTACTAAAGCTTTATAGTCGACAGTTTCTTCGGGAGTCGTGGCCGCTCTGGCAGTTTCAGTTACTTGAACAATATAAAAAAGCCAATAGGCCAAAGTGCATACCATAATAACGACCAAGATACCAGTTCTGAATAAAAAGAATCTCGGTAATGTTGCTTGAGATTTCCGCAAAAACACCGCCCAAGCGCCGATAGCCAGTATAGCTATCTTAAAAGCTAAGGATACCAGCTGACCTTTACATTCAGCACCGCAAGCCAGCAATTTTGAGCTATCGGCGAGTCCTACTCTTAGAGATAGATCGGGAAAGAAACCTAATTTAGGCAAAACGACCATTGCAATGGGACTCAAAAAAGCCATAAGGGATAAGACATATGTTACTGTGGTTGATATGTATCTCTGGCACATGAAGCCTAAACCTGTGTCAGGTTCACCGGGCCAATTGCAAACATCTTCGGCCGATCCAGACTGGTCAGAGGTATTTCCTGTAATAGCAGTGGTATTTTCTCCCCAGTTATCATCTTGAGGGAGGATTTGGACTTCTATCACTTCTTGTCCGTCTCTGTTATCGGGCGTTAGGGTCACTGCAGTCTGAAAAGGGGCCATGTCGTCGTTTCTTCTTGATCTACTGCTCCTACAAAAGTAATATGTATTTTTTATAAACAATTACGATATTATAAATGATCAATTCATGAATTGAATAAGTGTAAAAAGGAGTTTACCTTGTACTACGATGAGAATGATGTCTGTAATTACTGCTTCTATCTCTGTGGCTTCTTGATCGTCTTGACTTAGAGCTATTTTCCGATTTTACTGATTCAGTCTCCATATTATTTCTAGCAGTCTCATTGCCCATGAGTTAGTTCGTCAGGTTTGATCTGAAATAATTGTCGTAATTATTTGAAGAGAAAAATACATGCTAGCTAATGCCTACCTTGTCACGTAACTGTACAATTAAAGGGCAATGCGCCCCATACATTCAACCGAATGTTGCATACCATTGCAATTTAGAAGCAACGTTTATAATTATTCACATAACGACTATAAACAATAATTTTTATCAGAAAAATCGTAAGGAACCGTATTTATCATAAAAAAACTAGACGCCAAAGTTATCTATTTTCAATAAAACTGTCAATGTCAAAGTTCATCTTCTTTCGTATAAACCAATACTATATGTACTTCTACTTTTCGGTTTTTCATAAAATTCCAACTTTATGTCAAATGTCGATGTTACTGTCATTGTCAAAGTCAACTGTCTTTTTGTCTCCATTTAATTGCAATTGTCAGATTACCAAAATTTAAATTATTTAGAAATGGCAAGCCACTCAAAGAAAAAAACGTTAAAAGGACCTACTCCTGAAGAAATTGTGAACGGGTTTCAAAATTTAAGGGCCGAACAGAGAGCTTTGACAAGTAAACTTTCAGAAATCGAGTTAGATTTGAACGAACACAAGTAAGTGCCTCATGTGCTTTATTTTATTGCGATACCGCTTAATGGACCTTCATTTAATTCGTACATTCTTGCCTAACATCGGATTTGTTGTAATAAGCTAACTCTCCATTAAAAAACACTTGAAAATAAGTTATATTTTGCATGTCATACATCTAACCTTAAATTGGATTTCGTAGGATGGTTATTGAAACTTTAAAAAATGTCAATGAAGACAGAAAATGTTTTCGAGTTATTGGAGGAATACTGACCGAGAGGAAAGTGAAAGACATTCTCCCAGTGCTAGTAACGAATCAGGAAAAGCTCAAGGAACTGATTGATAAACTTCATGAACAAATTACCAAAAAAGGACAAGAGATCAATGATTACAGGGAAAAACATAACATCAGATTTAGGGGTTTGGAAAATCCCAAGCAAGACGAGCCCATAACTTCCACTGAAGCTAGAGGAAATGTCCTGGTCTCTTAATAAACGGAATTTGAATCAAGATTTTTGTTAATTTATTTTCATATTGCATTGAAAGTATATTTTCACTTCACTTTCGCAAGCATTGTAAATTATGATACTACTTGTAATATTAAATAACCTCATTTTTTAAAAATTAGATGTTGCTTTTAGTTTAAATATACAACTTTTTGATTAAAACTCTAATTTGTTTCGTAACATTTTTTATTACAAACTTCGTATGCAGTAAATTAATAAATAGATATATAGAATACAAAAATATATTTTTAAGTAAAATTCTGAGTATTAAAAATAATTGCACTTAATATACAGCTCTCATGTTTATTTTGAACGCCATTTCTATTAAATTTTGAGGAATCCCATCTCTATAACAAACGTACAATTCCTTCGGATGCGGCATGTAAAATAGTCTCCTAAAAATTAGTAAAATGAGTATACAGAGTGTCCCACATAAGAACCGATAAAAAGCGGCAGCGTTTGTAACGTATACCAAATTTGGTTGTTTTAAGTTTGAGTATTTCTGAGATACTATTTTTTATTTGTAATCACTTGAATTGTCTCTAACTTCTCAGGAATGTAACTTTGGATTAAGTTGGGCTAAACAACATATTTTGGGTTCCCCTAATCGCCCCTGCTCTGTGTTGGTTCTTATGCAGGACACCCTGTATTAAAAGAGTATACTACTAAACGTACCCTAAAACCCAATATTTGATTTTACTCTTTTTTCCATCTTCGTCCAAAAACGGGCATTCGAACAAAATTCCATGTTCTTTTATTGCTACCAAGCTCTTGTTCATAACAGACGTAGCGATATCTTGTGGAGGCATATTCTTAAACAAATCGAAATGATTCAACATATAATACTAAATTAATTAAAGATCCAATACCTTAAACCTGACTGTATTCTGGAAGAGCGAGTGTATTTTAAGAGATATCCTTCTGAAGCAATTTATAATAAAATTGTACGTCGGAGTTGGATATTTGGACTCAGGTGGACACAACAAAATTCCTTGGCTCAGATCTAATTGAACGTAGTGGTACAAAATATTTTCGGGTCCAGTCGTCAGTCGAGGAGGTTGAAAATCGTCTATTTCTGATAATATGTACTGACGCATTTCTGAGACATCGAAACTCGCCACGCTAATGTGACTTCCTTCCTACAAATCATCTCTCAATATACCCGAATTTAACATCAGATAACGACTCACCCCGTATTCATCAGTATCAGACTCTTCGTCGAATGAATCGTATTTCAAATCTTTCTTGAAATTTCTCCTCGAGTCGTCGCTAATTTCACTGTAACCGCCTTGACTTCCGGACTCTTCCGATTGCCCGTCTAAAGAGTCTTCTTGCGAATTCAAAGAAAGTTGCGGAATGACGTTCATATCGACGCTTCGTTTCTTCAAAATCGATGTTACCTCGCTCTTTTTAGGCAAATTTGTAAGATCCTAAATTTAAATTGTTAATAAATCAATAAACAATGTATTAAACTAAAGCGCCTACTTTTATAGAACTCGACCCAGTCCTCGAAAAATTTAACAGGTCGCTTCTTCGTTTGTTGTATTGAGGGAAAGGTTTGATTATTTGCGGATGAGGCTCCAACGTTAGGAGTCGTTCGGCCAATTCGCTCAAGCCGAGCTCCTGAAAATGCGCCAAAGTCGCCTGAGCTTCTTCCACGTAAAAGGCATCCGGTCCCATGTTACCCTCGGCCGGTTCCGTACAACCTCCAGCTTCCATTATTACAGCCAAAATGTCCTAACAAAATTTACTCGAACGAATCAAATCACGCTGGTCTAAACTGGTAATCTTACCTTGCCGCTTTCAACAACGAGCAGATACCTTTTCCCGCTCGGTATCTTAATGGATGAGTTCTGGATTCTGCAAGAAGAGGGAAACACTTCTTTCCAGAGCACCAGAGATTTAACCGGCTCCGTTTTGGACAGATGAAACAACCCTTGGTGTTTACAAAAGCAAAATACGTCTATCAGATCTTCGTGCATAAAGTGAGTGGCTAAAAGGTATCCCGCATGAAAAATTGCGCTGCCCAAAATCGTAAACAGTCTCTGACAATCTAATGGTTCTTCATTCTGAAAGGAATATTACCTGTAATCTCTATCGAAATATTGTAATAATGAAATTGCTCAAGAGGCTGAAGAGGGCAACTAGGAAGAATGACTTATACGCAGTGACAAAAAGTACCCAGAAAATTTGAATAAAACGAAAAATTCCTAATCTTCTTTAATTTTTTCTCTTTAATAAACTTAAATAAACTCACCCAATCCCTGTAGTCGCTGGCTTCTAGCTCAGAAAGGGCGTCATCTATCTGGATTTGAGCTTCGTAAGGCAAACACAAGCTGGGAGCCACAGGCATGGCGTCTTCGAACTGGGGATGGCATTTCTTTAATTCGGCATTTTCTAACGCTTGAAACTGTTCGGCAGTGCTCCACTGACCATCGCTTAGCGATCTCGCGAATAACTTGAAAAAGAAATGGCTTACTTGAGGAAGGTACTTTTCAGACGTGAAGCAATTATCTAAATTTTCGTACGAAAACTGAAGGAACCGTATTATTTCGTTGTTTATTAACAATATCTCCTCTTTGGAAGCTTTGTTGTCAGGCAGCATTAAAAGCAGTATTTTTTTGTTAAAATTAGTAAATACCACATTAGCTAATTGCCCGTGACATTTTAAAGAAGACACTTTGGGTCTGCTCTTAGTTAAGTCAAACAACAAGTGGTTGATTGTAATGAACATCCCACGGGACGTGGCCAGTAAGTTCTTCTGCGCAGGTTTCGGAAAGCAATACACGACATCCTCGTAATTCTGATTGCTCTCCTTCAAATTATCCATATTTATGTACACCACTCCGACGGGCTGGCCGCACAGAAGCTGGCTCAAATTATGCTCCTCTTCCGATCTCGAATTCAACAATTCCCTCACGAAATCCGATTCGATATTGAGCTCGTTGATAGGCGGATCCTTCGTTACTTCCACACCAGCGACTCTTTGCAGTTTCAGCAGCACGTCATCTCTGTTGATGAATTTTTGAAGTATGTCGTCTAAATTCTGCACGTTGACCTCTATGTTGTTGATGCTTTTCAACCAATCTCCTATTTTGATGTTTCTTTCTTGGCGGGCTTTGCTGTCGTAACAAAAGCCCGCTATCATCACTCTGTTTCCATCAGATAATGTGCTTACAATTAGACCCAGTAAGGACTCTGCTAGAGATTTATCACTGCTTAAATTGTGCCTGTTTTCCGCGTCTATTTCCAACATAACTTCCTTTTCTTCACCTAAAAAATTTAGCGATTAAAAAAGGGTTTCGGGTGACTCGTAATGAAACATAAATGATTGGTAATAACTAACTACCTTCTTGAAGCTCTTGGAACTTCACTTTGGAAGTATTCGTGTCGCTTAAATCTATAGATTTTTGATTCTTTTTGCTTTTCCTTCGACTATCCCTTCTTCTCAACAACTTCAAGAATTTTCCTCTCGTACTACGCCTCAAGTTGGTTCTAGCCAGCGGTTCGGAGACTGTGTTCTTCATTTTAGTATCCTTGTTTTGAACTACGAAGGGATGGCATTCGATATACAAAAGCTCCCCTGTAAAATCGTCGACGTAAGGTTCCCATTCCGGAATCGTGCTGAAGTCATTTAAATAGTATTATTTCGATGAGATAGTAATCGAACGTAAGCTTACCTATCCGAGCCCGAACAAGAACTGCTACTAGAATCGTCCGTCCATTCTTCGTCTGTTACAGTGGTGGTGCTCCCGCTGCTATTCAACGCTGCATTGTGACCCTCCAATAGCTTCTGAGTCTCCATTCTCTCCTCTAACTTGTTCATTTTAAGTATTACAAGCACCTAAGGATATTTTTAGTCGATTATCAGTCTTGGAATAGTTGCGATCTGGTTGTTTCTCGTGGTTCCTATTACAAATTGCGCGAGGAAAGTTTAAATTTCGTAATAATTGTAAACATTATTTTGACTTTTCGGTACAATAACCTACAAATAAATTAATAGGTATATGTAATGTTGGTTGCATATTTGCAGTGACATGTTTGACAAGTTGTACAAAGGATTTGTGTGTTTTATGTTGCATAATCATGGATATTAAACTGTCAAGGAATAATTATTTACTTTTATTGGATTGTTATTGTTCCAGTAGTTATATTTATCACAAAAGACTAGAGAAGGCATACAAATGAATTTAAAAATATTAACTTCATTATAATATTGTCAGTGTCAGGTAATAAGTAAGTAAGGTTTCATCATGTTGCAAGTGTCTGTAAATAATCCTTGGTGATTTCTATTCGGTTATACAGGGTGATTTGTTATTAGTATGTAATTGATATTCGGATATAAAATATTTTGAAATGTTAAAGGCGTTATTCAAGTTATTGGTATAAAATCGCGAAAGCCCACCTAGTGATTAAAAAATCATTAATAATCTAATAACTATGTACCTATTAACTATGGCACGTATCACTATTAAATGCTAGAATTAAAATGTGGAAAACAATATATTTACAACACTTTAATCGCTTAACGCTATTTAAAAATTTATTTGGTTAAAATTTTTCCCAATTGATTATAACCATTATACATATTATTTGAAGATTACAAAAATAATTTTCCACTATCGGCTCGGTGACCTTTCGCTTCGTTGCGGATAAGCGACATAAATTTATGCATCGGTTCCTCGGATGAACTTTGTTTTTTGTTGTTCCGCTAAATCGAAAACTTCAGGAAAGCGCATGCCTTTGTGGAAACTCCGCGATCGATTCGATAATAAGGAGTGGAGTCGTAGTATTAGTCACATGCCGCAAGCGGCAGAAGGTAGATAAACTGGCCATCGTCATGTCGAAGACAACGTTAGTTATTTTATTGCCGATTTAAACTAAGTTAATTCAGCGAGGTTTCGAAGTCGAATCAATTAAAATAGCACAAAACTATGGCGTACGCCAACGCGGCGCTGAAAACTCCGACCATCCTAGAGCAACTTCTCGAAGAAATCAACTTCCAGAGGACAAAAGAGATGAGGCAACTTTTGAAGGATGGTGAGAGTTTGTTTTTGTTCCTTTGTTAACTATTAGTACTCTTACATCAGTCACTGAACTTTGTTGTTCGTAAGTAATTGCGTTATATACTAGGTATTTGTTATCTTTCCAGAATCTGGATTTGTTATGCTACAGGGAACTACTTATTGGACAGATTTGTTCGTAAGGCACTTCCTGTTCCAAAACGAATCAACTATGGATTGCGATGATTTACTGTTCTTCGTCAGGAAGAAGCATGTGAAAGGATCTCCGAGATATTTACCCAAATTTGAGGTAAACAAAAGTACATTTATTATCTGTAAACAATTACTTTGTAATGCTTCAAAAATCGTTACCATACCATGTCGATAATTTTATTGGTTTTTATAAAATAACAAATTGAAGAAAACCTAAAATCTCCTGTATATGCAAATAATACACTGTCTACTTTTCAACCAAACAATTCTCTTAGGTTTTTCAACTCTTTGTATAAACTCTATTATATTTCGATTCATAGACGGAAGTGGATGTATTCAGAAAAGACAGCAGGAAGCTACCGATCGGCGATCCGGACATCGACTGGGAGGAAACCGTTTACCTGAACCTGATCATCCACCAATTCGAATACACTTTGACCCTGGCCATTTGCACTCGTACCAGCCCTAAGGAGCTCCAGGTGCTGAAGCGACACTCGCAGAAGGTCTACGCCTCGCCCAGTCGCCGAAGAATGGACACCAAAGGAGAGGTCGAGGAGATCACCTATCCCCACATTTGTTTCATGGTAAATTGTGAAAGTAAACCTCCGAAGGGCGTGATGTGGACTTGTATTGTTCTTTCAGGTGGACAATTTCGACGAGGTGTTCCACGATATACTGGTAAGAGACGGTGAAATGGTGTGCGTTGAATTACTAGCGGCTGATAGAGCTGGTAGTATACAAGGTGTTATTTTCCTGGGTTCAATTCGATACGACGCACTGAAGAGAGTTTACGATGCAAGGGTAAGAATTGGCTAGTCTACTTCGTGGTACTTAATGCTTTTTTCAAACCTTCTTTCTTTCCTTACTGTTATCAATTTAAATAAAGAATTTTTGGATTGACCTCTTGACCAATTATAATAGTTCCATCGAAGAACAAGAACTGGGAGAAATGTAGATTTGTATTGCAGCAATCGAGCCTGAGCACGAAAGTGGCACAACGAATGACGTTCGGCTTGTTCTCCTCGCCGACGAGCCAACGGTGCGAATTCGTTCGAATGAAAGGCCCCCAAGGCAAAGGCCACGCCGAAATGGCAGTGACGAAGACCAAAGGCTCCGGCGTGGAGACGCCCACCTCGGAGCCGGGCTACTGCGCCACCGATATGTGGGATTCGGATTGGGAGGACGATCCCGAGGACCTGTACATATACAGGACCCAAAGGCGGCTCAGCGATCCCAGTTCGAATTTGAACAACTTCATTCGCGGCGGTTGGAAGTCCAAGTTGGACGTCAAGGCTAGATCGGAGAGCGAAGGATTAGATGCTATCGATAACGGAGTGAGCGAAATCGAAGCCGGAGATTTACGAGATGGTAATTAATTTTTTTTTCATTAAAGTTAAAATTGGTGTTGTGTGAATCTTGTTGAGTGGCTACAGGAAAATGAATCCTTCAGCATGTCGGAATTTTTTGTAGTTATCAGTTAAAGTATCAATTAAATCGACTTTATCAACCGTCTCTCATCTTATCGCATTTTCATTAACAATAAAATAAGTAAGTAAAATTAAAGGCTATTAACCAGTGCTTGAATGAGCGTAATAACAAAATTGGTAATTATTAAGAATTGGATGTAGAAGCAGAAAGAAGGAATAGTAATAATAATAAGCTATAGTAAACTAAATAATTAATTTCCCATTTGCAAACAAATTTTCTTCACTTAGAAAACGCTTAGCTTAGACATTTGTTGTTAGAAACTTGTAAAACCAAACTTGTTTAACGAATGTTTTCATTGTTGTAGATAAGACTGGTTCTGCTTCCGCGTCCAATTCGACATGCTGTGGGTGTTTTCAAAGAAGAAATCGTGAAGCGCTGCTCGAAATGTACAGTTTGCGGTGCAGCGATCACCGAAAGTGCGCCGAGCGAGCTCGCCTGGGGCCCGCCGACCACGATTGTGCCTTGGCGAACGCCAAAATTAAGGAAACCCATCGAAACGCTAACTACGCCGAATGCGAGCTAGCCGACGATGCGATCAGTTTCGACAAGAAACGGCCGGGCGATTGCCCGGTCGCGAATTACGATCACGCCAAAAATTTGTACATAACAGTCAGCGGGAAGGAGGAGCTTCCTTGCATCCACGAAATCAAGTATTTCATGTCAGACAATAACAAGGAAATGAAAAATATTTGTACTGAGAAACACGATGTTGGGGCGGACAAGGAGCGCGCCGCGTCCATCAAAACGGTCAACGGCAACGTGAATCACTTCAACATGAAGAGCATTTACAGCTATTGCACTTTGCCGAAGAGCAAGAGAAAGGAATGTTGCCAGAAAAATTTAGCGAGACATATCATTCCACCGAAACGCATCACTCCCGATGGCACTCACATTTATTATTGGTGCGATTTGAACAAAAAGGATTGTGGTAAGAGGAATCATCAACTAGATAACCCTCAGAAAAATCAGTAGCAAATATTAAATTCACCAATTTTTTATAGATCAAGTACTAATGTTAATTTGTTTAATTTTAGAGTTAGATGATGGTGCGTATAATCCTTTGTGGACGATGCGCGGTTTCACGCAAACTTTCCACTTTTGGAAAGAGAATAAAAGAGCGCAATCGGTTCCTTTGAATGCGTTTTTAACGTACATAACACTGCCGTGGTGGAGTATAGCTAAAGGTGGGCATTTTACAAAAACTTATTTTAACTGATATCAAAAAAATTAGATCTTATAACACTTCCCATTTCAGATATATTGGACCACAGAGAGGGGCCTATACTAACATTTTAATATTTAAAGCATGTACTTCAACGAAACGTATTTTAATTATATTGTAAAATTAAAAATAAATTGTATATATTTACGAAAACTTGTTAAATTCAATTATACATAATTAGAATTTGTTCTAATGGTATAGGAGAACGTGTTACGATGGTGAGATGTTAAAACGATAGAATTGATACCTAATTGTGGAAACATTTATTAGTAAATTAATTAAATCTACGTTAATCGCGAAGTATGAATATGACAAATAGCTAAAAGTTGAAAAAAATTAACCCATTAACCGATTACATAAAATCCTTCGTCTTAACACTAACTACAATGCGACTGAAGTCAATAATAATGCATTTATAAACCTAACGTATTACATACCTACGGTATTTCGAAATAAACATTAAAGCATTTTGAATTACATCAAGTATAAAAAAAACTTAATTAAATTAAAATTAATAAAAAAACGTTGTGTTAAAAGTTTGCTTGTTAATTGATGAGACCCTTGGCCTTGAAGAGATCGCGCATTAACCCTTTCAAATACTTAATCTCCCGGTGCAAGTCGGTAATTTGATTGGTCAACTGGTTGTTCTTGTCTGCCATACCCTGCTCAATCAAAAGAATCTCCATACATTCGGCCTTCTTCTTCATGCGGTACCGAGTCGCAGCGTTCTTGTTCTGCTCCTTCTTACGCACCTTCTTGTCTTCGACGTTGGTCTTGGTACTCTTGGTGGAAGGCCTCGAACGTTTGCGCGACTGCTTGATAGCAGGCGCGCCGAATTCCTCGATCGTTTCGGGAACCCACTCGGGATCGTCCGACGAGCAATCCTCGCTGGTACTACCGGGCGATAGAGGACCGCCACAGTCGCTGCTGCTGCCGATGCTACTGCTGCTGCTGCTGCTGCCTTGCATATCCTCCACGCGCGTCCTCACCAACTCGTCCACTTCGGCCAGCGCGTGAGCGATGTCGGGATTAACGGAACCATATTGAATTTGCTCAGTTATGGCGTAGTTTTGTTGAGGAGTATAAACGGGTTTGATGGTAGGTACTATAGCGGGATATTGAAGAAGGGGCTCCAAGGTGGTGAGTAAAGGCTGTTGACTGGGAGGGCTCTGTGGCGGTGTTAGCGTATCGTGGGTAAATTCAACCGCGTCGTATACGGTTTCAAACTCTTTGAGGAGATATTGCGTGTTGTTGTTGGCGTATTCTGATTTGAGCTCGGTGACGGAGACGGGAACGGCTCTGGCTGAATCCACATCTTCGAACATCGGCAGTATTTTTTCATCGAGTAGAAAAGGTTCTGAAAAAATTAATAGGCAAATACGTTTTTAAAAATTTTAAGTTAATTTCTTCGGATTTGAAGATAGATTTACAAAATGTTAATTCACCAAGATGCGGAAGTGAAAGTTGTTTACCAATACATATATGCATAAAAAATTGACGCATAGATTGGATGTGGAAAATGGACCAATCAATATATTTAGCAATTTACAATAAATTTCTAATATTATGTAGATATAATAACAAAATATATTTCGACCTTCTCAATCTATTTAATATCAGATAACAGATCTACCTCAATAAAATGTGAAATGCAAAATATTTACGTTATTATTTATTGCTAATTCGATATGTATCGATTCTTTTCGGTAGTAGACGTAAGATATAATTTATAATCAATAATCTTGATGATAATACCAGTTTAAAAAATTTTTCAAGTAAAAGTTTATGCATAGCCAGTAATTACTTAATCTCAATATGTCCTTAATATTTATCAATTAACAATCACGTGCTGTGAGCGTGAATGCAATTTTATTTCAGGGAGTTAATGAAGAATTCTGTAGCGAGAAATGGGTTAAAAATGTAGTATTAAAAAATTTAATCAGAAATATATTAAATCCCTTTGTAAATCGCCAAAAATTCTATTTTTAAAAGCAAATACGGCAGGTATGGGAAAGTACAAGTACAATGGCTTATACAAATTTATTTATCATTTGAAGATTGCGTCGGTTACGACTACAAGTATTCCTGTACCGCTGCATGACAGTTTGCTCGTAGATCACAGGCGAAAAACAAAGGTTAATATACAACAAATCTGTTGAATTTAAACAAATTTAAATCATCCAAGACATTACATGTATATCTTTTCTAAACAAAGCCACCAGAAGCATTTAACTTTGATAAACTGTCCTCGTTAATTTATTTATCAGTTAAATATTTTTTTAATTTAATAACTTTGATTTGTAACAGAACAAAGTACCAACCGATAGGCAGATAGAAAATATGTACTAATTTAAAACTTGAAATTTATTAACGAATTTAATGAAGTATGTCTATAGATTATACTTACATAATTAATTAAGCATTGTCTGATAGATAGTTTACATACTTTGAATCTAAGTTTTTAGATCGAAAAATTACAGAATAATTCAAGAAAATACAAAATTATATTTCTTGCTAAATACCACATTTTTAATATTTTTGCTAACAGGTATGGAAGAATAATTGCTTCTTATCTATTACGCCAGTTAATCCAAGATTTATTGAGAAATAAGCCTACAATTTTATTAATAGACTTCTTAAATCTGGGACGCCTTATGCTAATTGTTCTATTGACTGCAAAATCAATTTAATTGATTGTTGATACATTTTCATAAGCATCTGGCAGAAGAAAAGATTAATAGAATTTGATGTATGTACCTAAGTTATATTGAAGCAGGGTGTGGTTATCGTACAAATATTTGCCCTTTTTCATATAAAATCGATGATCCGGGCACCGATGTATTGGACATTTATACGCGTATATGAAAACGATAATTTAAGCAATAACTAATATGTATACAGCAGTGTTATACATAAATAAAGTAGATCAATTAAATTACTATTAGTAGTATTCGAAACCCACACATTCCAAAGAGTTTAGAATCGAAAAAAGTGTATCAAAACTGATAGTGAAACTGGTAATTAAATAATTACATTTTCATAATCAAATACTAAGAAATTTGTGACTGAGATTTGGGGCTTTACTTATAACGTGGGAATTTTATTTTCCTTTTATTACGGTTTATCAAAAATTATGAACTCAAACAATTATTATTATTGATTATCAATTCTACTTTAATATGTATGTATGTATTTCCAATGTCCCACCTAAAATATCCTCAGAATAAATTTAAACACGTAAACTTCATGAATATTCTTGAATTATCACCAAAAAAGTTAAAATTGCAGACTTGATTTTTTCTGATTAAAAATAGCTTTTCTAAGTCTTCAAGAAGTTCATAAAAAAGCGAGGTGTCGAGTTGAATAGCGCATAAATATTCGTAATTAAATCAGTGTAACGTTTGGTTGAAAACCTCGCAATATATTTAAGACCTTGATGGTTATTGGCAAATTATTAGATTATCTATCTATCAAATCGACAATGAACTTTTTTGGCGCTAAAATCCACATTGTATTAAGTTACAATGCACTAATTAGGTGAAAACAGTATCGCCTTTTGTACAACACAATCTGTTTGCCCGATACAACAGGGTAAACAAGCGAGTCGATAAAGACCTACCGAAGCAATCAGCCATATTAAAGATCGTCCAGGGTCCACAATACAATCAAACTTTAAACAAAACGTTAAGAATCTGTCCGATGTAAACATAAACAAGCGATCGTCGTGAAGGGTGGCTTTGGTGGTATCTCTACGGCAGTCCTTTCAACGTCTTTTAACAAGTTTCTGCGAGTTGAAGATGATTTCTCTATTCCAAGTATAATGGTAAGTGCACTTCATGCTAACATACTCGGGAATGATCATGGGAACGGTTCTTCATTAGTTAATTGAAAACGCGAAATGTTGGATTTGTATGGGCAAAGCGAGGGAAAACTGCACAATATGGGCTATAGGCAAACCACGCGTTTAACTCGAGGTTTCACTTTTTATTTCACTGAACGATTATTATCGAAGCCGCGTTTTCGAACCGAACGATTAAGACAGTCAGTGGCGACTGTGCGATAGGCGTCCCTCAAGGTTCCTCTTGCCCCACTACTCTGATTACAATTATTTATACGTATCCATGTGATCAGTTGTACAATAAATAACGTTGCCGTAGATAGATAAATAATTGGACATGGTGTTTTCATTTTATGAAAGACTTTTGAATATATTACAAGCGGCTGGGCTTGCGTTCATGGATTAATCGGTGATGCGTGCAAGGCAAAAAATTTGATTTCAATATGCCCTATTTGCCAGCGAATAACTTTGTTCAGAACTGGTATAGGTGGAGAAATTTCAGATTATTACTTTGCCTGAGTTAATACGATATTCTTTTTTCTTTCATGTGAATGAATAATTTCTTCGGTCCTAAGCTTATTTATTTTTCTGTAATACATTTATTCGAGTTTTTGGGTATTTTATTACAAAGTTCACTTTGTACATGAGAAGATTTTTTATCAGTATATCTAATCATTGGTTTAAAATTCTCCTTACCTGCTGAAATGAGCCTTTACTACTGATTTCATTGATAATCTCTACATTCTGTTCTATTTTTATTTCAAAAAATATTTGTCTCCACCTACTAGACTAGACGTTAATTGAAGCGCTAACAAAAAATTAGCAGGAAATGCTTTTTATGCATAAATTTTGGCTTGAAAAATTATTCTCATAAGATTGTTGATTGTTTGCTCAATCTTTTTACTTGACCCTAATGCCTTCAAAAATAATTCTGATAGCGAAAGTTCAAGACAAGCAACCTCTTATTCTATAAAAAGACCTTAGTCCGTTTTACCCGCAAATGTGTATAAAAAAATATGCCTATGGATAACATTGATATACCGAGTTACTAACGATACCATCCTATAATTCTAAAAATAATTTTTGAAATTTTTGATGTCAGAGTTTTTTAAAGAAATGTAGCCTCTGTACAGGTGTATTGAAAATTGTAATTTATTTAGCACATCAAATTAAAAAAATATATCAGTAGCATCAATCATTGTAGCGCCCGAAACGTTTAATAACAAAACAACTAATGGTATGAAAATAAATAATAATAATAAACGAAGCATTGACTACATCACGGCAGTTCAACGCATAAATTGAATTTGTATTAATTCAGATAACATACCAGTCACACCCAATAATTTGCGCTTTGAAAAAATATTAGTAGAAAGCAAAACCAGTAGGTACATTTTCCTAGTTATCAGCAGCTAATTGACATCGATAGATTAATTCCGCCTTCCAGAATTTCAAAGAAATTGTATATAAGTGAATTTTGTCAATACATTTTATTAATAATGCGAGGATTTTTGTATCCTTTGTATGAAAATTATACGTGAAATAATCTTTAATTACTTAAAATGTATAGGTATTGATAAATTATTGAATTACTTTATTTTTATGTAATATGTCAATTTGATAAAGAGATAAGGAAACTCTAAGAATATGAACTAAGTATCAATATAGGCTTTAAATGCAACGGAATCGTTCCTTTTATCTCCTGATAGACATAGATTCCTCCAATAGAACGCGCTTGTTCCTGGAACCTGTTCGAAACAACAGTAACTTACCATCCTTGATTAGCTCATCCAAATCCATGAGGTTCTCCAGGTTCTCGAGCAGGTGCGAGGCGACTTCGGCTTTGGATTCGAAGTTCGCGATATCATCAAGGTTGGCGTCCACATCGAATTTGATGTCTATGGCTTCGAAGGGCGTCGCATTGTAGATGGTGGCGTCGAGGAGCGCCGCCTCATCGCACTCAGAAAGAGGCGAAGCGGGCTCCTGTTTCCATAGCAGTACAGAGCTCATTGTTGGCGAGTACGGTACTGCTTAGTGGCGAAAGATTTTTCGATAAGATAGCTTGCTTTGGTGCCGAAACGGCGTTGTAAGACAAAGGTGCCATGGTGGCGCTGAAAATAAACGGAAAACGTGAATAAACAAGTAATATGTATAAAAAGAATCCTGCTCCTATGTTCCCAGTTATGATAACTTTGAAATAAACTTGAAAACAATATTTTTGGATAGAGAATGAAGAGACCTTTTAAACGATATATCAAAAGCCTATACTTCCTACATAAAAAATCGGGGTTGTTAACTGTTCTTCGAAGGGTAATAATGGTAGTAACTATTTTCACGTTGAACAATGTCAATTTATAATTTAAATTTGACATGTTGATAAGTGATTAACTGCTTCTATTTTCTATATGAGACTAATGGAAGTTGTCTTTGTTGAATCCATAGATGGTATACCACTTTGCACTTATCTGTATATCTATGTAAATATAGGGAGTGTAAAATAATAGTAGAAATTTTAGGTGTGGGAATTTAAGCATTGTTTAAGTGTGTAGTGGAATCACCCTGTAGTTGAGTACCTGTTACAAAAAAAACCTAGGTCAATTATTTATAAACTGTCAATGCAGGGTCGAACATTGATTGTAGTAATATTTGTAAGTGAATGTATGAACGAATGTTAGTTTCTTGAAAATTTCTCTTTATATAAACTTGTTTTGTAAGCAACCTAGATAATCGAAAACACGAGGAAGTCATGCTATATTGCTGGTGAGTTGGAAGCAACGTTACAAAATCATTACAAAATTATTAGAATACTGTTCACATCGACACCAAACATTCTAAAATTTAATTAATCAATTAGTAATAATAACAAAACATATGTCGTTTAGATTCAAAATTTGACAACGTTGCCACTAAAAAACGTCATTGGTATTTAGGATGGAGCGTGAAACTTTCGATTCCAGTGACCCGGGGAAATTGATTTAAATCAAACAGAAACTAATAAATGTAAAACGAAAACTTACTTCATTATTACTTATTTGTTAGGCACACTTGCGTGTGCAAGAGCTTAAACCGCTAGAAACCCATTTCTTCTCTCTAAAAAACCTGGCGAAAAATACAACACACTTTACCTATCCATTGATGAAACGAAAATGGCCGAATTCTGACAGCTCAACCGAATTAAGACATCAAGGTGACTATACTTCCGAGGTCTGATCAAATCGATTCGATCATCATCGGGCTTAAACTCGGTTTGGTGAATGTAGATGAATCGACAAGACGTTGAAATGCATTATAAACGAAAACAACTTCTTTTTGACGCGTTACCAGGTAATAAACGGTTTGGGTTACCTGCTGACGTCATTAAAGAAATTACTTGAGCACACCTTGGAAGTTTGAATACCTGGGACTAGTGCATGCGCGCCTTCTCCGTATTTAGATAAATAAAGTTTCACATTGCACATTCTCAGGAATCTCAGGTTGTTGTTTCAATTTACAGGGCGATTCAACTATATATTTCAAATTTTATTTAAATCGGATAAGTAGTTTAATAATTCCTATATACGGAGAGTTTTAACTCGTCGTGAGACACCCTGTATACTCGAATACCTGTTATCAACTAACACATTTTATAAAGACAATAATAAGATAAAACATTTTATACTAAGTGTAACATAAATCATTTTATTTCTTAAAAATAATACATAAATATTCTTGCGATTGCTAATTTTAAAACAATATCGAATTTATTACAAAACTAATATTTTACAAGTATAAAATTCAAACTACAACGAATCGTTTGGAAATAGAACTTTAATAAATTGAATTATGATTTTTTTATTATAGGCAAGTCCCAAAGAACCTTTGCCTCCAGCCCATCTAGTTTTAATTTCAATGAAATTGCTGGCCCCCAATAAGAAATTCATTTCGATTAGTTTGTTCCAGGATTTAACGTGCAAATGGGTTTTTTTAGAATCTGCATCGGAGAACAGTTCCGGTCCTTCCTTCACAATTACTGCAGCCACTTGCTTGAAATCCGCCCGCTTGGATGAAATGTCTTTACAATTGATGATGCAATTGATTAAACTATTACAAAAACTATTCAGAATAATACCCATATTTTCGTTGTAGACAGGATGGGATAAAATAGTACACCAAGACGTTTTCAGACGTTTTAGTTCTTTGAAGCAATCTAGAAAGTTTGTTTTAATTGAAGAGTTTCCATTGTATTCACCGAAACATTTCATTGTTTTGTCGATTTTATCTATCTCACTATTGACCACTTTACTTAAACGTTCCAATCCAACTTGTCTTATATGATTAATTTCACAAATGAAGGCTTTAAAGATTGCACGAGCAGATGATTGTTTTTTCCAAAGCGACAATTTGTCACTGATATAAAAGCAATTATTATAAAATAATGCTGATTGACTTTCTGAAATGTTTCCTTGATAATGAGACACAAACAGGACATAATTGCTAATAATTTTTTTACAAGTTAAAGTAATTTGAGAGACAACAATTGGATCGGAACTGGATGTAGCTATTTTAAAAATTTCTTCTAATTTCTTGATCAATATAACCGCATGTACAGACACTTTATATGATAGAGATTCTTCAGTCATTTTTGCTTCTTTTATTATTGTTGTATCTCCTACATCATTCTTTATAATGTCAGTGCATTGCAACATGTAGAACTCGCATTTCTTCTGTATGAATAGGGAATCAATATTCATCATAAATGCTTCGAGGGTCGTGTACACCGAAAAAAATTCGTTGGTATTCATTTCTACCATCAGAACATTTACATTCTTAATGAAAGTTTTCAATAAACTTTCGTCAAAAGGTATAGCCGGAACTAAACAATTATTTTTAATCAATTCCGATAAATTATCACCTATTTGCGAATCAATGTACTTTACTGTGGTTGATTTCATTTGACCATTTCTTAGAGAAAAATTAAAATATTTACTCAAGTATTGCACTACAGTCTGTAGGTTGGAGATTATTTGTTCATATGTAGATTCTGGAGTGGGATCGATAACGCATAATTTCAGCTCGGAATAATCATAGTCAGATGTATTTACTTCAACTTGAATTACTTTGTTTTCAACGATGGGTAGGAAGAAATTGGTATACAAAAATTTAGTAAAAACATTCAAGGCTGATAGCTGCGACTTTTTGTAAGACATAACTTGTAATATTTCGTCTATAGAATCACTATTGTTGCTAATTTTGATAATGGCAGTGTTTTTACTATTGGAAGTGAACACCATTTTATCAAATGAAGAAATTAATTGCTCTATAAGACGAAAGTGGAGAGCCCTTATGTCTATTCTCATACTATTCATGAAGCTTTCTATTTCTTTATAGTCTTCAGGAATTGAAGTAATAAGATTTTCCATTTCCAATATTCCTTCCATGCACAATTGAAAATCTTTCTCATGTAAAAAAAACGTGGATTCTTCAAGTTTATCATGAATCTTCAAAATACTGCCCATTGTCGTCAACTTCAAATTATTGGTTTCCAAGTTTTGTATATTTTTTGAAATAACTACATTACTCATTGCCCTCTCATTTGTGAGGCTCTTATTATATTCCATTAACTTTTTAATTGTTTCCGTTACATCTGAGTAACTAGTTTTTATTAACTTGGACGACTTACGTGCTCTCTTATTGTATACATCATCAAAATAAAGGAATAATTTGCTCTCGAGATCGTCCACAACTAGTTTTAATTTCGGTACTTCTCGATTAATTTCTTCGATTTTTGCACGTTTGTCAGAATCCAAAACTGCAGATAGGAAACTCGCTTTTGCCTAAAAGAATTGAATTATTTGCGGTAATCGCAATATTTTTAATACTAACCATTTTATATCCAAGACAAAAGTTTTGACCTCAAAATACTCTGCCCTTTCTTGATGGTTGTGAATATAAAGAAAATAAGTTGTTTTTATATTTTGTTTATGGTTTTAAATAAAATAACCGTTTCTTTAAAATGACAGTTTTGACATTTAATTTGACATTTGACAAGTGTCTCCTACCAACGTTATGCACCAAAATACGATGATTTTGTCAAAATCAAAAAATATCAAGGCCTAATGGACTATTGAAAATAAAAGAAGAAGTAAATGTAAATGTCAGATCGTCAGATGTCAGGGTAGTTGAATGAGGTTATGATTTCTTTTTTTTAAGTAAAATTTTGTAAGAATTTCTGAATTATTTTGATTATATCGATATGTAGTTTTTAAGAAGATATCATATAATCAAGTATGTCAGGTATAGGTGTCAGGGAGGAACATACTGAACCGTCACCATCTAAAAGCCGTCGAAAAGATTCCTATATGGCTTCAGGAGACAATAATAGCTACAACGAATCCTGCCAGATTATGGTTAGTTGTATTACTAATATTTAAAGACAACGATTGAGATTAGTTTCGTGACCTCATGTTAATTTAACTAATCAAGAATCAACTTTTTTTAGGTCGATAATTCTAACAATATTCTTAAGGTTTTAAAGAATTTGTATTCGGAAAAAGATATGTGTGATGTATTCCTAATGGTCGGATATAAGGAATACGGTGCTCACAAGATTATATTATGTGCATCAAGTGATGTATTTAAGGTATGTAGTTAAAACTGTTAAGAAATACATTTAGAAAAATATAACCGTAGGTCATGTTAATGAGACCAGAATGGTCAGAATGGCACGAAAGTAGAGTAGAATTACAAGAAATGTCAATATGTGAGCCAGTCTTTTCAATATTCCTGGAGTACTTTTATACTGGAAAAATTATGATTACACACACTAATGTTATGCCAATTTTAGCATTAGCTGATAAATATATTGTTAAGGTAAGATCTTACACCACATGTCGTGTACTTAAAAAGTGTAGTTTATTTGATTGTAGAGTTTAACAAGAATATGCTTGTCGTACATGTGCAAACATGTTCCTCATGCTGCTCATCACAATCAACTATTTTCATGGTTACAGTACAGTACAGCCTGCGGTCACAGTAATGTATTTGAAATTTGCCAAAACTACATAAAATGGAACTTTGAGTCCGTAGCCAACACGCCTGATTTCAGCAATTTTGATATTAACATGTTTACAAAAATATTAGAACAAAACGATATAGTGGTGCACAATGAAATGGTCCTTTACAATTGTGTTGTACGTTGGCTTGAACTACAACATATTAAATTATTCCAACAGAGTTTCTCATCTAAATGCGTAAACGAAGAATTCAAGCTATTGATTGAAAACATTATGAAGTATATCAGATTTCCTATGATGACGCCGAGAGAACTTGCAGATCTTCTGCTGTCTCCCGTTATTCAACAACACAAAGAATTTTTCGTCGAACGAATGGCCGTTGGCATGAAATATCATTCCGGCATTATTTCATTTGATAACATTACAGAAGAGGAGAAATTGTTGTTTACGCCTCGCTTGTACACCTCCGACAGCTGCAGCGCTTTATTGACAATAGAAAATTTTTTCAGTATTCCCAGTTATAACATAAGTACGTTCGTTTTCTCGTCGTATCTCTCGGCCGCTGAACACGAGTCTCACAAAATTATCGAATGGATGGTGGACCTGTACCCAAAAGGAGTGTGGTTCAAGAAATTCTTACTAATAGTGTGGCAAGGCACGCTGGAAGTTCCGGAGGAGATTTTGCGAACTGTTCGATTGTCTCTAACGTGCCGCGAATTGTGCGAATCGAATATGCGCGTAAAAATATCTGTTTTAATATATGGACTACAGGGCGGAGTCGAACATGTGATGGAAGTTAAAGAAACTATTCATCATTTTAATAACGAGGAAAGAACTGTTAATTTGGACAATTTAATTCCGTTTGATGAATTAAATAGGTCTGCCGTTGCACACGATAAAAATGAGACAATGTACCTCGTTGGACCTAACAGGGACACGCTAAAAATAAATCTAGTTATTGCTCCCATTAAATAAACTTTGGGATTTATTTAAAAATGGTGATATTTTATTAATAAAGTGATGTTTGTTGTGACAATTTTTGTATATGTTTATTAATATAATTCCTTTGAGGTATTTGAGAAAAAAAATTTAATTAGTTGTATTATTTCCAAATAAAGAGTTCTTTTTACTTATTATAAAAATGAATTTTTTATTCACTGTAAAAATCAAACTTCAATGAAAAGTCTTTTTGACAAATATAGTTTACATATTTTATACAAATGATTTGGTATGTTACATTTTGTGCCCAGTTTTTTAACTTTTATTTTACCTTTCATATACGCACGACCCGAAGGAATTATTCTACCATATAAAGATAACAAAATTTTAGAATATTGTAAGTCTTCAGAAAATGCATTTTATAAGAAAAATATTATTCAGAGCCCTTGGTACTTATTTCTTTTGATACTATTAGTCTGTATTTTTCTCCTAATATTTTTAGGTAAGTAGAATTTTACAAACATTTCCTAATAAAATTCGGTCGTTTCGTTGTAGGATTAATTAAAGGATTGCTAGGTTTGTGTTCAAAATCAATAGGTGAATTAGGATTAGGACTGTTGGTAGATTTGCCGAAACCCATAGATAAATACAGAGAAAAATCATTACTGAATATCCCAGTGCAATATGATATAGAAGGATGGCCGATACATCCTTATGAGAATGAAAGAAGCGTAAGGGTTTTTTCGGTGTAAGTTTTACTGTGTATTTTTTAATAAACTTCACTTCATTTATCTGGAATCTGAAAAATATTTTCAGGAAAACCGAATTTTGCTTGAACGTTATATTTTTCTTGGCGTGTCCTCTTGCTCTCTGCATACATTTATGCAAATTATGTTGCGAAAAACCGGATACGGATGAATACAAGAAGGGTTGCTTCTGTAACGTCAGTATGCTGAAGATGAATGAACGATTGAAGAAGAAGAGAAAGGTAAGTAAATTATTATTTCGCAGCGTTGCCATTGCGATGAATTTGCATTCTTAAAAGAGTAATCACCATATTTTAGGGAGGCTACAAGTCCGTTCGACACGTAGATATTTACGATGATAACGATAGAAATGAAGACGAGGACACAAAATACGTTATAAACCAAATGCGGCATAGCCAGCTATCACTTCAGAAAGGTTTTTAACTAAAAATTCTATATTATATAAACCATTATATTAAATACGAGATTAACCAGATCTAAAGAACGTAAAAAAAAATAAATTCACCAACGCGAGCCACCACCACGACTGCGTCCTCCTCCGTATCCTCCACCATGTCCTCCTCCGTATCCTCCACCATGTCCTCCTCCATATCTTCCTCCGCCGAATCCACTTTCTCTTTCCTTATCTCTTTTTTCCTTCCAAACAGCAAATCTCTTAGCCATGTCATAGATTTCTTCAGGTACATACTATTAACAACAATGCAATAACTACATTTTACAATTAAGTTCAATAATTTTATTACCTGTTGCGCTTCCTCGAGAATACTGATAAGTTCCTTTGCTTGTGCCCAATTGGCTCGGGTGAAATAACTTATGCTTTCGCCAAATTTGCCAGCTCTTCCTGTTCTTCCCACCCTATGAACATATTCCTCGACGTTTTTAGGAAAGTCGTAATTTACGACATGGCTAAAAATTAGCAAGATTAATACTTTAGATTTTAAAATATTTAAAATTACACACGTAATATCATCAATGTCCAATCCTCTGGAAGCGAGATCGGTAGCAATCAGTATTTGCACGGTACCGTCGGCGATATCTAACAAGGCCTGTTCTCTATCCGCCTGATCCCGATCACCGTGCATTGTTTGGCAATTTAAACCGGATAAAATTAGCTCGGTGGCCAATTCATCGGCTCGGGCTTTCTTTCCACAAAACACGATCACTTTCTGTTCGGGACTCAAGTTCTTAGCGAATTCCATAAACTACAAAAAGAGATAGATTAATGGTAAAAAGCTTAGAAGTATCATGGAAATTGTGATTTTTTCTAGTCACTACCAATTTCTAATCTGATCTTGTAATAGAGGGTTTTTCAAGGTAGTTCATTGGAACTTTTAGGAGTTCCTGAAGTGTTACAAATCTGAAAATTTAGGAGTAAAGTATAGTCTATGTTGAACCATATGACATCCAGTTATACCGAAACTGGATATCAATTTCGTTATTTCAAATGAAAAGTGCCATAATTGGATTCTGTGGCCCTTTATAACCAATCTTTCCAGCGACGGATACCACGAAAAACCCTGCATACCACATTACATACCGTTTCTAGCTTTGCGTCGTCATCATCAGGTAAAATCTGAATAGTTTGTGTAACGGTGTGAGTTGCGGCTAGATCCAACGTTCCTACGTATATCTGAACGGGATCGTTCATGTAAGACTCCGCCAATCGTCTAACTCCCGGAGGCCACGTTGCGCTGGTCATCACAGTATGTCTGGTCGGTCTGATCGTGTACATCACTTTACGTATCTGCGGTTCGAATCCCATGTCCAGCATACGATCCGCTTCATCTAATACTGTATAAGTAACGCTTTTTACATCTAAGTGGCCTGAAATGTTGGTTGATTTTAGCAAGAACATATTGCATGTAATAGGAGTAGCTAAAATTTACCTGCTGCAACTAAATCGTTCATTCTTCCTGGTGTGGCGATAACAATATCTACGCCTTCCGTTACGGTTTTGACTTGTTCGCGACGATTTCCTCCGCCGTAAATACAAACACTAAATAAATACGCATTAGAAGTAATCATTCCTTCAGTATCTACATTCAAAGAATATTTTGAAATAACTCTGAACGTATATTTTAAACTCTGCTTCAAATTATTTTATCATGCTTACGATGTGATATTTTTGTATTGATATTTCTTGATTTCCTTATCAATCTGCAAAGCTAATTCTCTTGTCGGTGCCATTATTAAAACAGCAGGTCCGCCTCTTTCTTCTCGCGGAGTTGTCTGGCCATCGATGTGAATCAAAGCAGGTAGAAGAAAAGCCAATGTTTTACCTATCAAAAGTGTATTAGATAACTTCTAATTGTAAAGTAATCTAAAAATTATTTACCAGTTCCAGTTTGAGCGATTCCAATTAAATCCTCACCGCTCAAGAGCACAGGCCAAGCTTGTGCTTGAATGGGAGAGGGTTTTTCAAATCCAGCCTTCCTAATTTCCTCCAATATATCCGGAAACTGATGAAAAGCGTGGTGAAATTCAGGACATGGTTTTGGTATTGGCTTACTATCCGGCTTTTGGAATGTTCTGTCGACTACAATATTGTTATTTTCCTCTCGAAAACGTGCAACCTCATTCTCAGTCATTTTAGTGACGGCGGGATGTTCTCGATAGAAATCTTTGATGACTGGAGGATATTTATCCCATTCCGCATTTTCCGCATCTTGGCATTCTTTGAGAAAAGCAGCCCAGTCGGTAATCACTGGTTGTTTTACTGGTTCTTTGTGAAGGTCCTTAGCCTCTACGAATCTGATGGTATCAGCAGTTACATCCTTTATCAAAGCCTTTGCTTTGGCTATTGTCTCGTCAGTCCCGAATATTTTTACATCGGTGTCATTTCCATCGCTGTCTTTAGTCACTTGAATCCTCGCACCCGATTCCGTCTGCAATTCGGCTATTTTTGAACCACCACGACCTGTTTCAACCCAATTAATTATTAATCATTTCATCATTAAATAGGAAACTTACCAATCACTCGGCCAACTCTGTGCGAAGGTACTTTAATTACTTCGCATTTGTCGTTTCTCCCTTGATTGGGATTTCTCCAGTTATTGTCTCGCCTGGGTTTGAATTCGCCGCGATCTCTGTTGTACTGGCGATCGTTTTGGCCTCTTGATTGGTAATTGTTCGATGCGAATGAAGAAGTCGTCGGTGTTCCATCGTCCCAACTGTCATCGTCCCTCGAGGAATCGTGATTCCACACGTGCGGTTGGGCTACCACTACAGGGGCGTTATCGTCCCAGTCGTCGCACATTTCGTTTAATAAATGCAAGTGCTCGAAGTTACTTAGAAGTCTCTTTCTAAATCTATGGTATGTTAATAGAATGTAGAATGATTAAATCGATAAAGCATACGCACACTTTTTTTTTGTTTGCCGGTACTTGAAAAAACCATAAAACAAAATTTACTGCTTCACAATTCGACGTTTATAAACTAAAGAAAGTTAGGTTATTGATATTTAGAGGAAGAAGATTATTAGTAGGGAAGAAGGCATCTTACTTTACTTGACGATAGCCTTCAATTAAAATGTGTAATTATAGCTGGTTATTGAACAGAGCAAGACCAAATTGTTTTCGAGTTCTAAAAAAAGAAGAAGAAAAACATTTTATTTTGAAACAAAATTTGAATTTATTTTCGTCTAAATAGAAAATAAATCCAGATTTAAGTTCTTAAATGTGTAATTACTTGACAGTATAATGTGCCTGAATAATGAAACAGCAAGAAAGGAACAGTAAGTTTCTAAACTTTTATTTATTTATTTATTAAGATTTTTTTTAAATGGGTCCAATAATGACCCCCTTAAATATTAACATGTCATTATGGAACAGCCTGTATATTTTTGCGGGTTTCGGTTGTACCACCAATTTAGGCTAAAATTTAATAAAACTAAAATGTACAAAACCAAGTCTGAAACAAACCTTCTTTACTTTACTAAAATTATAATAAACTAAGACTTAACACATCATGAGGTAGTTAATAATCATTTTTAATGAATCTATATTAAGTAATTAGCGTAGAAAATATAATATATTGTAGAAATTACTATAAACTAAATAAACTACTTACAATTTAATTTAAAATAATAAAATTAAATATTATATTAGATAAATTTTAAAAAATATATATTTCTAGAATGAGCGCAGCTCAATTATGTGTGGTAAATTACCAAAACAATTCGCTATCTTAAGTGTTTTTGAGCTGCTCCCATCTATTTCATACAAATCGAATACCTATAATTATATTATTAGAATATATTTTCATAAAATATCGCAACGCTGTACAAAATTATAAAGCATTTTTTAACGACGTACTCAATATAAGTCTAAGCAATGAGTCCAAAAACAAAATAATGTAATTAATTTGATTTTTGCTCTCTTGTCATTTTTATTTGACTGCCTCCGGTGGACAATCGGGCTGGTTACTCGGATGGGCGGCTCTAAAAGCCGGGTGGTTCTCGAGTTCTCTATCGATTCGTAAAATTATGGGATAAGGCCTGAGGTCGACGTGGAATCTTCTAGCATTGAAAACTTGCGGAACGAGACAACAGTCGGCGATGGTGATTTCATCACCGACGCAGTACTTGCCGGCGCTCGATGCCAGTAATTTTTCCACTGCTTTGAAACCCCTTTTGATCCAATGTTTCGCCCATTCGTCTTTTTTCTCCTCGCCCACCATTATAAGAACAGTCAAATTCTGAAGGGGTTGTATGCTCGAGGCTATCACTTCGCAAATTTCTCTTACCTGTGAAAAATGTTTCATTTTATTCACCATTTCTTTATAAGTTTCGACGATTACCTTGGCTCTTTTGATGCAATCGTTAGGCATCAGAGGCCTGTGGGGTCTGGTTTCTTCCAAGTACTGCAAAATATTTAGCGATTCTATGAGGGTTGCACCATCAATATGCAAAGCAGGGACCTGTTCCATCGGATTGATTTCCCTGTATTCATTGCTGTGTTGCTCCCCTCCAGCTTTTATCAAAGAAACCGGTTTGATCTCGTAGGGGATTTCTTTCAAATTCAAGGCTAAAAAAATGAAGATGCGTGAATGGCAAATCATTGTCTTACTTGTTCTCATGGTTTCTATAGCAAAAATATCAACGTTTAAAACTGTGTGAAATTTTTGCAGATTTTTAACTCGAGGTATTAAAATATGTTCATTAGATTGATTGTTTTGTGTACTTACGCACCTATTCGAACTCTCCAAGTGCAGGAGCTTCTCCAGTACGAATATAAAACTGTCTGAAAAAAAAATCGAAATTATTTTGGTCAATTTTGCTGGTAGTTAAGTTGAAATTGGTTTATTTTATTTATTATTCATGTTTGTGGCACCAAGCAGATTGGTTTAAAGTACCAAGGTGTCGAAAAAGAGATTGATATTCTTGAACTATCTTATGAAAGAAGTTTTTCAGTTTTTTGGTCATATCTTTTAATAGGAATATTTGGAATAGAAAAATTTATTCTCTTTGTCAATAAGGCTAGAGTAGATAAAGTAGCTATTTTGAAAGGCTATATTTTTTTTAATCTGAGATTTTAGTTTGCAAAATGTTTTTCTTATTCTTATTGCAATGATTGCAGTTTCCCAAATATACTTTAAATTATCAATGTTTTCTTACACATAACTGTTATTTTGGTTATGAAATGTTTAAAGTGAACAATTTTAAAAGATAATTGCAATTATTATGACGAAAATTCATAAAATAAAAAGCCTTTTTATCATTTGAGAAAAGGATTTATTTCCAAATTTTTTTGTTAAATTTACGGTTTCGCCGCAAAAAGTTTTTTTTTATTTCCCAAAAATAATAAAGTTCATTGGAATTTTATCCTTTTTCCAATCACCCATTCGATTATAAAAAAACTTTCACGCAAAATTTTAATTATTTTTTAAATCTATTTTCTAATTTACCTTGTATATTATGTACCGAGAATATAAAAGATTTATTTTAGTTTTGATTATTTTCTCAAATTATAATTAATGACAAACAGCTATACATAATATAATTATCCAAATATTTATCAATAATATATTATTTTGTAAAGTCCCAGTTATTGAAGATAAGGTAATGTCAATAGATAGCATTCAAGAGAAATTATTCATATGCACTTATACATATATTTTTGTATTTAGAATTTTTTAAAAAATCCAGCCGAGAAAAATTTATTATTTAATAAATTCTCATTATCAAATTAACAACATCAAGGTTATTATTGAAAATTAAAAAAAGTAATTATTTCTAACAATATATTCTACAATATTTGATGAATCATAAATAATACATATAATTATCGTGTCAACAAAATTTGAATTTTTGAAAATTCTAATTAAAAATTTGCCACGAAAATTAAGCACATCAACAAGATTAATGCAATAAAATTACCACAATACGTACCTTTCCAATCGGGGACGTCATTGTTCAACAAATCTCTCACAACTGAACCGCTACAACAAATAAATTTAAACAAATAATAAGATTGGATAACCTTTCAACTATTTCCACCTAAAATGCCGCAACACGACCGACATCGCACCGTTCGTTCGCGGCTCTGCGTCGGATCACAATTTCGCAAAATCTCCAACGTCGAAGGATAATCGAGTTTTTCTCAGATGAAACTGGTTCTCTTTGAAAGCGAAACGGCTTCGTATATTTTTTGCACATTATTATGCGTACTGGTCATCTCGTCAATTATTCCATGCAAATACTGTCCATTCTCTACCAGTTCCACACGTGGTGGTATCGATTTTGCTCATGCACCTACGAGGGTCGCAGAAAATATTCACCATCCAAATTCGCTCGCAAATTACATTAGAATTTTTATAAAAGTTTTTGTTTTTGCAATTATTTTTACTTTCAATACTATTGCTTGATCGGTATTGGAGTATTTCTAGTAGGGAATAAAACGCTTTGTTACAGATATATTCAGTCATTTTTTAAAAAATAAAATTTTAATAAAATTTTTACAAACGATAACAATTAACAATCAATTTCTTAAGAGAAATACTTTTATAGTAATGATCCAGTGCGGAATGGAACGATAGGTGACTAATACCCAATAAGTAAAAATAAATAAAATGCTCGATATTCTTGTAAAAATGTAAAATAAATATTTCTGTATGATAATCGAAAGGGGCTAAGTGGCTTATATCACAGCACGTTACCATTGTTATACGTATTTCATAAATTTTAATTAGTTTTAATCCCGATTTTGTGAATTATCCAGGGCATATTCATCCAAAGTTAGGTGATTCCCACGTCTCTAATGGCTTAATGGTTCAAATAAAAAAAAGAATGGAAACGAATGGATGTGGAAGATGAAATGAGGTAATATGAATAATAACGTTGTATGGCACTATGATTTTATTGAAATTTAATGTGTTTTAACAATATTTTTTATATATATTTATATATTATGTATATACCCAGACTAACTACTCTTCAACTGCCACTAACAAATGATAAAATGGAAAATATACATCAATAACGTCAGCAGTGTCAAAATAACAATTTTTGGAATCTTATTCCTTTTTACAGCACTTTTCAATCACAAGTAAAAAATCATATCACTATTGTTACAATGACTAATAAAATTGTTAAAATCGACATAAATCAATATGAATAATCGTTAACTATTGCTGGTGGACAGTTTTAACGTGAAAATAATCGACTATTATTTGGATAAATCGCTATTAGAACAAAAACCACTGCTCAATTCCAAATAGTATTATCTCAATTTAGATCAAAGCAAAAAAAGAATAAAACAAAATGAATTATATCACACATTTCTATTTGACCCGTGTCGAGTATTAATTGACTTTTTTAAATTCATCACTCGAGAAAATACATTATATATTTAGCATAATTAATTTTATTGTCACTATCTGCAGTAATAATTCTGGATTAATTTCTCAAAGGGGACTCAATTATATAAACTGCAAAGGCCGGTTTGCTTTTGTAACTTTTCCTCCAGGCCCAAAAAAATCAAGCCAAACATAAGGCTTTATGATGGGTTCGTTTAAAAAACGAAGTTTTCAGCAATATGAAGGGGAAAGAACAAAAGAATATTTTTAGCAGTGCAATAAGGATAGTTGCAGAAACGTTGCAGTTGAATGTACCAAGAACAATAATAATGCAAAAAGGAATTTACTTATTGAAAAGGTGTGTTTGGCGTTTTATTGCTCTTTAAGTCTCCCTTATAATTACGTATGTTATGTAATTATAGTGATAACAATTGACGTTGTGTACTGGTAAATTCCGATCTTCTTTCGTGAATGAGAGTTCAAATTTTGATGAATTTAAATTAGCCTTATCAATAACTATTGGTAAGCAATAGATCTGTTGGTTAACCTTATATAAAACGTTTATATACGTTTCTAACTAGTAATATGACCAGTCAACATTTCACATATATCTTTAGTGTATATAGGCCATTTGTGTGTAATAAATTAGTAACTTGTACAGCATGAGTTTAGAAATTTTACGCACATATTTCGAAAGTTGTACTTACAAAAGCTTTCAACTTAAATTAAACAGTATGTGTATCAAATAACGTATATAAGTAATGTAATGTAATAAAATTTCCGGTAATTTTCCCATGCCATACGACAACAACGCTTTTTACAATGCGATAAAATCTATCCAAACAAAAATATTTTTTATAAACATATTTAAATTTATACACATCTAAATAAACATATTACACTTATATAAAAATAAAATATATTTTATAATTAACAGTTTTTTGACGTAAAATTGTATGTACTCGTATAAAATAAAAATAATGTAACTGGGTTTTCTCCATACAGAATAAAATCCAAATGTCTAATGTACATGTCGATTTATCCGAAAATTACGATCGGATAAATCGGGTGGAAAATACTTTTAACGAGTGCGCAATTAGACAATATTGTGATCTTATCTGTATATCAATCACTACGTTTACAATGATGAGTTTAAAAAACCTGACAAGATGATCTACGATGATTTGATTTTCATTCAATTTGGTTAAAATTTCCAATTTTCAAACCAGTTCTCATCAATGCATTTCAATTCAAAAGACTCCTGTGTAACTAAAAAGTTGTTAATTCAATAATGCTGATGTTAATAAAAATATTTTCCTAGTTTGAAAATCGGTTCCGCTATTTCAATAAAATTTTCAACAAAGCGTATATTGGGTAACGATATCTGGAAATGGAAATGAATATATCACAGCAATAGTATATTCACGAATAGTTTTTATGGTATTATATGGGATATAGCCTGGTCATTTAACGCAATAGTTAAATTTATTTATATAGCTAGTACTTTTGTAAATTTATACGAAAATGACCAGATTTTATGAGAGTATGAAAGCTAAATGTGAAGATTTTTTTACCAACAACACGTTATCATCTGAAACGTTTTTTAACATTAAATATAATCTTTGAAGAGCTTGTTCCGTTAAATTACATTTTGTAATATTATGTAAATTTAGTATATTATGATCATCACAAACATTTAAACGATTAAACTATGAATGTGTATAAAATCACCTCTCAGCAACTGTTTAACTTGGTGTCATCAAAAATTTAATTTTCAAAAAAGCGCTTTCAGTCAATTTGAGATATTCGAAACAAATTGATCAAAATTCAATTAGGCACTTTGCAACAGAATAATTTTTTCTATCAAACTGGCAACTAAAACGCATTGTTCGCAACCACAATATTAATAAACACACAACCAAGTTAAATTTTTCGTGCGAGACGTGTCCAAACTTTAACAATATTAACAACGTACTATAATATAACAACAATATATGATTTGCGAGTCACATTTATCTCTGCGTAATTACTTCGTATTTTGAGTAAAACCTATAAGAACAATGTAACAAGTTCCGAAGTGAAATAGATGACTAATTCTCTAATGACTATTTACAACTATATGCCCTTTTTCTTATTAATCTAAACTAACTCTTGATTGGTAAAGGGACTAAATCGTAGATTCTGCAGTTCTAAGCAGTACTTATATTCCCAATATACCATGAAAATCTGTAGAAAGTTTAGGCGAGTCCATTATGAAAGAAAAAATAAAATAAGATCCTCTCAAGGAGAAAGAAAATTATAAGGTAAAAAGAAAAGGAGTGGAGATAAATTTAACCCAGCACCCATGGAAAGGAAACGAAGAAAAAAAATCTAATAAGTACTACCAATTAACTCATTACTTCATAAATCTACGACTTGGTCCAAAAACTCGACTTCAATCTCTAGTCAAGTATCGACCAGCAAAAATATAGATTTCTTTGAGGTTTTGTTGCAGGTACACGCTTCCAGGAAAATGATGGAAATACTTAATATATTTGTAGCAAATTTAACCATCATAATCGTAAATTACCAATCACAATATACATTACTAAGTAATAGGCAATCATCAACGTACACCTGAGAAACGAATTAAAATAAAATTGCGAGTACCTAATATTTAAAGCGGCGTTTGCCTGTAATCAGACGGGTTCTTTGAAAAAACTGCAATAATTCATGCATTGATAGTAATTTGGCGTTAGATTCATACCCGTCTGGTTAAATAATCAAATTGGTTATTGTATTGATCAATAACGTAAACGCGTTTCTAATTGTTCGATAAACCCTAACCATTTAATAAAAACAACTTCCACCGTTTTGAAAACATCTTCCAAAAATACGAACGCTTGTTTCAATAGAAAACTCGCAAAACAGACTGGAAAATTTAATAAACAATACTAAAAAATTCAGTAGAATATTGAACATTCAGTAGAATTTAGTTAGTAAAATTTTTAGCCACGTTTTATACTCATTTTAAACTAAACTAAAAATGAGTATTTTTTGGCAAAAATTGTTATATAAATTTTACATTCTAACTAAAAAAATTTGGAAACATTTTAACACCTTTTTAAAGGAGTTTCCTCGATTGCCCAAATTTGTTAATAATCTAACTAAAAATTAGGAAACATTTTAGTACATCTATGTCGAATGGTTAAAACGTTAAAACGAATTAAATAATGTACACTGAAATGTGATACAACAAAAAAAAAATGATTGGTACAGACACCAGAAGTGATTATATGAATGAGTCATCACAATTTCGATCAAAATCCTTAAAAATCTAAAACTACCTGTAAAAAATCAGATCAGTTCATAACAATTCACTTTCTTGACGGAAAAACAAGTATTTTACATAAACAATCGTTATAATTACAACAAAAATATAATATTATTTCAACTACACAAAAACGTTTGACTTAGAATTGTTCGCTTCAAAGGAATAAAATTTATAGATTTTAATATTTAAAATTTAGAACATTAACAATTTCTGGGTCCTCTTGAACGTTTTAGACGCTCGAAAAAGAACATCAAATTAATTTAGAAGTAACACAAAATTTCCAACAGCGCCAATAAAACAATAAAACCGTTAAACTGAACAAAACAGGTTCATTTTAAAGTTTTGCCTGCAGAGAACCCAGCCTAAAAATCCACCCTAACGACAAAATAAACACCTTCAACAATTTTCAACTAAATTATCCAACAACGAAAGCATCACCGCCCGACACACTCCCCTCTTTCATTGCTCTACCATTCCGCGGACTTCTGCTGTTTGTACTAAAATTTTGGAGGTCGCCTTGAGGCTCGTCGTCGTCGCTCAATCACTGGATGGCCAGCGTGCCGAGCCCGTTATTGCGCGCCCTCTTCAGCTCCTCTTCGTTGATGCGCTGCTCGATCAGATACTGGGCCGTAGTGATGGAATGTGGATTGCCGGTGATGGTGACGATGCGATTGCGGGTGCCCGGCGCGAAGATCCCCTTCTTCGATATCTGTATGCTGGCGCCGCTGATTTGCTGGATTTCCACCAGCGATCGCCCGCCCGGACCTACAACCACGCGTAAATTCTGCTGCTCCAATCATCATATATGTAGAGCTTACCAAGAATGGCTCCAACGATGACCTCGGCAATTTCGACGTTCTTGGAGTCCTTGTTGCCGTTGAGCTCGGCTGGCGTCGGGCTCTTGTTCAACACCGTCATGGCTTGGTTGGTGCCCAGTCCGAAGCTGTTGTTGTTCAAGGAGATGGGAGCCGTGGCCGCTGAAGCTTGGTGCCTAAAGGGGTCGAAAGCGGATTCGTAACGCTCCAAATTTGATCGAGGAGCCGTGGAGTTCGCACCTGCGTAAACTGTTTATTGGACGCAAATTTCGACGAAATTAAAACAACAAAATAGCTTACCTAGATGATCTCCCAAATTAACCTGACCGATCGCTCCGAATACTCCTGTGCCAGCGTTTGTCGCACCGGTGGAGTCCATGACACTGAGGTAATTAGAAACGGGTAGGGCCGCATGGTGAGTCCCGCCTAGTCCTAAAGAAAATATTCGTCGTTACTCTTTATCACAACATTTACCTACCTTGTGTTTGTTCATTTTTAATTATCGATAAGTACTTCGGGGAATTCGCTAATCAATGTCTTCGATTCTTCGTGAGTTTTCTCTTTTCGAACTGTAATCGATTATTCGACAAAATATTCTTTTCTTTGGGGGTTTGTTAATGCCAAAATCAATGCTTCTCAAACTGTTAATATTGTACGTGATGTCGTTTGGGAGTTTTATTTTTATAGAAATTGTGTGCGAAATTTCACACCTAAATGTTGTGTAGTTGTGTAATTAATTCTTCAGGTGTATTTCAGAGGATATTTTTTAATATACTGCATTTTTTGCTTGATGCTTACCCATGTAAATTGTTATTTTCTTTCGAATTTGGCACCAAATTTAATTTTGTTAGGGTTCTTTCTTTGCCTAGGCAAGAATATATTTCACGTTTTCTGTAATCCAAAGAGGATTAAGGATATACATATGAGACGCATAACAAGCTTCCCTTGTTTTTCCACAGGGATATTTTATATTCACCACATCCGACAATTTTGCATTTCAAATTAATTCACAAAAATCACGGTATTAGTAACACTCAATTTATGTAGCAAGTTATTTAATATGTTCAGTTTTTAATTTTATAAGTGTATAAAATGAATGGTTGAATGTTACGTTTATTTACGTATGTCGTATATTAAAAGTTAGTAACACAAAAGCAACATTTAAGGCACTGGGAATGGGCAACTGTATTTCTTTTTCTTATTATCAATAATGAAGATTTGCAGGAGGTACCCTAACGTTGTGTTAAGTTCGTTATTATTTTATTTACTAGTTACGTTTTACTTGAAACATCAATTTTATAAAAAACCTAGCACCGAAAATCGATTCACTAAAATACGTTAAAGACAAAAAGTTGATGAGACCAAAAATGATATGAGAAATATTGAATTGTGCATCCTACTGCAAATTTCTTGCAATCTACTTATTATCTAGTGAGTTTTTACAATTGGACCACTCTAAATGTTGCCCACACTCTAATAAAATATACAATTAATGATTTCTTTAGTATGCGAACTGAAGATGAATGACGAAATGATGGCAGCTTTATGAAGTGTTCCTTTGATGAATGCTGAATGGACTATTTTTGTCCGCTTCGCCTAAAGAAAAGATACACAAAAACAGTAAATAAAACCAACAAATGTGGAGTGATGGTTTAATAATATACGAAATTATTAACAATGAAAAATGAACAAATTTATATATGTAATATATCGGGAAACCAACAACTCTGCATTAACAACTTTTTAAAATTTGGAATTATCAACAGACACATCCGAGGTGTTAAATATAGAATATATTAATAAAAATTTTTCATAAAATTAAAAACAAAACGTAACAAATAATTTTACTCAACACAACGGCCCTTCCATGGGCTGACATTCACATGTACAATTTATCTAAATAAATTATTAAACATTATATTATTACCTAATCCTACAGAAATGACTCCATATTTGGCAAGCACTGCAAGAGCCGCGCAAATTTCTCCAATTTGAGCCTCCGCAAGACCGGTAGTTCTCAGTTGCATCTGAAAAATAGAGAAAAATAGAGTAGAGCAAATAGAATAAACTAAAGTTGAGAAAATAGTATAAAGTAGAGTCAAGTAGAGTAGAGCAAGTATAGTAAAGTAAAGTAGATAAAGTAGTATAAATTAGTATGAAGTAGATAGTCAAGTAGAGTAAAGTAAATTAGAGTAAAGTACTGTAAAGTAAAATAGAGTAGAGGTTTTATATAGGATGTCCAGCATATGATTTAATTATTGGTAACCTTCTTGCGTTTACTCCGAAATTAGACCATCTAAGTCCCTTACCGCTCCCGAAAATAATTGGAAAACCACATGCTAGACAAACGGAAAATCAGGCTGGAATGATAATCATCCCTTACCTTAATGTGATCCAACAATTGAGCCGTGACATTGCTGATGTTCTGGCCGGCGGCGGATAAATTCAAATTCAAATTTATGCCACCGTTGAGAAGCAGGCTCTGCGAAACGGCGGTGCTCAGGCCGCCGTTCAGGTTCGTCGACGAGGCGGTGAAAGCGCTGGAGGATTGTTGATTGGCGAACGGGGAACCCGTGGGATTGTAGTTCGCTACCGGGCCGCTCACGTCCGCGTACGACACGTTCAGGCACGTGCCGCTTTGGGGATCCTCGACTATTTTACCTGGAATAAAATAATCACGTTTTTTATTCGGCGATAATGTTGGTATAGGGGGTTTTTTTGATTCTATTGTATGGTACATTCGGGTCGATTATTATGTTATGAGGCAAGTCGTTTGTCCGATTTAGATGGCAAAAAAATTATTAAATAAGGTGTTTTTTTTGCATCACTCACGAGTCGCTCGGAATAATATAAAATGAAGCAAGCTGAAAGATATGTATGTTCACGGTCGAATCGGCAGGTTCAATGAGTTAAGTGCCTGTGAACCCTCTTTATACGAATTGTGCGAAGAGTAACAAACAGTCCCACCCTAAGGTATACACAAATTATAAATAATAACCTGTAATTAATTATTGCTTGCCTCCTAATTAGCGGTTCAGTCTAATTAGTAAATTTACACGTATTCTAATTACAAATGTGTAATTACAATGTTTACAAATGAACGCATTAAAACAATTAGGTAAATACGGCACAATTGGACGATGATGGAAACAAATTAAGTATATAACGCAAAAAAATGTATTCGCATGATTCCACAGTGCATGTTTAAATTGTATACGTAGAGTAGTAATATTCAGAAATAGCATATGAAACGATTTTTCTAGCATTAATCAGAGAAAAAAGTGGTGCGGCCGCAACACAGCAAACGCTTTTAAAAAAAATAAATGACAATGAAGACGATAAGAGTAAAGATAGAATGATCTTCGGAATATGATAAGCGACGTAGACCAGACGGATTTGAAATCTACGTATATTTGCATGTTTTCATGGTAATCAGGTGTTTTGCATGTTTTCAAAGATTCTTCAACTTCATTTACCATTTTTACATTAGGTCGAAATCTTCGAATTCCTTTATTTGATTAATCACAGGCAGGGAGCTCTAACCCTAACCCACGAACCCTTCTCCTTTATACGTGGGACTTGAGACCGGGGCGGTAGATTCTTCAAGTAACTTAATCCACCCAAAGACTCTGCAAATATCAAAAAAAAGAAGACCTACAGTACGGTAATTTTGAAAGAACCTATAAGATGTAAAGTGACCCGGAGGATGATAAACTAATAACACGACAAATATGAATTTTAAGGCAAAATATAATAATAATTCATGCATACTTATCTTTCTTGTAGTATAAGAGAATTTAATTAAGAAAATTGCGTAGAGAAGAACGAAAAAACAAAAATTAGCCATAAAAACGTGAAGGACAATGACGAATACGTTGAATTTAAGAATCCTAAACAATTTTGGAATAAAATAGAAGACCCTATAAGTTAATTAGTTTCATATTGTTTTTAAATAAAAATTAGTTTTATTCAGGTTATTATCGATCGGTTCGGGCTGCATCTGTCAATGTTTTCTTCAGAAAATCTATGTATTGTAGTTTATTAGTATAATTATTTTAATAAAGGACGAAGAGATGAACATCCTGGACGTACATTTATTCAAGGATTTTTTAATATGATGTATTAATTCGTAAACGATTAATTAAAACCTACAAACATTAAACGCTCAAAAAAAGGTTACATGCATTTATGATGATTGTGAAAATAATTGCATTTGTGTGATATTTGTAATTTAGTTCCTTTCCTATTTGAGTAACCAATTTTATATATTCATGCCCTGTTTAATAATATACCCACCACCATCCTCATTTAATCTCATTTGTCGAATACATAAAACAATTTGTACAATTATTGGAATTGTGCATTATAAAAAAGTAATGTAGAATAATATTAGTATCCAGTATCAGATACCGAGGATTTGATTCAATAATAAACCTTTTAAGCGCAAAATAATGGATATACATTTATAAACACCATTAGAAATACAGAAAATAGTTAATTATTTTATGATGCAAAATAGTAATAAAATTACATACTGTGATGAATCAAACGAATAATATAAATAATTTATACAACAGATTTTAAATTTTTAAACTAACAGGTACCTCCTACTCTACTGGCTATACAAAAGACCCTGAATTATCTTCAATGATGTATTTCAATTCTAATAATAGTAATAATGTAATAATTTCAGGAGTAGTGGTAGTAATGCGGACGACAAAGAATAGAGACAAAATATATCATCAACATACATCAATTTAGAATGATAACATAATGTACAATGCATTATTATCAGATAAATGTAAAAAATAGGAAGCTGTGGTAAACGAATTAGATCATCAAAAGACCGACAACATTAAAAAGGTTAGAAGAAACAAATCTGGTGTAAAAATTTTGCTGAAAGTTGGTAACGTAAAATAAGCAATAGTGGAAAACCATTCACAACAATACCATGCTCTGAAAAATTTTAATGAATTTCTCGACAGCACACTGTAGAACACTCCCTAAATTAGAATTAATAAATTCACATTCTTATTATAGGTGGTAAAAAATGTTACATTTACATGTAGGTGTCAAAAAGGAGTTAATAGGATGCATCCAAAAAATATGAGACTACTCCCTAATACAAGATAAGTTAGTAATATGTATAAACTAATAGATTTAATGAAATAAAATAATATTACTTACTTATAATCATCATGCAGGCCTGTTTGTTCTGTTCCTTTTCCCCTATAACGGTAATACACCTTTCCTGTAAACTTATGTCTTTGGCTTTTTGGGAGATCTGAACGTACGAGCCGCTAGTTTCTTTGATTTGTTTTATGTAATTACCCGCCTTGCCGATTATCATACCGGCCGTCGAATTTGGCACCAAAATTTTTACTTGCTTATCTCGCTCGTGCATTTTATTTTCCGAATCGATTAGAGTTTTCGTTAGGTCAGGTTTCTCTTTAATTTTGTCCATAATAAAATCTACTACACTCATAATTGCTTCCACACTACCCGTTATCAAACATACTCGCTCCGTCGTGCCTGGAACAAAAAAACATATGTACTATACATAGAATCAACTCAAAAGTAATCAATAAATTAATAAATTTTATCATTTACCACGACGGAAAATCAACACGGGGCTTAAATAAATGTCTCCAAAATTTGTTTCCAAATTTTTATACAATTTAATATGTATTAATTTAGTAACTGGAGCATAAATTTTTAAATTTGTGTAAAGTGATATTCATTTGAGGAGTTCTGAACCGTTAACGATTTAAACAAGAAAAAGTCTGCTATTATCATAAACTGAATTCTCAAAATACAGTTATAATTTTTCGTTTTTTGTGTTAGTTTTACGTTCGCTATTTGAATTTAGATATTGCATAAGTTAGTAGACGTATAAAATGCCGAATTCACCTTTTTAAAAACGGCTGCTTCAAATTACGTTTAATTTCAGATAATATTCCATTGCTGGGGTCATCGGCCAAAGATAAGTACTTAACTATTACCCAATTGCAACACAAAAATTGGGAAATTACATGATTTCATCGTTATAACCGGGCAATTTATTCGTTTTTATTTATTACAAAATAAATGTGCAACAATTTTATTAATATTCCAACAACTCATTCCAGCTATCTTCAGCCAGAATTCTATTATAATAATTATAATAAATATTCATGAATAAATGCATAAATTCATTACTTATTCTTTCATTTGTTATAATTAATGAACTATAGGTAACAACCATTATGTGCATAATTATTTGTCTATACTGATATTTTCATGACCATCATAAACAAAATAAGGTTAGTCGTTTTGTATTTTTTCATAACTGTACGTTGATCTCAATGCAATTGTTAACAAAAGTAAGCTATCAAATAACAAGTATTTGAAGCGATTAAACATTTAAAAGTACACTATAATATTAATTGAATGTTACGTTATTAAAAGAAAATGAAGTAATGTCAATAGAAAATCAGTAATTTGTACAAAAATGCACTCGAGAAAAATATGAAATAATTTTAGCGACCTAAATAATTCACTACAAAAATATGTTTCGGCATTTTACAAACCGAAGGTTGTTACGCAAAACTGTTAATTATACAAAAAAAACAAAATTACTACAAGGTTAATGTTAGAATTTTGTTTTTTTTTTCAAAAAAATACTAATTAACTACAATCAGCTAATTACACTAACAAAAGTAACGCAAAAACCTAACAAAAGTTACGCACCTGTCCTGTATCATAATTTAATTGCCAATTAGTCAGTAGTAAAATTTAATGAATTTCTTTTATTTAGATAAAATACAATATATAACTGTTAGAACAAATGAATATTCAACATTAACACAAATAGCCTGTCTCTACAATACAAAATGAGATATATTGCAGAGATCTGTATATTTTTTTAAAACATTAATTTAAAATATGAGGTAAACATTTTGGCATTTTGTAGTTCAAAAAGTCGAAGCTGCATACGCTTACACACTGGCGATAGGGAACAAAATCATTATTTAGTCGCATTTTCCTTCCGCAGTGTGTTTATGCTAGTGACAAGTGTTTTCGTGTGTTATACGGCCTATAATAATTGATCAACGTCCAATATTCCCCACTGTTACCGTCAGGTTGCCAAAAATTTACTAGCGAGACCAGAATTATCGAATTATTTCACAAAGCGTTGATAATTTATTATAAATCATAATAAATTTACCGGAACTGAGGCTTGTTCATCAATTTTGCACATTTATTTTTAGTTCATTAATAAATAAAAATTTGTATGCTTTTAGGAAATAATAGGAAATCTTAGACAAAGCAATGTCAATTTTAGACAAAAAGCGAAAAATATCTAATATCCTAGAAGCACGTAAACAAGATAAAGTAGTTAAATATATAATGCACACACATGATCAAAAGTTGTAAAATTCAATTAAAAATGATGTAATTTATGCAATTTAAGATTTGGCAGAGCATCTACAGAACGTGTTACATTTTTTTTGTAACAAAAATACAAAATTTTGGGATGCATGAAATAGAAGCAGCAAATTAGCGTCAATTTGAATATGTGTGTGTGCACTCGTTATAATTTCCAGAATTGATACGCATTTGTATTGCTGTAAACACTCGAGATAATTCAAAAATTAACGTTTGTAATTTAGATTCGATTTAACTCGTCAACATAATTTTTGTAATATGTTTAAGTACTAATTTTTACAAAAAATGATTCATTAAATTAATGGCATTACCAAAGGTACTAGAAAGACTTAGTTTTAATGATACTGATGTTTTGATGTACACTTATTTATTTCCATAAAATTTTCTATTTTTAATTAAACAATCTAATAGTCTTGATTTAATATTTGTTAGACGATTGTTAATTATTATAAACTGATTAGGTATATTTATAAGTATAAAAGAACATGTGATAATGTTTAAAAATATAAATAGTAGAGTTTAAAAGATCGCAAAAGTCTTTTAAAATAGATTTTCGTTTGCACTGCACTGCTAAAATATAAGAACCACTTTTTATCATTTCTTATGCCCTAAGAATGTAAAATCAACAGGTCGTCCAAAAATCGTACGGTGCAGGGGGTGGGAAGGGTGCATTTTTCAAAAAATCAAAAAAAAATATTTTTATGTTTTTTAAATCTACAACATACGGCCATTTAACTGTCAAAATATGATTTCTATGTTTCCATTGGAAATATTTATTTTTTTATTTTGAAAACAGACCACGCAATGCTTTTATATGGAGTTCCTTTACGAATAAACGCTTGTCCTGAAAACTCATTTTTATGTTATCGTTTACCTCGTTTTAACTTGAAAACAATTTGGTTTATCAAAAAAATACCTTCTATAAACGATATGCACTGAAGATCAAGGAATGCATTGCTTTTTGAAAAATCCTAATCTGATGAATAGTTTCATTGTAAATTAACAAAATGTGAAGCCATGTCGTGAATATCGCGGCCGCCAGCGAAACAGCGAGGAAAGCTTAGATTTGTGTGGACGACCAGGCGATAAACGACTTTAGTGATTCCGACGTGCGCTTAGGATCTTTTTCGCTTGCCGTTTCCTTTACCTATGTGAACTTAGCACCCGACTTTGAGATAAAAAAAATTAAATTACATTATTGGAAAGATAATCGTTTGTACCCGTTTGTACCACCTTTATTTTCGTTTGTACCTCAAGGGTAAAAAAATTAGGGGGTGTCGAAAAATTGGTCAGCACCCCACATAATTTTTTTTAAATTTTTCCAATGGCATTTAAAAGAGCATCGTTTGTACCCGTTTGTACCACCTTTATTTTTGTTTGTACCTTAAAGGTACTGAAATTAGGGGTTGTCGAAAAATTGGTCAGCACCCCACTTAATTTTTTTTATTTTTCAAATGGCATTTAAAAGAGCATCGTGTGTACCCGTTTGCGCCGGAAAAAGAAAATATGCTAAAATAATTTAAATTTTTCAGACGATAAAGAAAATGTATATGTACAGATGATGAGGTAATGGTAGAAAGTGAAAAAAGTGTTGAAAATATTTTTTTAAATGAAGTAGAAAATTGGAAAGGTAAAAACAATGATCTGATTGAAAGGCGCTAAGAAGTTGTCCAAACATTGAAAATTTACATTAAAAAAAAAGTCATTGAAACCGTTAACCGTATTAGAAAATACATCTTTATTGGGCCCTCAATTAATCAATGGGAAATATATAACAGTTTTAAATACTTGTGCTTTCGTTTCATTTGCTCAAGCGTTATTATGTAGTTACAGGGATTGGATTACTTACAACACATACAGGGTGGCACATAAGTATGGAAAAGCTCAATATATCTGTTATTGTAGAAGATATGAAAAAAAACTTCATTACAAAAGGTGTAGATCTTTTTAAGCTGCAAATTTGCTGCGTTTTGAAAGTTGCGTTTTGAAAACGAGCTAATTTCAATTTTTGAATAAAAAACAGGGTGTTCCATTTAAAAAAGGATAAGTTTGGTCTACCATGGAAAGACGGGACACTCTGCGTTAATGTAACTAATTTTAAAAAGTTTAGCTTAAAAAGATCTACAACTTACGTATTTAAGTTTTTTTGATATCTTCTACAATATCAGATATATTGAGCTTCTCCATACTAATGTGCCACCCTGTATGTACACAACTCTAATAACATGTTTAATTTCGTAAAAAAAAATATCCACACTGGGAAAAAATAAAAATAAATATAAGTACGCTTCATTCGCGATTGCAACATGGGTATTTCTATGAGTTGAACAAAGAAAGATTATTAAAATAACAGTTGTCAGAGTGAAAAGTTGCAATGACATAATAACCCTCCATGACTTTTTTACCCTTGAGGTACAAACAAAAATAAAGGTGGTACAAACGGGTACAAACGATGCTCTTTTAAAGGCCATAGAAAAAATTTAAAAAAAAGTAAGTGGGGTGCCGACCAATTTTTCGAAACCCCCTAATTTCTTTACCTTTAAGGTACAAACAAAAATAAAGGTGGTACAAACGGGTACAAACGATGCTCTTTTATATGCCATTGGAAAAATTTAAAAAAAATTATGTGGGGTGCTGACCAATTTTTCGACACCCCCTAATTTTTTTACCCTTGAGGTACAAACGAAAATAAAGGTGGTACAAACGGGTACAAACGATTATCTTTCCAATAATGTAATTTAATTTTTTTTATCTCAAAGTCGGGTGCTAAGTTCACATAGGTAAAGGAAACGGCAAGCGAAAAAGATCCTAAGCGCACGTCGGAATCACTAAAGTCGTTTATCGCCTGGTCGTCCACACAAATCTAAGCTTTCCTCGCTGTTTCGCTGGCGGCCGCGATATTCACGACATGGCTTCACATTTTGTTAATTTACAATGAAACTATTCATCAGATTAGGATTTTTCAAAAAGCAATGCATTCCTTGATCTTCAGTGCATATCGTTTATAGAAGGTATTTTTTTGATAAACCAAATTGTTTTCAAGTTAAAACGAGGTAAACGATAACATAAAAATGAGTTTTCAGGACAAGCGTTTATTCGTAAAGGAACTCCATATAAAAGCATTGCGTGGTCTGTTTTCAAAATAAAAAAATAAATATTTCCAATGGAAACATAGAAATCATATTTTGACAGTTAAATGGCCGTATGTTGTAGATTTAAAAAACATAAAAATATTTTTTTTTGATTTTTGAAAAATGCACCCTTCCCACCCCCCTGCACCGTACGATTTTTGGACGACCTGTTGATTTTACATTCTTAGGGCATAAGAAATGATAAAAAGTGGTTCTTATATTTTAGCAGTAAAGTGCAAACGGGATGACACAATAGAAGCAGCTTTGAACTCTACTAAAAATATTTGTAGATACGTATTTAGTGCAAATATTACCTAAATATTAATAGGTGTTTTATACATTAATTTTTAATTATCTTTATTATGACTTGACTAAAATTAGAAACATAATTCTATATTCCTTTGTATTTTTAATTTTAGAAGAAAATACATAGTATCTACGAAAAACGAAAGTAGGTACTTTTCACTATTGCTTAGTGTATTAAACGCAATAATTCTATCTCACGCAAATTTTCTTCAATAACAACCATAGCAAAAATCACTACAAATCGTGTTAGACGATTTCGTCGCTTCGACTTACCTGGATAAAAATCGTGAGACTTGGACATTTTAACACGGGCCCCAGTTTCTTTTTGTAACTGTGCAATGGTTTCGCCCCCTTTGCCGATGATGGCTCCTGCCGCCACGCTGGGTACCAGTAATTTGAAGTGAAACGTGCCATCGCCACCTGCAAACGACCAGAAAATATGTTTAAAGCTTTCATTTGCACTTCAATGGATTGGATAAGCTTAAATAATAAGGGAGATTAGAGGAATGAAAAGGATACGTATGTGTGTTTTGGATCTAAATGCACACGTTTTCATTATTTTGCCTAAACATCCGACCTTGTTGCGTATACAAGAAAATACAGAAACCTTAATAGCTATCGAACATCGAAGGTCGCATTGGCGTTTAATCTATAAATTTGCATGGAGCACAGCATACTATCGTGTCGACCTTCGCATTAATTAATCTTGTACATAATCAAGAATTGTAAAAATATAATTTAAACATCGATTAGACTAAACAATTCAAAATTATTCGGCCATGTACATACGTAATTATTTCGAATTGCGATTCCAATGAAATTAGTTTAAATCAACTACAATTTGTTTGTGTATAGTATTTAATGTAGAACTACTTATTATTTTCAATTCGATTCTACCATGCAATTTTCACAGATTGATTCTATATGTTTACTTAACATACAACGTTACATTACATAAGCGTCCTAGGCAATTATATTTTCCCAAGGTCTTGGGCAAAATTCACAAAAAAACCAGTTGGTGACATCAACGCGCATTACGTAAATAATGGTATCGTAATTAATGAAAATTTATTCTGTCATAACGTCGGTTCCTTTTTCCACATTGTTGCGGCGACGTTATTGATATACGAAATTTAAATTCTTATTTACTGTTTACAGATGACGCTCGCTCTACTTAACCTCCTGACGACCCTTGTACCTCTCGAAGGACGAAAGATTTAAAAAAAAATCTCCTAAATAAAAACTCGATGGCAGCACAAATTGGTTTATCTATACCTTAAGTTAAGCAGTTGATTCAGTTGATAAGAAAAATCAAGATTCTCGAAGCGGAGATTTATTTTCAATAAGTCTCGAGACATATTCATTACCATCTCATTGGATCTATTTCGTTCTCAGTATTATCAGATTCATGACATACATATCTACATGGCATTTATCAATGTTATACATACAATATATGTTATTCCTCGTGTTATTCGTTTTGTTCTCTACTCTCTAAGCCTTTTGCTTTTAGAATGTTACATCGCTATTATGTTAGGAAGAGCCAATTGCAATATTTTATATCATGCTTAATTATATGTAAAGTGGACCGTCAGGTGTTATTTTAGTGGATGCAATCCAAATTAAATAAATTAACCTAACTAGCAACTGCTATTTTTACTAAAAACTGAAAATCTTACATCATCCACCTCCAATGGATTTTCCCATTAAAGTAGAAAACAGTAAATTTCACTGACAATGTAGAAGTTACTTTTTCTTTTAAAGAATTTGTCGGTTCATCTAATACGGAATATTTTTGGGTCAATCTACATATAATTCATTCCTACTACATATTTCGTCAGTGCAGTTAAACAGATGTTCAATAGTGGAGAAACCTCCGCAAACGCCGACACGTTTTTGCATAATATTCTGCCAAAAATAATTTTCATTAATGGGAACGATATTGTGCTAAATTTTTCTATTTTATATCTATGTCATATATCTACATATGCTTAACAAAGCGATTTTTCAATTTTCTGTTAGTTACATTGGTATATACTTTCACAAATTTTAACAAATTGTCGGAAATTCCAGATCGTTATTTGATAAAAGCGTCGCCAAATCAACAAAAAAACCGTTTCGTTACAGCTCAAATTACAATTCTCTCTTTATATGTACAAATTTTAGATATGGCATAAAATCGCTATTGTAACCAGATAAGAAGATATTTTTGTAGTAGGTACTTTTATACCGCATTATAACATTTACCATACCTACCGATTACATACAAAAACACTCAATATTTTTGAAGCTTAATTCTACCGGGATATTATGCTCTTTCGAACCGCAAATAATAGCGTTAAAGTCTAACAATGTTGTGCAATTTTGATGCGAAAGTTAATTCTCTTATGTAACCGCAAAGACAAATTAGACCGAGCATAAAAATTGTCATTAGACAAACCGTAATAGAACATTACAAAATATATTTTTTGCGACACTAGGTTTCATGAAACCAAAAATTATGTACGCAGTATATCATGATGATATCGAAGGTCACATAAATAATTTATAGATGCAGCAAAATTACACGAGACGAAATTTTTCAAATTTACATATAACATGAACACGTGTAAAAATTGTATAAAATTATTTTATGATGTGAAGACTGCTCCATTATAAACACTTACGATTTTAGTGTCTAAACAGTTACTTTAATATAGAATTCTTGAGCTAATCGCAAATTGGCCGTGAACTTGTTTGTGTTGAAATAATTAAAATTGATTCTCAAATTTATTGAATGAACGCGAAAACTTCTGTGTAAAGTTTTACATCAGGGATTTATTCTAAGGAATTTTCAATCTAAATTTTTATTATTTATTGGGCGGCAAACAATCCCATCTTGGTATCAAATATTCAGTCATTTTAGTTCAGTAATATCTTTATATTTTTATTTTTACACTACTATTGATAACCAAACATCTCGTTTTTCAATGTTTATCTAAAATCAAATAAAATATAACGGACGGTTACAGGAAAAGGAAGTTTAACTACATACTAAATATATGCATTAGAATTGCAGATATTGAATTCCTCTATTTCAAAATATTTAAATTAAGTAAACATAAATAGCATTTAATATTTTTATAATCATTAAAATGTGATTACAATCAAAGACTTTTGGGTATCAATCAAACAAAAAAAATCGATCGTATTAGATTTATCTAAATATAAAAATAAAATCAATCGGTTGGTAAAAAAAATATCGAACGTGGGAGTGGGAAAATGTGTTACGAGCGTGTTTAGAGTAGAAGGTAATTTATCTGTTGTCATGCTTTGTAAATATTTTGGACTATCTTCACAACTCCAACTCGTAACTGGAACAATAAAGATGATCGAAGAGGAAATAAAAACTTTTGGCAACCTTCATAAAAATGTGATAATTTCGTATTATTTATTTACAATTGTGATATACATAAATATTATATTATTGGGTATACAAGAATAGTATAGCATACCATAAATAAAAATTCATAATTTATTAAACTCTTCTATTGATTTTGATTAAATTGACCTAAACATTAATTGTGTAATCCCGAAATTCCTGTAATAAATCTCGATAAAATTTTTAATTGCCATTTTTTATTGTTCGAATGCATTTTTCCAATTCAGATTTTTAAATTGTTGACCTTGATTTAAAATGACATTCCATTCGGTTTTTAAACAGTTGTTACAGTCAATAAATGGCAAATCAATATAACTCACACGCTTTTCATAAGCGGCTGTTTTAGCTCTTGTATAATTTACCGTTAACCCAGATTTTTCTCACTTCTTTTTCGCCAACTTTTTACCTTCTCGTCTCGTTAATTTTGTATTTTTCAAACTTTTATCGAATATTTTATTACTTCGCAATAGCCAATAAATTAGTCTCTTTATATTTTCAGCATGGCAGTAGCATTTAAATCATATTTTAATAAAGCCTTTATTGGCACCAGGAAATGAAATAGGCACACACGCTCATATTCCATCGCCCTACATACAATTTACCGAACGAATGATAACTGACCCAAATTCTCTATCTCCAAAGCGATGCTTTCGATATAATGAAATGTCATCCTTTTATTTAGCCGTACGTTTTCATCGGTACAATTTATTCGGCTTCTGATTTGGTAAATTATAAAAATACGAAAAATTAATTAAATTATAATCAATTTCATCATTCTACCATCAATTAATGGCTACGTAATGTCGCAATTTACAAATCTTTTATTACTATTAATAGTTTTTAGAGAACATTGTGTCTGTAGTATCGCTAATAGTTCTTCATTTACCCTCAGGACACAAACTAATTTAGTGACATCTCATCTTACCTATGAGTGCTATTATTCTATTAAGAAATTTTTCGCTGTAGTCACTTTCATTTATTATTGTAAGCAATAAAAAGTTAAATACGCAATATCAAGCGTCACAAACAAATCAATTTACAATCAACATTTTTCCATTGAAGCTCTTTCTATAAGATGATTTTACACAATAGTTACATTTTCGGAAATCCTTACTCAACGAATACGCAATTAAACAATTTCTCTAACGTTACATTTAAAATCATCACATTTAAAATCGCAATATATTTCTACAAAGAAAACATTCACACAGAAATTTCATGCATTAAATGGGACTAGGAAAAACGAAACAAAAAAATATTCACCTGACGCCGTTCTTTCCTCATCCGAACCTCCATCTGAAATAAACCAAATTTTTCAAATGCTAATTAAATAGGTATAAAAAATAGGAAACGTATTTAGTAAAAAAATTGTACAATGTAATAATGTGATATGTAATTTTCATACATATTTCTGATAACCTCGCGAACCAACCTCATAAAAATACTTACAAATCATGCGCTTTTAATCCACCAAATTGGTGTCACAATTCTATGTAAAGAGGATACGAGCAATCAACAAGCTGTGGGGACACAAGAACATTTTTAGAAAAATTTGATAAACATTCAAACTATGTACATAATTGAGCAAAGTTAATTTCATTTAATCTAATCCTCCCAAATGGAGCTTTCGCGTTGGAAGCTTTCTAAAAGAATCTAAAAATACATATCAAAAGCAAACTCATAAAGAAATATGAATCTAGGCCCAACAGAAATAACAAGTGTAACATATCCTTCCGCAAACTATTTCTAAAAGGGACGGTTCGTTTCATCGTTATTACGGAATGTTTTCCGCGGAATCTGGAACATGCTATTCAGGCGAAATAGTGCCGAAGGGTGACCTATATTCCACAGAAAATTTTATCAATTATCTGTTTCGTGCTGGCAACCGTCGGCGAAATCCGTTTTATTATCTTCCAAGGGTCTCATTCTCGCCCTTAACGCGAATTATCGGGACAACAATGACAAATTTTCACGAAACGATTAACATTAAAGCAATTTTATTCTCTTTGAAACGGTGGAATTTTAATTTGTAAAGAGCAAGTCCTCGTTCAAACATCGCGATTAAAATTGAATTTTGATTCACAAAAAAAAATTAAGGTAAAAATGAGCTACACGATTTTACAGTTAGCATTGAACGTACAAAGTACACCAATTTCGGGCTTCCGGCGAAATTAAATTAACGACACAAAAGGCTCCTACTTGCACCGAATTGTCGAGGTTTAATGGAAACTGGAAACTATTTTTCTGTTAGCACACGAGCACTCTGAGTACCTATACAAAGATACGTTAATTACCTTTATAGTGCAGGAAATTTATGTACCTTACATCGGAATAATCATTAAGGTAATTAAGTATATGATATAAAATTAATTTAATATTAGTCTTTGGAGATCCTTAAGCCTTTAAGCATTTATGTAATATTAAAATCATCAGTTTTTATCCACTTTATTCACTTAATATTTTTTACACACTGGGCTATTAAATAAACGGTTGGTATTTTGAAGCTAAAATCGAGAGAATAATGTTACGAGTTTGTTTTATGTTGTGTTAACGGTAATTTTGGTGTCGCATATAAACAACCTTTTTACAGATTTGTTTTGAGAATATTTGTCGAAAAAATAAACGTTTTAAAAGCATTTTTTATTTAGTGGTTTTAATTGCGAATATGTTTTCTGGCAATCTATTAGTCATCAAAACTGATTACATTTCTCATTTTGATCTATTATTAGATTAGCAATGATCATTATTTGAAATAAAAAAAAACCTTGCAGGTAAATTCAACCTTCGTGTGTCCATGAGCGTCCTAGAGTTGAATTCCGACAATTATTGTTATACCTCCTATGCTCAAGAAACTACTTTGAATTTCATATAAAATACCTTCAACAAAATGTTCACTCGGCTATCATATCTGTTAGTGGGTCAAGTGTGTAATAATCAAATCGAATCAAATCATAAATCACAAATCATCTCAAAAAGCTTACATCACATACAATTACATCAGCATCCCCAATCTTTTGCGCTTCATTTAGTCAGTATATTTACCCCACAAAAAATAATTGCACGCAAGTACATATAAACGTAAAAGTAAAAAAAATGTAAGTCTTCCCAAATTTCTATTATGTCTTTACTATGGTCGAAAATAACATTATTTTATTTGCAATTTAATAATAATCCATCATAATGAATCCAAATAAACAATCCTACGTATTATTTACATTGCAATTAGTGTTGCCTTCGGTGATTGCTTCACTGATTCATTCAAAGTTTGACAAATGGTCCCAACGTGTTTATTGACAATTATTTATCCTTGAAACAAGCCATATTTGTTTGCGTCCAAATTTGTACAGAACGAGAGAGCTAACTTTTTTTAATTGCAGAATTTTATCGTGACTGCAGTTTAAATTTGAATAATATCCTCTTAATGGGTATACGCCCAACCTTTATTATCGTATTATTACAATTTACAATGCAATTTACTTATATAAACTTCATTAAGATGAGTACCTATAGGTACTTTGTGGAGTAGGCAAACATTAATTTAACAAAATGTGCATACAAGTAAAAATGCATCAGTAAAATGGAAAAATGATTTTTATCTAGTGTACTTAACCTGGTTTGATATTCCATGTGGTTTTCACTAAAGTCGGTAATGAGACCTTGACTGGGTTATGGAATAGAAATTACGAAATAAACGTTTGCGACATGGCGTTAAAAGGCATCAAAATTTTTGTAGTTTAAGATTATGTGCACGATGTAAGCGCGTGCATAAACCACTTACATATTTATTTAGTTATAATAAATTCATCTGGATTTTCCAAATAATCATTTAATTGATATATTTTATACCGACTTTCAATCTATAGAATATGATTCATAAAAGCACGTTTACAAGGCATTAAATCATTCTTCTTTTTGCTGAATGACTTTTAATGAATTATATTTTATGGATTTGTTTCCGAGTCCATACCTGCATATCCTTTTATTTATTTTTAGATTTTCGCCTGATGCTCTGTGGGACCTTCATTTTTAACAATAGTTTCGACAGAGTTATTATTACTGGCTTTTGATTTATTCTACAGGTTTGTTTCTTACTGGAAATTCTTTCATAAATATTTTATACTTTACATTATACACCTTTATTTCTATTTTCTATATCTACTGCTGTGAATTGGTAAAGTGGAAATTTATGAGATTTGTGGACTTAAATTTTGTAGTCTTTAATTTACTTACCTCTTTGGTACTCATTCATTTCTAATGATTTAGCTCGTTTTGTTATATTTCTACGTGGTTGTGGATGGTTATATTATACAAAATTAAAAAGTCAATAAGTCCAAATTGCACACTACACAAAAGAAAACAGCGTTTCGTACAAAACGACCTGACGTGATTTTAATAGGCTTTTCTTTGAGTACAAAAGTGAAACTTTAACTATAACCTAGTGGAATTATTAAAAATTCATTAGCGAAACGCATTGTTAGTAATTACATTGTACGAGTAGGAAGCAACTTTTTGTAATGTAAGGTTACCCGTCATTAATAATGGTATACATAAAAAAGCAGCATTGCGCAACTGTTATAATTCACCCTTATTATGTGAAAGAAAATAAAATTGAAAAAATAAATCCAGTTGCCAGCAAAATAACAAATTAAATTTAATGTTTGGTACAGTTGAACCTAGCCAAATAACATTAATACTTTCTAATTTTTAAATACTAATTAATAGTGTATTGGTTTGTTCAAAAATTGTAAGAAAATGAATTTTCTATGCCATTAGATCATCCTGTAATAAGTAATACGAGAGAAAATGGGGGAGGCCCCTTTCAAAACACCATTTATCCTTCTAATTAGAGTATTACCGCACTTGTAAAATGTAATTAAGGCCAGACTTTCAGCCCTCTTATACAATGACCTAATTTCACAAAGCGCCTCCCGTCACCTCATTTTTTTTACTGAGCATCAAATTTTATTACCAATTTCAAAATATATCGCGCGCAAAATATCTGCAATATTGACCTACATTTTCAAATTACATAAAACAAAATTAACAAACTAATATGCAGCATTTAAAAAATTCCAGCTCCAGTTACAATGTCAATACCTATGAGCGAAAAGCGGATTTCAATGACATAACTCTTGATTTCCGTTAACACATAATCGCCGTGTGACGTCACCGACTTCATGATCAATGGAGCAAAGAAGGTGAATTCAGCCGCATATAGGTCAAGCAGAAACCAGATCATAGACAGAGAAAACAAAGGTATGGAAACCGAAGTCTAGTCACGGCGCGAGAGAAGCGCCGTTAAATAATACAACTTTCCTTTCTTATCTAATACATTATAACGTGACGGCGAAACGCGCAGGTAATGAACCAGCGATCAAATAAAATTCAAAACGAAAAATAAAAATAAATGCCGCGAATCTGCGGGCGAGCCAACGCAGAATCGCGTATAGCGCCTCCCGCAAAACCAGCTGATCGGTACAAAACAGAAAATCTAATTAGAGCAGGTAGTTAGATAGCCTTCGTTCAGCAGGCACCTTAGTAGGTTAATTACGTCCCATTTGACATTGAACGACTGTCAGTTGCGACTACGTCATAGCGCGTGTGGAAACAGAAAAAAAAATTAAAATAAAATAAAATACAACGCGTCGCATTCAAATTCAAAAACCGCACACACGACCGCACACTCACCTGAGCTGAAGTGGGAGCGTTTCGTGTCCCCGTTCTCGGCGTCACCGTCCAGCGGTCTCTTTCTGGAATCGGCGATTTCTGGCGAAGGGCAGGTTTCCATTCCCGAATCGGCGGCCATCTTAGTTCGTTGTTAAATTTATCCGCGCTATACAAATTGTCATTAGAGTTCGGCGCGCGAACACTTTAGAATTTCGTACTGAACTGAACACACCGCGAAGCACACGCGACGCAGAGAGAAAAAAAGATCGCCGTCGATGCGCGCTAACTCGTTCGCAGTGCGCACGACACTCCAACAACTGAGACTACCAAAGACTGATTCGCCTCTTGCCTTTTGCCCGCCCGAGAGTCCGAGAACCTGAGCCCCGTCGACTACGTGCGTTGCGTTGCGAGCACCGGATTCGATTCGCCACTAGGTATTCGGCCCTCGGACCCCCACGTACCCACAAAAATCTTCCGTCATCAAGGGCAGCCTGGCCGATTGGAGAACGTCTCCATATAATCTTACTACCTCCTGTGTGCTCGACCTGACCTTCGCAACTACGCTCGTTATTCCGTATTTTTCGTATTGACCTGCAAACAAACAATATTAACCATCGATGCACTTTATCAAGCATACAATACAACGCTGATAAGGTCACTGTCAAAGAAATAGTACATTGTCTTCATTACCTTTTACTTCAAGGAAGCACCAAGAATGCAATTTCAGACAACAGAAACAGAAGTAATGGTTAAAACTAAAGAGTTTTGAAGGCCTAACAACCTCCAATTAACTCCTTTCGATTAACTTCCAAAGTCCTTCAAACTAACTCCTCAACTTACTATTGAGGAGCTGAACTTTAGTGGACTTTAGTGGAGTGGGTACTCCTTACAAAGGAGTACCATATAGATGAGGAATAAATGCTCAAAATGGACTATTTGAAGCAGAGGACTAGGAAAAATAGAAGGAACAGAGAACCTAGGAACCCAAAAAAACCTAGGACATCTAAAAGTCCTATAGACACCTAAACACCTAGATATTTAGAAGTATTGGAACCACCAGACAAATTCTAGGAGATAAAAATTTTAAGGGATCTTGTTTAGGGACTCGATTTCATGAATGAGTCTCTGTTAGTGATGGTGCATTTGACTTGATACAGATTCAGCTGACTAAACAATAGCAACTCCTGTCCTTTATATCTTATCCTTATCAAGGATAAGCAAATCACCTTTCACCAGGCAACTGGAAGCAAAAATATGTATACTTTGACGAAACAAAAATATTAAATGAATATATTTAGTAACGCAATGTTGATGGGAAATGAAGATTCTCTTTACAATGATAAAAAATATCCCAAATTTTATGGTAGGGGGTAGGTAATTTTATGGTAAATTTTTGAGGGTAGGTATGTATGACATAAAATTCTCAGAACATCTTATATTATTCGAACATTACAGTTTATTCTCGCATCAAACTAATAAGGAAAGTAATCATAAGGTAAAGAGGTATCATACGGTAAGTCAATATTAAAATCAAATAAAAGAAGCATCCAGAGTCCTATTGATAGATACCAAATATTTGGAACAAAAAGTACCTAAACTCCTAAGATTCACGTTTAATATACGTTATTGTTCAAGTCTATAAAGAGTAGAGTATGAGAAAAACAGGGCGTATTTCATAAACGGTATAAATATAAAGATTATTCAAAGTATGTAAAAATGACCAGTCACCTTGTCCGGTAAAGTTAAATAGTCTTTTTAACACAAAACCTACCAGAAATAATATATATATATATATATATATATATACGCAAGAAATTCGCAAATTTCGACGCAAAACATGTCATATTTTGCTTTTGATTTATTAATCTTTTGGTTAATTAACTTTACAATTTGTATTTGTACACAAATTGTACATTGTACAGTGCATTGGTTTTGTACCAAACCGATGTTATGATAAAATTTTATATTAGTTAGATAGCTTTAAATTAACAAAATCAAAAGCAAAATATGACATGTTTTGCGTCGAAATTTGCGAATTTTCTAAGAACCTAAAATATAAGGACTTACCTCAATGAATAGAAGAGATCATAATTTGGGAATTAACCGAAATGAAAATGAAAGCGACACAAAAAATTTATGATTGCGAAAATCACAATGAATGAAATGTAAAAAAAATAATATAAAAAAACAACTGAATTATTAACAAAAGTGACAAATAAAACCGCGATAGTTTAAATTTTATTCAACCAGTTTTATCGCCATCTGTTGGTACGCAATATTCGATAGTTTAAAAATCTGACAACACTGCGGATAATTTCTGTAATTAGACATTCATCTTCGTACTAAAAATTAGGCCGAAGCAGATGGGGCTTTTCGGTTAACTACTTAGAAAAAAGAAGAATTTGACATAAATGTAAAATGACATAAGTAAATGTCAATAAAATCGATCATATATTTTGTAAACAAAGCATATCTATAAATAATTTGCAAATGTAAATAGAATGCCGTAAACAAGGTGAAATCCACGATTATTTGTGACTAATATCCATTTCTGAAAACTGTATAATCACAAATTAACAAAGATTGCTCATGATCAAGACGTATAAATCCTTTTATTTTACCAGAGGTTAAATATATTGTTTATACAAATCAGTGATAAAAAGGTCATGGTGGAAAACAGAGCAATAAATATTTTTAATTAAATTAATAATTTGCGTCTTATAGTTTATTCAGTTCAAGTGATCCCTTTGATAGACATGATTTTTACGAAGCAGCTTTTGTTGCTATTACTGAATGTTATTTTAGTAATAGCAGGTGATACTGATAGTAATAACAACGAAAATGTAATTTCTGCTGTTATACACTATTTACGTAAGCAAAATCCCCATTATTACTACACCAGTGGTAACATCGCTCAATCTTATATTAAGGTAAGCAGGGTATATTATTCATTTTAATATATTAAAATATAAGGGTAAATTATTACTCTGACTGTATAAGTATTCATATGTTTAGATTTAATTATTTTAATAAGCAGGATTAAGAGGGAAATCAGTTCAATACCTATATTTTTTTATAGTCATATGCATTGACGATTTATTTCTTAAATAAAATGGTGCTATTTGTTGCATTTGTGTAATGTGTGAGCTAATCATTGTCAAATAGCATTGAATTTTTTTAATAAGTTTTAATTCTTATCGTATACTTAATTAATAAAACGAACTGCTGATATGTTAAGTTTTAATCAAAATCTACTGGTTAAAATTGCAACACATATTTGACCTTCGTTAATTTTTTATTAAAATCAATCTTAAACTGACTTTTTATCACAAGAATGCTGCTGCATTGGCGGTTATGTACATAAATCCTATTTAAAATGAATAATCCATTTCGTAGATTAATTTTATTACATCAATAAAATAATACTCCTTTCTTTCTCTACCTATACTTTAATTTAAATCATCGATTTTATCAATGGCCTTTATTTGTGCAGGATAATAATTTATATGTCCAAAGCGATATTGAAGCAGTCTGTACACGTCCTTGTACAGGGGGTACTCTAAGTTGCAATTCCGTATTAGAGAAGTTGGAAGGTGACGAAGATTGGAAGGTAACTTCAACGATTTGTGCTCCGAAAGAACCGCATTTTGAAGGGATAAAAGAATCGTCGCCAGTATCAGAAAAACCTCTTGTACAAGAGTCGAAAAAGATTGCTTACAACGAACCGGCTATTGTGAGTTAACCATTACTAATCCTGAAACTATGATATTTACCGTAATTTTGATATAGATTTCGAGAAGATCGAAGGTATGTGCAGGGTGTCCCATAGATATTGACACCAATGCCGAAGGTGTAAATAAATTGGTGTCTGCAGCTTTAAAGCACGTTGAAAGCGAAAGAGCAGCAAAACACGTTGTTGTTAAAGTCCTGAGAGTCCAAGAACAGGTAAGGAAACAACTTGTAAATACTGGTTTCATTTAATATTATGTTAATTTTAGGTGGTGTCAGGAATTAAGTATACATTGCTAATAGAAATCGCCCCTACCATATGCGCGAAGAGCGTCGGCGCATTGGAATGCCCTATAGATTCAGAAAAAGAGCAGTTCATATGTGAAGTAGAATATTGGGACAGACCATGGTTGCACAGTTCTTCAATCATCAAAAACAATTGTACAACTTCGCAGGATTATCAGTTGGAAGAACCAATTAATACCACTAAAAAACCCGAAATACAGCCGGACTTTTTATCCGAATTGGAGGCTCAAATTATTCCCGAATCCGATTCGAAACACCACAAAGATCACGTCAATAAAAATTACCAAGTACCGACGGTTCATTATCCCGACTTTGATTTCGTGCCAATTCCTGAAGTCATAGTAACTAGAAGGCAAATACGAGACATTAGCAGTGGCAGTTCGTCAAATACTAATGATGGAAACGACATTAGAAAGGATGATATTTTTAGTTCAAGCAGTTCCTCATCAGAAGAAGATGACGGAAACCAAACAAAAAAGAAGAATTACCAAGGTAGTTCCAGCAGTTCCGGAAGCAGCAGCAGTAGTAGCAGCTCCGAAGACAATACCCACAAAAATGGCGAGGTTTGTTTCTTAATCGAAATAACATTCAGCATTTATTGATAAAAAAATATTTGTAGAACAAAAAAGAAGACATCGACGGCCTCCTTCCGGTAATCCAGAAATATTTGAACTCAAAACACATCGAAGTAGTTAAATATTCCAAAGTGGATTTGGACGAAACCCATTTTAAACTGGACATACTGGTTGAAAAAGAAGGCGATTATGATGAATGCAGATTGCACGTAATCAAAGAAGGCAATGGATCCAATTCCGTAGTGAATAAAAATTGCGGCAAGGATAGATTTAAAAGGGCGCATTTATTAGGCGGTGTTGTTAATGTCGATTTGAACGATCCTGCCATTAAATCGTTTTTAAACACCGGTTTGCAACATCTCGATTCCCAATCGATCCATGCTAACAGATATAAAGTCAAGGAAGTACTGAAAGCAACCAAGCAGGTATGATTCTTTACGCTTTTTCTTTAATACACATTGACAAAAATGTACCCCTTAAATTGGAATAAAACGCAGAATTCCTAATCATTTATTTTTCTCGAACCATTTTTTAGCCTGTAAGCGGTACTCTTTGGAAAATAAAAGCCAAAATCGTTCTGTCGAATTGCGAGAAAGGTAAAACCGAGGAGATCGAAACTTGTGGAGAGAATTCCGATCCGCACGAACAAATTTGCGATATTGTAATATACGATGTACCTTGGATAAAAGAGGGAAGGCAAACTAACATAACTTGTGACCATGAAGAGTATTCTTTTAGGACTAGAAGAGACACAAGTGAGTCAATTTTTTAATATAGTTTTTATTCAGAACTTAATTGATTATAGCATGATAATGATCGTAATGAGAAGAATGAACTTACTCTAATATTGTATTGAGTATTGACTTCAAATTTTGCCTTAAGGCACCAAATGGCAGTTTTTGATTTTAATTTTATTAAATAAATAATGAAGTAGGAAGTAGGTGATATTAAAAATAGGAGATATCATTGCTTGGAGTCTCTATTTTAGGTATAAAAAAGATTCAAATCAATTGATGAAGATAAATTTGAATCTTACTGGAATTACTAACCTATGCTGTTTCCCATTTAAAACTACCCTTTTTCATCATACTCAATTAATATTGAAGGAATTGTGACCCCGAATTTACTTTTTCAGACTTCATTGAAGATTCATCGATCGAATTAAGATTTCTACAATTCATAAGCCAATTTCAAAAGGATTACAAAAGCAAACTCGAATATTTACTACGCTTGAGAATATTCAAGGACAATCTGTACCGCATATATCTCTTTAATAAGCACGAAAAAGGTGAGTTAAAAGATCCTTCTTATTAAGTGGCATATTTCAAATTGCACACACAATTTGCAAATGAACTTTCCATTTTGAATAAAGTCGTTTATAATAATCCATTTCGCGTTATCCAATCGACAGGTACTGCCCATTACGACATTACGAAATTCGCCGATCTCACCCCTGCCGAATTCTCCCACCTTCACGGTTTGCGAACGGACCTCCGCAGCGACAACGACGTTCCTCTGCAGAAAGCCGCCATTCCCGACGTCGATTTACCAGCGGCGTTCGATTGGCGCGACAAAAACGCCGTCACCGAGGTCAAAAACCAAGGGATGTGCGGCAGTTGCTGGGCATTCAGCACCACCGGCAACGTCGAAGGCCAGTACGCCATCAAGTACAACAAACTGAAGGAGTTCTCCGAACAGGAATTGGTCGATTGCGACAAATTGGACGATGGTTGCAATGGCGGTTTGATGGACAACGCCTATAGGTAAGAATTGAGAATTTTACTGGTTCGCCAAAATAGCCCAAGGAACCGTGAGCTTGACAAATTTCCTTTTAGGACAATAGAACGATTGGGAGGTTTGGAATTGGAGAGCGAGTATCCTTACGATGGGGAAGACGAGAAGTGCCAGTTCAACAAATCGAAAGCGGTCGTTCAATTGAAGGGAGCATTGAACATCAGTCACGATGAGACGGATATGGCTAAATGGCTTACCAAAAACGGGCCCATTGCTATAGCAATAAACGCGAACGCGATGCAATTCTACGCGGGCGGAGTGTCGCATCCGTGGAAAACGCTGTGCAATCCCAACGAGTTGGATCACGGCGTTCTGATTGTTGGTTACGGAGTTCACAGTAAGTTTTTATTACGAATAAGCCTCGTTTTTAACACATTAGAAACGCCAATAATCAGAGGAATCTTTTTAATTTTACGGTATACAGGGTGTTAATTAATTGAGCGCTGATACTGCAGGATGTGAATGTTTGGATGATTTTAAGAAGAAAAGTTTATATCAATGTATGTCCTAAACCTCTTAGTTTTCGAGCTACAGGGTGTTACAGTTTTAGGAAAGAAATTACTTTTTTATCATACTTTTCTCCATATTATTCTCCATAATATTACTCCATATAATATTATGAAGTTTCGGACGTGCGCGTCACTAGTAATAGTAGAAAATTAATTTTTATCCCAAAAAAAAGTGTTTCCATGCATGGTGGGCGCCTACCAAATTTTAACAAAATATTAAAAGCAGTCTCAATGAACTTGGGAAAAAATTGTTTTGGTTTTTATTTTTTTACGCGAAAATGGTGCGTCGTACGAAAGTAAGTCTTCGGATCGAATTTGCTCCAAAATAAATGAGTATTTAAAAAAATAGATTTTAGAAAAAGCAGTGGCGTGTCATTTTTTCTTCACACATATTCTGTACAAACCCCGTACGGACGTGTGTGGTAAACATTTTAAAAAATCTTTTGCCTCAAAAAATGTTACTTAACAATTAAAAAGTGTGTACAAAATTTCATAAAAATATTTGGAGTAGGTAATAAGAAAATTATGATAGAAAAGTTATTATTTTTCTAAAATTGTAACACCCTATAGCTCGAAAACTAAGAGGTTTAGGACATACATTGATATAAACATTTCTTCTTAAAATAACCCAAATACATAATCACATCCCGAAGTATCGCCACTCAATTAACACCCTGTATAGTAAATATGGCATAATCTCTCTTCCAGCGACTACTTTTACAAAGAAAACCCTTCCCTATTGGATAGTAAAGAACTCATGGGGCCCGAGTTGGGGCGAAAAAGGATATTACCGAGTGTACAGAGGAGACGGCACTTGTGGGCTCAATCAAACTCCCTCGAGTGCTATCGTTGCCTAGTTTATTCAGATTTCTGCGAAAGCTAATTTTTTATATAACGTAAAATGTATTGGGTGTTTTTTTAATAATGTACATATAACTATTATAATCGAGAGAATGCAGGTCGAACAAACGTTACCAGAATGCAAAACATTTAATATTTGCCGAAACTAATCGGAAAATAAGGCAAATAAATAATTATGAAGGGCATTGACGTAACTTATATCTTATTAAAATTTGTTGATTGCACTTTAATATTTTGATTAATGTTACATACACAAAAAAATCAATTAGTCCTTTTCAAGTCAATATTGGTGTTTATTTAATTTGTTTATCGCAAGCTCAATTTGTAAAATCTATAATTAACTACGTATACAGGGTGTTCAGAAAATAGAGGGAGATATTTTAGAGGGTAATTTCTTGTTAAAAAATATGAAGTCTATTTTATGAACACAATGTACTGTAATCTATAGAATAATGGCTGAATTCTGAGAGTCCATTACAAAATTATCTATTTCTCGACATGTTTTACATAAATTCAAATTGTATACCGATGAAATATTTAAAAAAGACTTGCTCTCTATTCTAAACTCGATTGAAATTCTCTCAATCTACATGGCAACTATTACCTTCTAAGTGTACACGAATTACAAGATTCGTTTTATAATTTTATTGAAGCTATTGTACAAAATTTGTCGTTTAATCTGTTTACACACATGTATGTTCTCCCGCGTGAATTGGGAGCCACTGAATCCGTTTTATTTTCAGCCTATCCGTTATTTAACAAAACTCTTCCGTACTGGATTGTAAAGAACTCTTGGGGTAAAACTTGGGGAGAGCAAGGATACTACAGAGTTTATAGAGGAGACGGTACGTGCGGTCTGAACGAAACTCCTTCGAGTGCCATCGTGGCTTAATCAGTTCTTTAGTTTACTCATGTACTATTAATGTAAGAGGAATGTTATTTTATGCTCTCTAAAATAAAAATCTATCATTGTTCGTAATTGGCAGTTTTATTAATCGAAAATAAACCATTATAAAACATTAAGTTCGCCCGAAGCGTTTTTTGAACCAAGAATTAACCGATGCATTGCCAGTATCATGAACGAAACGCAAATAATCGGAAACAAGGGTCAAGAGTCTACTAAAGAAGTTCGGTATCGTGTATTTACCTCTTTTCAAAATCGCTGAGACTTTTTCCACAGCGTGACTTATCGACTTTTCGATTACTTCCCCATTTTTCGGATTTGCAGCTTTCTTTTTATGCAATCGATCGTGCCTTAATGACGTCGGAGTCCAGCCTGAAGATTGAGTTAATAGCCCCAGGACAGATTCGCCTATGTCGCCTCGTCCGTAGGAGGTTAGGCCTATCGAGTACGATCCATCGGCATTTTCTACACTGATTATTTGCGCAGATACGCAGGCTAGTGTACAAATCTGCAATCGAAAAAAACATAATTCCCAATCTGACTCGCTGAAAAATTAAATCGAGTTGGGAACCAACAATAAGGGAAGGAACTTAACTTAATAGTCCATATTTATAAAAATGAAGCATTTACTTTGAAGTTGAATGAAAGAGGAAAAGGTTTTGCTCTGAACCATATTCATAATCTCCGCCTTTTACTTGCAACGAAACGCTTCGAATAAATAATGTAAAGGGTACAGAGATTAGCGATTTCGTCAAACTAATTGAAACTAGCCTAAATGATATGGTTCTAAACAGTTCTAAATTATTCTGCAGTCTAGATTGATCTAGACTGTTCTAAATGATTCTGGAGCGTTCTAAACTGTTTAAATGTTTTTGAAGCATTCCAGATTGTTCTAGACAGTTCTAAATAATTTTTGAGCATTCTACATGGTTTTAAACAGTTCTAAATGATTCAAGATAGGTGTAGAAAAGCACAATACTTCTTAAATGATCGTTATAAAACAGAAAAAGATAAACTTACCAATATACTCAAATTTATAAGCATTCTTCCACAATTCTATCATCGTCTCAACATTCTTAAAAATCAATTAACTAGAAAATTACAATAAATTCTCATAAAAACAGAACGCATTAGACATTATATTTGATTAAAAACCAATTACATAATCATATTATGTTTAATGAAATCTATTAGGAGGCAATGTGGAAAAAAACTAATTGTAAGTGGTGATAAAATTCGGTTCCCTGGAAATACCAATAACTTTGGTATAAGAAAGGTCTGCTTGAAACTCGTAAATTCGCAAATTCCTTTCTGAGAGTTTGAGAAATTAAATTTTTGTTATCTTAAAAACATATATCTTCTGACAATTCAATTGGTTTTCTTTTATAAAAGTGATATTGGATATTTTTAATCTGTAGTCAATTTTTGCCAAAGAGAAATTTTTGAACAGTTTTTTTATAATTTTAAATGATAACCGGGCAAGTACTTGGCTATCTAATCAATCAATTCTCCAACTCAGATTCTATATTCGATAATTTAAACATATTTTTCAATTACTCGTCGAGTACTTTTACGACTTGCTTAATAATTATGTTCAAATTATTAGTTAAAACAAAAATTAATAATAAGTATAATATAATAATAATAAGAAACTTCTTAGTTGCATGATTAATAGATCTACCAAAGATTTACATTCGAACATTTTTCCAAGAAATATTGAAAAAAAAAAAACTCCCATCGTTAGTATCTATGGGTTAGATGGTTTTGTATACTATTATCCAATGCCTTCTTTGACATTTCTTATTTAATTTTTATTTAATCCTGATGCCTGATAAAATAACGACTGATTGTCCTAAAAAAAATTCGATTCATGATTTGTCCTGTACGTGTTGTTTTCTCTCCTAAGCTATGTATTTAATTTTTGGACAATTTTGTCGGAGCCAGTTTTTCTCTCTCGGGAAATTAATTTGGTCCAGGCATTTATATCTCACGTGATTTTGTCTCTGGGCTATTTGATTGAATTATTTCGCAATTATTGATTCATCCTGTACAATTACTATTTACACCATTGGATAGCATTTGTATAGTCTTTTCAATGATGCATCACAAGTTGGGTGTTGCTATTTAAATTTCTATACTTGGGGTACGTGGGGCGTGGGGGGTTGATGGGGTTGAATAATTTTTTATGTCATTTTAGTTCCTTCTTCATATCCTAGAAGGGGTAAAGTAGGTACGTTTCTTTCGCACATTTCATATCAATAATCAGTTCTCTAGTTTAAAAGCACGTCATAAAATGAATATGGATATTTTATCTACACATTTGATAAAATCAACAATTTAAATTATTAGTTTTGAGTAGTTTCCAAAATATGACAAAAAAATACTCGTCAGGACTAATGACTATGCTATTTTCGTATACTTATACATGAATGGTTCTAATCTATATTTTGATACATTTGAAAATATCTATTTTTTAATCTAAGATGCTACAAAATAAGTAAGCATAATATTCTATCAATGGTTATTTTCGAAAATTACTAGATTGTTCCGAACTAATGGAAATTTGTAGGTGTACTCGTAATTCATGATAAACTACTATCTACCAATGCATCGATTTGTTTGTCAATTTTTATGAATTCTGTTTCTATAACATTTTTTTATGTAGAAGAACAAATTTTATATAAAATAAAAAAGAGATTAAAAAGATTAAAAAATGCATCGGCTAACTGACAGAATGGCCCCTCTGCATTCCTAGTTCATCCTCCATTCATACAAGAAATGATAAATATTAGCGACAATTATACATATCTAGATTATTGAACGTAATTTTTGTTCAAAGGAAAAGAACCAGAGTGATCTCCACCAGTTGCTCGATAGTATCTACCATAGAGATAGATAGATAGATGATATACCTATGTATAATTATATGTATGTATATTTTGTCTATGGTATCTACACTATTTTTAGAGATACTCTATTACTTCAAATTATTTGGTCTATTCTTTCTCAGTCAGTCTTATTTAACTTATTTTGTTTGGAAAAAGTTTCTGCAGATTGATATGTATCAAAATTTGCAATCATTAGTCGTCCTCCTACCTAAGTTACTGTTACTTTGAAGCTCTGCTCTTGAAAATTGCAAATGGCCTAAAAACACAATTTGATCCGTTCTTTAAATGTTATTAGATACGCGATATTTTTCAATATCGGTACCGAAATATTATCAATGCCACTTTGATAAGAGGCTCTTAAGTATGGACTGTGAATTGTAGAATATTATTATCAAAAGGTTTTTTACTTATTTATCAAGGCTACGTGAATTATTTTGTTTTGTCATTTTGGAGAATTTTTTTATAATAAGGATTTACAATAATTATGATAAGTTTGTCAAATTTTATTTTAAGATTCACTACTATCGAGATAAAGTAGAGAATGACAAATGATTGAAATCAAGTAGATACTGTAGTGTTTACTCTGATATTTTTTGTGAAACTTTTTTAAAATTTATTTTTATTCACTTCAATCAAATCAAGGAGTGTCACGAGGTACTAGTTTTGAGCTCACTGTAAATGCTCGATAATAGACTATATTTGTAAAAGAAGCATAACCTTTTGCTTCAAAAAATGAAGGAATTGCTTCAAGGTTTATGCATAAAAAGAGGAGAAGGAAGAAAGGTTTTGCTTCGAGGACCCTGCTGTTGCTTTAAAACAAAAGGTTTTATGGATTTAATACCTTTATTTAAGGTTTTAAAAACTTTTTCTTTTATCTTTCCCTTATTCTACCTTTTACTTCAAAGTAAATGCTTCATTTTTATACATAAATATTGACTAATGTCTATGAAATATGTAAATACATATGTATATCTCAGTCCCATATGTTCCAATCCCGTATGAAACAAGAAATAAATAGGGATGAAGCTATAGGTTGTAATACAAAGGTGGATATAATCGCTAAAAAGAAATAAAAAGTCCTAAAAAATCGTAAAAACTCGAAAGAACTAGACAAAACCTCATTTTAAGTGAGACAATTGCATGGCAAGGAATGTTTTTCTAATTCTCTAACTTTAATAAATACTAGTAAAAAAACAATAATTTGAAACCCAAACATTTTAAAACTGTATATGATCAAAAAAGTATGAATATAAGAAGTGAGTATCTTTTTAAAAAAAAATTAAAAAACGTTCTTATTAAGTTCAGGATTGAACGAAAATATTTCAAGAGGAATCTACTCCATAATTCAATTCTTTCTTTTCCCTTTATTTTTCGCCTCTGAAAGGCGTCTTTTTGAAAGAAACCAATAACTACTTACTCATCATTACATTTGCATTTGAAACTAGTAAAAAAAATCTCGTCTATAAAATGATGACTTTCTAGATGGTACCTACCTAATTATTGATAAACATGATAAAACAAAATTTAGCCACAGTAATCTCCCAAATTTGCTTGATTATCTAAAAATCCATTCAAAAAAAGCGATCTGATTGGCTCAGATTAATCAACAAATTTAGTATAAAAGAATCATTTGCGAACAATCTTGGCATCACGAGTGGAATATTTTACAAAATGTTCGCGAAAAAGTGTGCTGTGATTTTACTTCTGCAATTAACTGAATTATGTAAATATTTTGCAGCTGTAAATAATTTCGAAATCGTTAATTTTTCTTCAAATTTTCAGTATTCAGTTCAGCTGCTCCGGAACTCCCAAGGTTCAACAACAGCTATGGATGGCAAGTGGCTCTTCACATGCCCGCCGCCGAATCGAAGGAAGTAATGGTGGTTTGGTAGGATCTATTTAAAATAAAATATTAAACATTCAGCCTAACGGTATTCGTGTTTGCGCAGGTACGATGGTGAATCTAACAACACCCGTATTGACTTCATTGGCGGAAGGGTAAAGCTTTTCCTTTTGGGAGAAAAAGGAAACGGTGTAAGCTACAAAATAACTCCGGTCACCACCGAAGAAGTACTGAATAAAAACATGTGCTTCCAAGTCAACGGTACCGCCGAGGACCCGATTACTGCCCAGGATATTATGCCTAGTATGGAAGGATTTGAATATGCAGGTAAAATACCTTTTCCAACTTAATTCCTACTTTATTTTTACGATAATACATTATTCGTGGTTAATTTATTCTTACTATCAAGTAGTTCCTTTTAATTCTTCTATATTATATCATTATTTATTTAGTTCTCTTTTGTTTGATATTATCATATTAATGCATAGTGTCTTCAATTTCCTTTTCATGGCATGTCCTAAATGGACAGGTAGATAAAATTTTCCATTTTTTTAGGAATGGGAGCCATCAACCAACACGACGGTGAGAAATGGAGACGTGAAGTCAGAGTACAAGAAAGAGTAATGGTCTACACAATGTGGGTCAAGAGGGATGAAAACAACAACACCATTCCAATTGAGTAAGCCTTGTAATAAACGAGTAACGCCCGTCATTGCTATAATTTACCTAACTTTTAGATACGAAATGGTAGGCATCAACACAGTAACCAACAGTCACTACGATCACTACTACATTCACTACGACAAGTTCTTGGGCAACGAAATTCCCGAAGGCACTTTCAACGTATCCCAATTCGGTAAGTTTAATCGTCGGAGCCAAAATAATTTTCCAATAACGCGTAATTTCCGTATAGGTTTGAAATGCGGTCCTTTCACCGGACCAGGTAACCAAATCGTGCACAACTTCAACCCATTGGCCGAATTCGTGGCGCCGGTGAGAACCGACCACGTCGATTCCAGATTCGAAGAGTTCGTTCAGACCCACGGAAAGCGCTACGAGAGCACTCACGAGCACAGCCTTCGCAAGGACGCGTTCAGACACAACCTCAGGTTCATCGAAGCTCACAACAGGAAAGGCGAGGGTTACACATTGGGCGTCAACCATCTGGCCGATTTGACCAACGATGAATTAAGAGTGAAAGCGCCGAGGGGACGATTGGCCAGCAAGGGATACAACGGCGGTTTGCCTTTCCCTTACGACACCGAGAATGTGACTGTTCCGAGTCATATCGATTGGAGACTGCTCGGAGCCGTTACTCCTATTAAAGGTAACTTTAATCCGACTGGAAAGGTAAAATGGATGAAATTGATTCGTTTTTGTTGCTTATATAGATCAAATGGTGTGCGGATCATGCTGGGCGTTCGGAACCAACGGTGCTATGGAAGGAGCTATCTTTATAAAAACTGGAAAACTTATCAGCCTTTCCGAACAAGCTTTGGTCGATTGCTCTTGGGGGTAAAATATTTAAAAGCGTAAAACCAGTTTTTGTTCTAATTGTATTATCACATTTTCAGATACGGTAACATTGGTTGCGAAGGGGGTGAAGATTTCAGAGCCTATCAATGGATCAAAAAACACGGAGGTGTTCCTGCCAATGCAGAATACACTCACTACAGTGGAGAGGTAAAAACTTTATCTTCTCCAAATAACACTGTAATTTACCTATAATGTTTTCTGTTTAGAATGGCTACTGTATTGCCGAGAACGTCACTAAAATTGGCCCCATCACCGGATGGGTTAATGTTACTTCCAACAACGAGGCCGCTTTAAAATTGGCCTTGCTCAAACATGGTCCCATTAGCGTAGCTATTGATGCTAGTCTAAAAACATTCATGTTCTACTCAAGTGGAGTGTACCACGACAAAAATTGGTACGTCAATCATCTTAAAATTAGATTAGTATAATTAGAAAGTTTCCCATTTGAAAAGTTCTCAAAGACGTTTCTTTCCAAATTGTCTTAATTATTATGTGTATATTATTGCAGCCGAAACAGGGACGAGGATTTGGACCACGCTGTCTTGGCAGTTGGATACGGTACTCTCAATGGACAAGACTACTGGTTGGTAAAGAACAGTTGGTCTCCGTACTGGGGAAGCGAAGGATTTGTACTCATTGCTAGGAAAAACAACATTTGCGGTGTCACTACAGCAGCCACTTACCCAGTATTAGCTTAATTAAAGTATTGCTTAAATAAACTAAATGACTAAATAAAAAGTTTTGGGAACTGAAACGTTTAATTTCTTTTATAACTTGCTGTTATTCTCAAAGTACCTGTTCCCTCTGATTAAACTGAGAATTTATTTGCTATATAGGGTGCATCTAAATAACACCATTTAAAATTGAAGAAAAAATTTAAGGGATGATTCTGTGATGAATATTTTATAGTTAAAAATTTTATACTTGGTATAAAATTTTTTGAAAAAAACTTGTTTGTCGACGTTTTTTCTTAAATTTTGCGGTAAGTATAAGGCCGAAAGAGCATATTTTACGGCCAGGAACCCCATGTGTGAAACAAGTTACCAATAGTCTAATAGACAGTAACACATTTTAAATTTGTTCTTCTTTCATAAAAAGATAATTATTTCCAGACACACCGAAGATTATACTTTATTCTTAGATGTAAAAGACCACTAAAAACTGACACTACTGACAGGACTGACAAGTGACATATACTTATTTAGTTTGTTAATTTTATCAAAATAAAGTGAGTTTTAAAGTTTTACGCGTGGATTGTTATTGAAACAAAGTGGAATTGCTTGTGTAAATAAGCTAACTAGAACGCTAGTTAGTTATTTTCTACAAAAACGTTACTTATTTATTGTTGTTTTCAAACTTGGCGCCACTACAATTTCTGCATCGCAACGCAACTATTTGAGGAAAAAAGAAATCGACACTAATTTTCTGATCGTATTAATTGAAAATAAAGAAAAGTGTGTTATTGTATAAATAACTGTACAATAGGTTGATTGAATTGTTAGATAAATTTTCCGTGAAGTGTGAACAGGTTGTTTTATTAGATTTGTTATGGCTAACAGCAGCAGTTCTGAGGATGTTGGTGCCCCAAGAGATTTTCATTTATCTACGTCTACAGACAGTGACACTCGCTTAAGCCCTAACAGGCAAAAGTGCCCGTTGTGTCGCAAGTTTAGGAAAGTCTTTTATTGCAAATCTTGCTTGCATAGTGGCCTATTTTATAGCACAAAACAGAAAATAACGGAAGGGTATGTTAACAAAGCTAATTTAGTATCCGCTTGTTAATTATTGTTTTCAGGTACATAGATAAACAGAAAGCACTGTTAGAATTAGAGGATAATAAAAAAACCTTGGAAAAAAACTGCTTGAAGCTTCTAGACAGTAAACAAAAATCTGATGTTTTGGTACGGGATATTACACACTAATTTATCCTCTCAAAAACAAGTTTTTAATTTTCTTCGTCATTTCAGAATTCGCGAATTAGACAAGCCAAAGACAGAATAAGGAGCCTAAGATCAGCAATAGATGAAAAAAAGAAAAAGAAAGTCACGAATAACGAAAAACTAGATTCCCTCAAAGAACGAAACAGAAATTGTCTTAAATATTTACCGAGATATGAGAAGAAAGTTAAAGAGCACGAGTCTTGTGTTAGCTTTAAATATGACAAATTAGAGAGAATTAAAGAGAACGCTAGAGAAAAACAGGACAAATTGAAGAAACTATCGAGATTAAGAATTCAACAGCTTTTTAAGTATATTTTCCCCATTTGCGTAGTTAATCCCACTATGTAAGAATCATTAAATGCCATTGATTTAATTCAATTTTAACTATATTAGAAAATTTATTTACAGGGAAACCGAATTATCTGGAGATGATATGGTGAATGCACTGTATGAAGCTTCACAAACGACATTTATAAGTGACCGTTGGGAGTATTCGGATTATTGGGGCGAACTAAAATATTGTATTGTTGGTCCAACATTACCTGCGTCTGGTAATTATTCAGCATACAACATATGGGGTCAGTAAATAATTTGTATTGGTGCCGGTCTAGTATGGGATCTACCAGAATATTTGCGGTCTACCTACATATTTCGTCGCCCAAGTATATTTAAATACTTTGACGGGTGTCATATTTTGTAAAACTGAAACTGGTTTTGAAAATTTCTCACAAAACTGCAAATGTTTGTCCATTTGGACTTTTTTCTATCTCCCACTGTTTCCGAGATTCCTGTACTAAACATCGAAAAAAAAACTCACTGTATGATTCTGATACTTAGGTAATTTTACATAAATTGAATAACTTACCTGCTATTTCATACATAATATAATATTAGTAAAATCTTTTCGTTTCCTTGGTGAAGATATTCTATATTTACGTTTAAATAAATACTGGTACTTCTCCAATTCTCAATGGAAGTTAAAATTTTTCTTTTGCTTACTGAAGGGTCAATTTTCTGAATCTCGTTTTTATACTTTGTATGTAATAAATTTGGATAGACCGCATACTAAACCAGATTCGGTAGGGTAGACCACATACTAGACCGTCAACTTTGTATTAATTTCCATTTGCTAATGTCCCTTTTGTTTTGTAGTCGCTCAAAATCAAGATCCAGTCCCTGGATCGAATATATGTAGTACAGTCGAATCAAATCCAGCTTATACCATTAGCGCCGCCCTGACATACACAGCACAATTAGTTAGCATCCTATCATATTATTTGAATATTAGACTACCTTATAAAATGCAATATAGGTAATAGTTTTTGAAATTTTTTTGTTAAGAAAATGCATGAGAAATTTTTTGAAACAATTATGTTTTAGTGATTTTTGTACGAGCTGCATGAATGAAAAACAGTTTACGAGAAGAACCGCTCGTCTTAACGCTAACATACTCTACTTGTGCTTCACGCAGAAAGTAGATTTAACTACTTTAAATGCAGCTAAAACTATACACAATATTTTACAATTGACAAAAGATCCACAGGCCGATTTAGGAAGGTAAATATATCGTTTTCCTGGTGTTTTTTCAACGTATTCAACACGTCTTTTATCGTTTTCAGAGAAGGGCCTATTGAATACGACAATTATCGAGCTTCAATATTGGAGGAGGAGATATACAATGATCTGAAAACCAGCGACGATTCGGATTTCGAGGAAGGGGATTCGTTTCCAGTGGAATGGGAGGCCGTAAGTATTTTTGTCCTTGGATCAATCCGTATTTTCATTAATCGGACTGCGTGTTAATTACATTGACATTTCACTGCGGTTTCGTATTTTTAGGTGCCTCACGTGCAATGTCCCGAAATAGCGGCCGGATCAGTTCTCAGTCAATCTCCACAAATGATTGCCACTCAACAGGCAAGCAGCATGGCGGGCGGTTTAGTGACCAGCGCTGCGGCTAGTATAGCGTCGATTTGGCGCGGTTTTACCGGCAGGTAGTTTCTGCTCCGATTCATCTACACGCCAATAAAACGTGTAGCGAGTATGAAATTACAAGCTTCTAACTTTCGCAACAAATTATCTAAGGTGTACTGTTAGTTTTTGAATATGGAGGGATAATAAAATTATTTTGGTAGACATTCGATAAGAACAATAAGATTTTTTTGATCTCTGGTTTCCTCTATATTCAATTATTATAGTAACAACGTGTTTCATTTCATTTTCTAAAGAATCAGTATGCATCTAAAAAGGTAGAAATTACTTTTATTCAAATATTTTGTAGTGATTACAAACATTTGTACATATTCCATTGTTTTCTATATTTTAAAATTGTAGTTTATACATGGTGTTCCATAATGACATGCTAATATTTAAAGGATCCATAATTTTAATATTTTTGGACTCATTTCAATAAAAAAAAACTCTTCATATGAACATGTCCTAAACCTAATTTTAAAAGCCTTATTTTTTATGTGAAACGGTGAGTCGTACGGAAAAAGTCAAGAAATCAAATTTGTTCTAAATTGAATGAGGATTCCAAAAAAAATTATTTCAATATTAAACAGTGGCGTACCATTTTTTTTCTCCAAAAATATTCAATGCAATTTTTGATTCTTGATTCATAGAAGACGTGTTCTAGATTTCATACAGAAAAAATTGATTTTTTTCTTAAAACATTCACAAGTTAAGACGTTTAGGACATAGGTTCATATGAAGTTTTTTTCTTAAAATGGGCCGAGAAATCACCACTTAAATATAAGCATGTCATTTTGGAACACTCTGTATACTGTATACACTAAAAAATATTTTCATACAAAAATAATGGAATGACAATGATTTTGGGGAAAAATGTTTTCTTTGTTTTTCGTTCATTTTGCAACAAAATAGATGCTTAATGTGAAATGTCTTTGTAACCATTTAATTTTGTAGATTAGTATTATCAATTTATCGAATATATGTATTAATCAAAATAGCCGAAATTCGCGAATTGAAACTTGTATAAATGAAGTGCTATTTTTCTTTAACCCATTAACTCTGTTCATAATTCCAATAAATTTGACATGTAAACTTTAGTGCTACAATTCACTGGATATTTGTGTAAACTGTTCAAATCTGTGATATTATCTGTAGACAAGATATTATCTTTTTAAATTATTGACAACTAAAATTATCGATTTGTTTCAAGAAAGGAGATTGTAGTTTAACAATAAACATTTTTTTTAATATTGCATTTTATTTTTCGCGTTATTAAATGATTGATGCCTTAAATGGCGTTAAAACAATAATTAGGTTTAAAAAAAATCTCATTTTTATTTAAAGAAGTTAAATTATATTCAATATAATTAAAGAAATAATTAGGTATGTGATGATAATGATAGGAATGATGAAACTTTTTTGCTGAATGAATTTTCAATTTTTTGTTCCATTAATGTAATTTGAGCTTTCCTCATTAATGTAATTGGGGTGGTTTTTATCTTATCTTTGTAAACGAGATAAATGATATTAAGAATTTTAAGTTAATTTCAATACCAAGTACTTCTTTTAAATATTTAAGTGGGTATCATTATGAAGGTGACATCGTAACAAATAACAATAGTAACTAAAACCTGTGTAAAGACACGCTTGCAAATACATTTTTTAAAAAATGTTAATCTAAATCCAATAAGTATATACAATTTAATAAAAACCAATTAGTAAAGGATCCTTCTTATTTCTCCTCTTCTAAGGCCAATTAACATTGTGTAAAGGACATTGCACAGGACACTGACCATTGCTCTATAAAATAAATATAATTAAAAATTGAAAAGATATTGTATAGAAAACTTAATCTTACATGATACAGTCTATGTCTTCTCTGAATTTCGTGGTTTTTCTTTACTTTCTCTAGTAATTTCACTTGATCTTCTAGACGTTGTATACATTGTTCGCATATTGTTTTTGGTAAATTATCGTACTTTTTGAGCTGAAATAAAAATAATTGAGCTTTTTATTAACAAATATTACACAATACTTACAGAAATAGGCATAAGCTTAACTTTATTCAATAAGTCTAATTTTCTAGCTCTTTCGGTGTATAGATGAATAACCACTTTTTTCTGTTCCGAACACAGCCTACATATAAAACCTGTAACTATAGCCTTTGCAGTACTGCCCATTATTTATAATTTTAATAATTTCAGTTCCAAAAAATCGATAATAAATTAAATCTACAAATATTTTGGTGATAAGCTGACACAAGTAACAGTGACGTTTGAAGTATGTTTATTTATATTCTTCTTCTTACTCTTGTTGAGACTTTAACAGCTTTGTTTTTAAGCCACACATTTCTATTATTAGAATTGACATTGACAAGTTGAAACATGTGACTTTTGACTTATGACGTTGGCAAGAGATTGTTCATGTATTTAGCATGGAGTAAAAATAGTTGTTTTTATTTGGTTGATGATCAATTAAAAAGAGAGGACAATACAAATTTCTACTTAAATTTTGAAGCGCCATCTAGAATTTATGGATATTACGATTTTAGGCATAGTAGATGTTGTCATCCTAAAATTTCTATTATTAGACAAATGGCGCACGCGTAACTACATTTAAAATCGCCATACTTTTATTTTATTGTTGTGATATTGAAAAAGTCGTTGGGAAGTCGAATTTTTATATAAAATTTAGAGTATTTGAGTGTTGTTTATTTAAGTTAATATAGGTGAGAATCGGGCACGCTCGAATCAACGCAAACGGCACCATCTAACCTCCGCTTTTGAATTTTAGAAAAAAATGAAGCTTCGCTAGAAGAGAGTTCTCGAGTTCGATATATGAAAAACATACGAAATGGGAGCTTTTCTTGACAAACCAAAGACAGACAAATTTTTAGAACACGGCGAAGGCAACGGAATTCGCTATGGGGTCGCGAGCATGCAGGGCTGGCGCATGGAGATGGAAGACGCTCACATGGCCAAAACCAATCTAGGCGAAGCCTTAAAAGATTGGTCTTATTTCGCCGTATTCGACGGACACGCCGGAGCCTACGTGTCCGCACATTGCGCCGATCACTTGCTGAACACTATCATGGAAACGGAAGAGTTCCACGAAGACGTTATGAAGGCTATTCACAAAGGATTCTTAGGTACATCCCATCCTCACTTATTTTTATCTACATGATCAGTTATGCCGTTTAATTAGTCACTTTAAATATATTTAAAAATGTTTAATGATTACAAAAGGTACTCCAGTTAAATCATTACAAAAATTTATAAATAGAACGAACGAAAAAAAAAATTTAATTTCTTTAAGTTCACGTTCAAATAATACTATTTCGGAATTGTTATTTTTCAAATATTTAGATATATGTGGTTACTATCTTTATAATAATTCATCTTGTTCATTTCAACTCGTTGACTCATTCGACAATAACTATATAAAATAATAACTTGCATATAGAAACCCAATATATCGTTATTTATCACTAATGAGTTGAATAGATATCAATCAATATATTTCCTTTCTAAATTTGAAACCAAAGGCCTGCTGTGAACTTACTATAGTTACATAAGAGTCCTGATGAGAATCACATAAAAACTGTAACTCTCAATTTCTTCTGTGAATACCAAGTCTTTTAAGCTGCATACAACCCAATGTATCAATTCGAATTATGTTTCATTTTGTTCTAGAATTGGACAATAAGATGCGCGGCTTGCCGGAGATGACCTCTGGTAAAGATAAAAGCGGATCGACGGCCGTTTGCGCCTTTATCTCGCCTCGTACCATTTACGTAGCCAATTGCGGCGATTCCAGGGCGGTGCTTTGTCGCGACGGGATGCCGGTCTTTTCTACGCAGGATCACAAGCCCGGTTTGCCCACCGAACGGGATAGAATAGTCAAAGCCGGCGGGTCCGTTATGATTCAAAGAGTCAACGGAAGCCTAGCGGTAATTATTTGGATACACATCAAACCTATTTTGAAGTTTAATCTGTACAGAAACCAGTCAATTCATCTTTTCAGTCCAATTCCTCATATCCTTATATAAACTGAAGCATTTACTTTGAAGTAGAAGGTTTTGACTGGCGCATTCTTGATTAATCTAGACAGTTCTAAATGATTCTGGAGTGTTTTAGATTGATCTAGCCAGTTGTAAACGATTCTAGACAGTTTTAGATGATTCTGGAGTGTTCTAAGCGGTTCTAGACTGTTTAAATGTTTCTGAGGCATTCCAGATTTTTCTAGTTAGTTCTCAATGATTTTTAAGCGTTTTAAACGATTCTAGAGAGTTCTAAATAACTCTGGAACGTTCTAGATTGATCTAGACAGTTCTAAATTACTCTAGAACATTTTACATCGATCTAGATAGTTCTTGATTGATCTGGACAGTTCTAAATGATTCTAGACAGTTCTAGATGATTCTGGAACGTTCTAAATGGTTCTAGACAGTTCTAACGCAAATACACCCTGTCAGCTAAAACAAACTGGGGAACAGACCCAAAATTCACAAAAATTTTGCGTTACAAGCTGTGTGATGGCTGAGTAATTACTGAGAAGATTGTGAAAAGTTGCTATGAACCTTTATTTACGTTTTTACAAGCAAATCCTTTTGTTTCTAAGCAAATGCTTTTTTTTATAAATACGGAAAGCATAAAACCTTTGGCTTTAAAGCGACAGTAGGGTCCTCAAAGCAAAACCTCTTACTTCTTATTACTTCATTTTTTGAAAGCAAAAGGTTAGCTTCTTTTTATAATTACGGCCTGTTGATTGCAATAGAAGAAATGATATAGTTTTAATCTAATTATCTGTTTCTATTAATTAAGGTGAGCAGGGCGCTGGGTGATTTTGAGTACAAAAACGTCGAGGGTATGGGACCCTGTGAGCAACTCGTATCTCCCGAGCCCGAGATATTCGTTAGGGAAAAAGACGATATGGCCGATGAGTTCCTAGTCCTGGCGTGTGATGGAATTTGGGACGTTATGAGTAATGAAGATTTATGCGCGTACATTCGCAATCGATTGTGCATTACCAATAACCTGCAAGAAGTTACCAGTCAAGTTATTGACACCTGTTTGTACAAGGTACAAGTGTCCGATATTTGCGAATTTATTTATTTTAAATGGTGCTGATTGATTTACAGGGGAGTCGAGATAATATGAGTATAGTACTAGTGGTTTTTCCTGGTGCTCCCACTCCAACTCCAGAAGCTGTGATGGCCGAAAAAGAATTAGACGCTTCTATTGAAAGGCACCTCAAAGGTAGTATTATTACAATTGACGTTTAAGACTAACGAACAAACAGTAATTGGACACTTTCGTTTTTATTTTAGAAATCATAGAAGTAAGTAATGATACAGATTATTATCAAGTACATCGTAAACTTAAGTCAATTAACATTGAAGGATTACCACCCGGAGGAGGTTTAGCATCCAAGTAAGTTTTTGTACCTCTATAATCTCTATAATCTTGTAGCACGAGTATTATCTCTATTTATATACATCTAATTTGTTTTTCATCAATTAATAATCTTAATTGTGTTTTTTAGACATAAGTTAATTGACCAAATTTTCAAGGAACTCTGTCCTGAGGAGGCGGAAAATGTGAGTGGAAGTTTCGATGTTTTCTTTTAAATAAATCAATTCGTTTTTTTTGTGGACTGATTTTATTATTCGTCAAAATTTGTTACTGTATATTGAATTGTCATTTTTTATCACAATGAAATAGAAATTAAACGAATTACTTATCAGTTGAAACAGGGTATGTTCTTGAATATCGATCTTTGGCCCAGCAAATGTACAATTCTAGACTATAAGTTTTATGTTTTAATTTTTTGTTTTTGGTTTTTTTATTGAACGTGTTTTTGTAAATTTTGATGTTGCAATCAAAAATAATTGTTGCCAAAAGTTTAATGTAATATTTATCTACATAATGAATAATTGATGCGAGGAACATTAGAATATGGGAAGATTTTTGGTGTAGGAGTTAATATTTATACAAGTATCTTGCTGAATATTTTATGAAACGCGAATTATTAGTTCAATCATATTAGAATTGGGGATCAAATTTTTTAAAACTACTAGATTACTAATTGTAATAATTGAGATAAAAAATACATTCAATCGAAGAAAATATTATTTTTTGTAGTTGAAATGGTTTTTTATGAAGTTTAATAATTATTGCACTATTATGTAATATTTATTGTATTGTTTGCATAAATTGAATTTTATTTTTACTCATCTTTTTGATATTTTATGTGCCATTCGTAATTTTAAATTAAAATAATTCTATACGTGAAGATATTTTATAGATATTTAAAAAGTACAAATTTATAATACTAATAAATATATTGTAGTAAAAGGCTCAGTTTTGAAACATTTGACTAGAAATTGTATACAAATATAACTAATTAGTGACAGTAATTACACAAAAAACATTACACTTTCATTCATATTCATTACACTAATAATATTTTAAAATTAATCAAAAATGTATAATTAAAAAAAGTACAATACATATACGCAATTTGAGCGTCTTGAAGTGGCGATATCTTTTATCAACGTTGCTTAATTTATGGTAAAAATCGGTAATTAATCGAAAAAGCCTGTAGTAGGAATATTATCTCTATACTTATAGAATTCAAGTACAATAAATGTTATTGGAAAAAAATCAACGTCCAATATTCTGAATGATGATACTTTTTAAGTAAAATATTTTTGAGATAGGGAGAAACACTCATCTATTAGGAATTTACCAAATATACAAACTAATTCGGAGAAGGTAGTAGAATAATATAAATCTTAAGACCTTTTAGAGTAATTTATAGATACTATTTGAAATAATAGGTATAAAAAGAATAATATTTCAATAGAACGAGTATTTTTACTTATCATAATAAATTATACATAGCAGTATCGAGCTGTATCCAAGCAAATTATAACATTTTATTTATTTTTGATTGCAATGAATTGAATTCGGTTTTTTATACAACATTTACATAATACTATATGCACAAAATGCCAATAAGACCTTGGCAAACAAAACTTTTTTATCATGATATTCAGATATTAAGGAAATTTTTTGATTGACTTCCCTTTTTTAAATATGTGTACAGTAGTAAATTATATTTTTAAATAAAATTAATTCCTCGGAAAATATGTTTTATTTTTATTACCTTTGTCAACTGTGAATTCCGAAAGAAGAATACACTAAATGCAAAAAGTGAAGGGGGAAATACAATGACATGAAAAATAATTCACCCCTATCAACCCCCTATGCCCCACGTATCCGAACTATAAAAATTTAAATAGCAACCCCCAAAGTACATCATTGAAAAGCCTATAAAAATGCTATCCAATGGTATAAATAATAATTGTACAGGGTGAATGAATAATTGCGAAACTTTGCCTTAAAAGCAAAATTTAAAGATGTTTGAAAACACCATCGAACCTATTAAAATTGTGCATGAATTAGATAACCAAAGGGACGACCAAGGCAGTCTAGCTTTAGACAAAGATTTGCTGCATTGGATTGGAAGAAGAGGTCCTATTGAGTGGCCACCGAGATCACCAGACTTAATGCCACCTGATCCACCTGATTTTTTTCTATGGGGTTACCTCAAGTTATTAAGAACATATTCGGCTTTTCTATAAATATAAATGGATAAAATCATGAAAGAATCGATTCCGTGTAATGCTTTGTTCTACAAATCAAACTAGGATTAACGAGATTTAAGCGACTTAACAACCTTAATAGGATTGAAATAGGGGAATTAGACCAATATGTTTTTATTAAATTAGAGGTATAAAAGTCTAATTGTTTTTGGAGACTCATGCCAGTTTGGAAGAAAGCTCATTCGTGTAGGAAAAAGGGGAAACAAAATGAGGCCTTTCAACTGGACATCAACGGTAGAAGCTCAAGCCAGGTAAGAACTGTTAAGCAAATGAATAAATCTCTGCTTTTTATTTTTTTAAGCTTAATAACGTATTTATCTTATGAATATCTAAAGATAGTTCAGTTTTATCAGAGCCATGGATCACATGGATAGTGCTTTAGTCCATCAAATCGGCTGGAATGTCGATCCACAGGATCTCATTCACATCCCGGAACACTGGCAATTATATCCCGCTCCGGATAAATCATTACATTTCCTTCTCGGAATGATATACGTATTTCTGTGGTTCGCTGCGATAATCGGCAATAGTCTAGTATTGTGGATATTTTGCACGTTAGTAACGCCACTGTTACATCTTTCCCTTCTATAAACACATTCGTTTTTTAGGGCGAAGTCACTAAGAACAGCATCTAACATGTTCGTTGTGAATTTAGCATTCAGCGACTTTCTAATGTTCACCAGCATTCCTATTTTTATTTACAATTCGTTCAGCGGCGGATTTGCTGCCGGGTGGCTGTCGTGCCAGATTTACGCTTTGTTGGGTTCACTCTCTGGGATTTCGCAAGGCATGACCAATGCCTGCATCGCATACGACAGGTAAGTTTCTCCTTCTACAACTTCTTCAAGTGCCTTGCAGATTCCTGCGTAGAATGTTTGGAGGTCCTTTGCTCCCTCCATCAGCGGATATTTCTAAGCCACGATAATTTCATTTCCGAAACTTTCCTAGTTCTGACGTGATCAATCCAGGACTTCATAAATGCTTCAACTCCTTACAAAAGTACGGACCAGTTTCCAAGTTTTTCCTAGCCGCATCTTATTCAGAAAATTTATTACATGTAGCATCAATTTTGTTATAGAGAAGATACGGGAAGAATTAAAACAAACATTCTAGGTATCTACATTTCTAATAGACTAGGAAAATTAACTAATTTTCTGCACACCAACTACTAAAATTTTCGTTGTTTAAACATACATATGATTTTTTTATTTTAGATATACAACGATAACTAAACCATTTGATGGTAAAATTACCAGAACGAAGGCTTTCTTAATGTTACTATTCGTGTGGCTGTATACTTTGCCTTGGGCATTTCTACCAATGTTCGAAATTTGGGGAAGGTACATGCCAGGTAACCCATGAAATTAGTTTCTACATTTTCATACATTTACTTCATCTTTACAGAAGGTTATTTAACCGCCTGCTCTTTCGATTACCTGACACTAACCTTCGATAACAAATTATTCGTTGGATCCATATTTGTGTGCTCCTACGTGTTTCCCATGATGGCTATCATTTACTATTATAGCCAGATTGTGTCCAAAGTGTTCGCTCACGAAAAAGCTCTGCGTGAACAGGCAAGTACATTCTCTTAAAAATCGAGCATCCAAATATAGCGTGCTCGATATTTCCAGGCGAAGAAAATGAACGTGGAGTCGTTGCGCGCGAATCAACAACAAAAAAACGAATCTACCGAGCTGAAGATAGCGAAAGCTGCCATAACGGTGTGCTTTCTCTTCGTCGCCGCTTGGACTCCTTACGCCACGTTGTCGCTGATCGGAGCTTTCGGGGATCAATCGCTTTTATCACCCGGGGTTTCCATGATACCCGCTTTGGCTTGCAAACTCGTGGCCTGCTTCGATCCCTACGTGTACGCCATCAGCCATCCGAAATACAGGTATTTGTTATCCTCGATTTATATTCTGTTATTTGGCTAATAACATTTTTTGTAGAATTGAGCTGCAGAAGAGGTTGCCCTGGCTGTCCATAAGAGAAGATACTGACACACAATCGACTACAGTTACCGAAGCTTCTGCACCTTCTTCTGCGGCGTAATTGGAAATTGATTTTTTTTTAATTTGTGTTACTTTTTATACTGGACTGTATATTCGATGACGACTCGGCTACGTTCTAGGTAATGAGATTTAAAAGCATCTAGATAAAAATTTCATGTACATAATACTAAGTTTTATTTTTTTTCTCCTATAGTAGGGAACTTTGGATACTTACTCTAGTTTCGAGCAATGAAAACAATTTTGATAAAAAAATTCGAATGTTAAATTATTTCTTTTCTTGTAACCATTATATTTGTGACATCTCTCATCATGTAAAGAATAAAATAAAATATTCAGCAACGCAAATGTTAGTATTCATTGGTATTAAAAAGTTTCCACTCTGTATTCCATTGACATGGGATTTCATCCAACTGAAATTCGATTAAAGGTTTTAACAGGATTGCGGTTTTATCAGATTTCCCCGGATTAGCGCCTCAACTTATATAAAGCGATTTCAAAACGATATCAGTTGTCAGTTCGATACAAATCTCAAATGCTGCTGCCATCATGGGGTTTTTCAACACGACCGCCTTCTTCGTTTCGAAAGCTAGGTAAAAAGATTCGCCAAACTGTTATAAATTTTTCACATTTCCTTATTTACACAGAATGATGGATCCTCTCAACGGGAGAATAGTCCAACATTTGGGTTGGAATGTTCCCGCCGAAGAGCTCGTCCACATTCCGGAACACTGGCTGGCATATCCAGACGTCGACAAATCCATGCACTTTCTTCTAGGCATTGTTTATTTCTTCTTCTTCGCAGCGGCCATCATCGGCAACGGAATGGTCCTTTGGGTTTTCTGCTCGTGAGTAATCTACTACCAACCGCAATTTTATTACTATCTACCGAACTTTTAGAGCTAAATCACTTCGTACAGCTTCCAATATGTTCGTCGTAAATTTGGCCTTTTGCGATTTTCTAATGATGCTTAAAGCTCCGATCTTCCTCTACAACACCTACCATCAGGGCTTCGCGTTGGGCCATTTCGGGTGCCAGTTATTCGCGGGAGCTGGCGCGCTTTCCGGCATCGGGGCCGGGGCAACCAACGCTTGTATCGCTTACGACAGGTACACGACGATCACTAGACCATTCGATGGCAAAGTATCCAGAACCAAAGCCTTGTTCATGATCCTGTTTGTTTGGTGCTACACGCTACCGTGGACGCTGTTCCCCTTGCTGGAGGTCTGGGGACGGTTTGTACCTGGTAAACGAAACGTTCTGTCTCAGAACTGCTTCGTATTGCAATGTTATTTTTTTAGAGGGATTTTTGACGACTTGCTCTTTCGATTATCTGACCAGAACTAATGATAACCGCATGTTCGTAGGAACGATATTCACGTTCTCCTATGTACTTCCGATGATGCTAATCATCTACTTCTATAGCCAGATCGTTAGTAAAGTGTTTAGTCATGAAAAGGCGTTAAGGGAGCAGGTAAAATCGGGTAGAGATTTCGTCGATTGCAACCGCCAATTCGATGTTATTTCAGGCGAAGAAAATGAACGTGGAGTCGTTGAGAGCGAATCAACAGCAACAAACCGAATCAGCGGAATTGAGAATAGCGAAAGCGGCGATAACGGTGTGCTTTCTGTTCGTTGCTTCTTGGACGCCCTACGCCGTTTTAGCGCTGATAGGGGCCTTCGGGGATCAGTCTCTGTTGACGCCCGGCGTTTCTATGATTCCTGCGGTTACGTGCAAGTTAGTGGCTTGCATTGATCCTTACGTTTACGCCATCAGCCATCCCAAATACAGGTACGTGACTGGACTTATTTTGTAACTATACTGATAAGTCGTTTTATTAGACTGGAATTACAAAAAAGGATGCCTTGTTTGGCCATTAACGAGGCAAGTGAAACAGTTTCAACGGCAACTGAAACCGCATCTCAACCGAATGCTTGAATTTATCGCCAACAACGTCTCATCATGGTTAATGTAAGTGTAGATTTGTATCGAATTGAAAGAAAATTCACTATAAAATTGACCAAGCTTCGTCTAACGGACTACGATTTTTCTTTGTTACCCACACTCAGTTTTTTCAAACGTTATTGAATAATATTCATTAGTTTGCAGTGGCAATATTTGTGTTTGAAAAGCTGAATTGTTTTCTCTATTGTTGATTGTGTTAATTAATATTTCTTATTATTTCTAAATCATAAAAATGTGTATAAAAATTTGTTAAACATGTATAAAAAATTATAATTCAACGAGCAATAATATTTAGTTGTTTTATTGATTTTACTATTCCTAGTTTATCTGATGAATAACAAAAATTCTGTTGGAGAATCAGCAAATTTTGTGGAAATTTGGTTTAAAAAGGTATATAAAAAATCCAAAATAAAACCATAGCAACTGGATAATAGCAGATGAAAGTGCGGCTTGAAATAAGTCACATTTTCCAAATATTTTACGCTATAAAAACAATAAGAGAACGATGTAATAATGGGTTCGAATTTCAATTTATTTGACCATGAATCCGATGTTAATTTGGTCGACAGAGAGGATGTAAGCACTGCCGTGCCAGAAGGTGAAGCAGTAAATAAAACCTTAGAAGACTTTATTGTAGTGACAAAAAAATCTCTCGGCGATGATGACAAATTGCATCTCTCATGCCCCCCTCCTGCAGCTTACACCAGGTAACTTCTTTAATGTTTACATACTAACAGTAGGTAGGACCTTCAATTTATACTTTTTCCACGCATTCCAAATATTACATATTCGGAAAGTTCATAATTTTCTGTGCTTTTTGATTTCCTTTAGAACTATTTCCATTAAATATTTTTTTTCGTTTTAAGAGAACCTGGTTTCATTCCATTTCACATACCACATAGGAAGCTTTTGGAGAAGATCGAACACAAAAGAGTTGAACCAGAACCCTTGGTAATTAAACCAACATAATTAATATTGACTCTCCTTTGTACGATACAAATATTTTTTCAGACTGGTTTCCAAGAGCTTCAGAATGAAATTATAAGGAATAAAAGGAAACACATAACTGTGGAATTACCACATACGACAAAGCGCGCAGACACTAGAGCTCCCAGAGGTAAAATAATCTGTTATTCACATTAAATCGTTCACAATAAGTCTCAATTCGCCGAAATATCTTTGCTTAGATGTTGATATTAAGACAAAAAGGTATATTCGATATGATGTCAATTATTTTCTATATTGGTAAATTTCAGCTAGCATTAAAATTGTGGAAGAAGATTCTGATACTACTATTGCGAGTACAAAGAAGCCAAAAGAAGTGATTCAGGTTGTAGATCAAAATGAATGGATAAATAAAATGCGAGTTGCTAAGGACGGTTCTTTCGTTTACATGACCTACGCAGTACCCAAGTCGCACGAACTGTTCAATCCCTATGCTTTTAGGTAGAGCAAATTAAAGTATTTTTATTCTATGTAGACGACTTTAATGATAGGTGGGAAATAAGAGTAAAACTAAGTACCTATTGTAAAAGCGAAAACTACTAAGTACTCTTTTACATAACAAAGTTCGTTTTGTTTTAGTATTGTGCCGTATCAGAAGGTTGATAAAACCAACTTTTTCACGATGAGCGCCAGAGGTGTAATGCAACACATCGGCAACGAAGTGATTTTTACCTCGTTGGATAAATGGGAGAATGAGTACAAAATGTACTGCCGGTTGATGGACATTCGCACGTTCTTCTATTATAGAAAGTGGAAGGCGTTCCACGTTTGGAGTAAGACCATTCTGAGGCAGAAAATTAAACATTCTAAGAAACGTTTGGAAGAAACTATGATGCTGATGGATCCTATTTTGAGACAGGCATTGTTGAGCATTCAAGGGATGTGTTATGTGATGACTTTGACTACATTCAGCGATTGTACGCTGTACGAGGACAATTGGTTGTTCTATTTTATAGAAAGCCAGGTATTTATTTACTATACATGACATGATAATACCTAACTGCTTTTATTATTCAGTTTGATAAGCTGCAATTTGTTCGCAATAAAATTGAAGATTATCATGATGTGGCCAAGGAGATCGTATCAAACGCATGTCATAGAGCTTTAATCTACAGAGGTTTTGTGGTCGATGAAAGAATCGTAGAAGATCCTAATGGTATAGTAAATACATTTTTAATTTGACTGTAATTATAAAGGATTCCACACTTTTAGATCGTGGACGAAAGAGACAACACAAAGTTTCATACATTGAGCAAGCGGCTAAGAAAAAGTTTTGTAGGCATTTGACGAGGTAAGTACTTTACTTTACTTAACACAATTTTTTAAAAGCCAATTTTAGATTCATCACTTTAGCTGATTATTTAACCATTACAATGCTGCATCAACTAATAACCGGATCGATCGATTTGCTTCTGTATTATCTAAAATGGCACACGGAGTTTATACCACCTCAAGAAGAATTGGAAGCAACTGAACCTTTGATTATGGATATTGAAAGACCAGCTGGTGCACCACAGGTTATATTTAGATTAGAAGCACGTCTTATTAATTTTTGACTTATGTATTAATTAATTGCAGGCTCCGTATTTTATTAAATACATAAGAGTGCTTCCCAACAAAATTTTATTAGATCCATCGTTAGAACTGACACTAAGTTTGCTCGCGAAAATATTTACGATGTGGGAGCAATGTGTAAAAGTTGTTCCTACTTTTGTCGGTGATACATACTACGCTGCTTTTACCACGTAATTTCAGAATGAGGTAATACACTGAAATGTTAATTCAAACAATTATAATTTCAGGCCGATAATTAATGAGAAAGTTGAAGATCGAATTTGCGGTTGGGGTCCAAGCTTGCAGTTCTATTTAGAGGGAGACCCGCATTTGGCCAGTCTTAAAGAGGAAGTCAACAGCTACTTTAAACGTAATTATGACGCCGCTTTTACTTATCTACACAGATTTGACGGTATCAGCCAATTTTACGCCGAAGATGTGTTGATTACCACGGAGGACATTCAAAATGAACGAAGTAAGTATATGTTTGTAACTGTATTATCATTTTTATTACTCCTGCATGTCCTGCAAGTTCTTTTGTTATTGTTTTTGGGTGGTTCTGGCGAAACTTTAAAATTTGTTGATATTCTAAGCTTATTTCTCTACCACAATATTCTTTAGGCCTCGAGAAATTCAGATACTTATGTGGAAGATACCACAGTGAAATCAATTTGATTGAAAGCATTTATCCATCCCAATCGATGGGAGTAATACACATCAACCTAAAAAATTTCTCCGAAGTGTGCCTTCCGGAAGCAAAAAGATTGCTCGAACTTCTAGAAACTGTATTACCCTGGTAAGCGTTCAAAATACCATCAAAGTTCATAATATAAAAATCTCGTTGAATGAAACTTTCGAAGGCTGGGCAAAACGAAAGTCGAAGAATTAATTAAAGAAATCGAAGCCATCGAGGAGTTTTTGCACCAGACCCCGACGACGACGACAGCGTACGTCAAGTATCTACAATTCGAAATTAGGAGCGCCATCAAGTTGGACGTGATGGAGGACGATTTGGATTACTGCAAGGAATTGTACGACATAATGGAGGAGTACGAAATCACCATACCCTTCGAGGACATGCAGAACTACCTCGGTCTGAGCGTGGCGACGTCGAATTTGAGGAATTTCGTCGAGAAAAAAGTCGAAGAAGTGCCCAAATTGATTAAGCTATTTAACGATCAACTTAACAAAGATATCAGCTTGCTGATCTCCGAAGTTGGAAGTATAAAGGATGAATGTTCGGTGAGTTTTGAACACATGACCCAAGTTACTTGTGAAACCACATAATAAATTATTTTAGAATCCCTGGCTGTACGATATAAATTCAGATTTCGACGACGTAATGGAATTTTTGAATGATTTATATCAGCGACTACAAGCTTGTCAACGTCGCGCGATGGAATTCAAAGATTACCAAAGAGAATTCAAGGTAAACTCAATAAAGTCCTGCAAGTCCAAAGTGTGATAACGTAACTAATTTCAGATGGAAATGACGCGATTCGAACTCATGGAAGAGGTCCTAAACGACGTAAAACTTCGCATTCTGCTGTGGGAAAGCGTGGATTCCTGGGCGAAGACGATCGATGAATGGTACCATGTTCTATTCAACACTTTAAACGTTGACGATATGAATGTATTTATTGCAAAAAATTTGAAATACGTTACACAATTGGAGAAAGGTTTACCGCCCAATTTGATCGTTCCCAAGTTTAAAGATGACGTTGAACTAATGAAAGATAAAGTAAGTATTTATTAAAAGAATTCATTACTCCTTTTTTATCTTCTGTATTTTTAGTTACCAGTTGTGTGTAATTTGAGAAATCCAAATCTAAAAGCTCGCCATTGGATACAAATCGAGTCACTATTGAACCACAAGTTTAAACCCGATGATATCGTTACTTTGGAAGTATTGGAGCAACTGGGTGTGTTCAATTATCCCAATGAATTAATGGAAATATCCTCGCAGGCTAGTAGCGAAGCGGGATTGGAAATTTTACTGAAAAAGGTAGCTGCAATAATTATATGCTGACAGTACAATATTCCGTTCTAATATTTTTCAAGGTGGAAGAATTGTGGAAAGGCTTGGAATTCCCCGTCAACATGCACAAAGACCAGAAAGACGTATTCGTTCTCGGTAACTTGGAAGAAGTGCAACTCGTTTTGGACGAGAGTCACATCAACATGACCACTATAGCAAGTTCCAAACATGTGGGACCTATAAAACCACGAGTGGACGAATGGGTTAAAAACCTCGATAAATTCTCGAAGACAATGGTAAAGGATTTTTCATTTGCAATTTCTAGAAATACAACATCAACAATAATTATAGGACGAATGGTGGATGTGCCAACAAAGTTGGGTTTATTTGGAAATTATATTCTCCGCTCCGGACATTCAAAGACAATTACCTAACGAATCCAAACTATTCATACTTGTAGATAAATCGTGGAAGGACATAATGAGAAGAACGCAAAAAGTAATTTATTTATACGTATATTTTTAATATTTATTATTAACGATCCCTCATTAGATGCCTTTGGCTATGGATTCCGGCCTCTACCCGGGATTGTTGGAAGCTCTGCAGAGAAACAACATGTTGTTGGAACAAATCATGAAATGCTTGGAATCTTACTTAGAAATCAAGCGCGTCGCCTTCCCGAGATTTTACTTTTTATCAAACGACGAGCTGCTCGACATTTTGGCGCAAACCAGAAACCCCCACGCCGTTCAGCCTCACCTGAGGAAATGCTTTGACGCCATTTCCAAGCTAGAATTCGGCGTGAAAATGCCAGACGAACCCATCGAAGAATCCAGCAGTAAGAAGAAGCACACGCAACCGGCCGAGCCAATTTTGACCAACGACATCATCGCCATGCTCAGTCCGGAAAACGAACGAGTCGTATTAGGAAAAGGCTTAAAGGTTAAATATTATAGATAGAAGTAGAAGAATATTAGGAGAATTGTGTTTTAGGCCCGAGGAAACGTTGAAGACTGGTTGGGCAAAGTGGAGGAAAATATGAGGATATCGTTGAAAAGATGTATGAAAACAGCTCTGGCTCACTTCATGGAAGCACCGAGGCCCCAATGGGTGCTTTGTCACGCTAGCCAGATTATTCTATCTGTATCGCAAATTATGTGGGCGAAAGGCGTTCATGCCATATTCGACGGGCCCGGCAGCGATAAAGCGAAAGTCAGGAAAATGGACGCTTACGAGCAAAAAAATATTCACGTAGGTTATTACTTAGTAATGCAACATTCTACTTGATTTTTTAATGTCTAGTTCTAAATTAGAATGTACAAAAACCCCCAAAAGAATGATTTTTAAAATACCAAAATTAGAGCTTGTCTCCTCCTTTCCCAAAATAATCCAATTCGCTTTTTTTTACTGCAGGAGCTCAACGAACTGGCAGGCTTGGTCAGATTGAGTTTGACTTCAGTGGAAAGAAAAGTCGTAATAGCTCTCATAACTATAGACGTACATGCCAGAGATACCATTCACAATATCGTGTTGAATAAAACAACTAACAGGTGAGTAATAAATTACTGCTTCCTAATTTGTTTTCTACTTAATCATAATCATTCTGTTTATAGCCAAAGTTTCGACTGGTTGAAAGTTCTAAGGTACTATTGGGACGAGGGAATCGACGACTGCATTGCTCGAATGTCAAGCGCTTGGTACAATTACGGTTACGAGTACTTGGGAGCATCCGGAGTACTGGTAATTACGCCGTTAACTGACCGGTGTTACCTCTGTTTGATGGGAGCTTTGCAATTAGATCTTGGTAATAGATTGTTGCGAGTAGTTTTTGTCAATACCGTTAATAATTAAATTGTGATTAGGCGGTGCTCCTGCCGGTCCAGCAGGGACGGGTAAAACAGAAACTACTAAGGATATGGCGAAGGCACTGGCTATACAGTGCGTCGTATTCAATTGCTCAGAGGGATTGGATTACAAGATGATGGGGAGATTCTTTTCCGGATTGGCGCAGTCTGGAGCCTGGTGTTGTTTCGACGAATTCAATAGAATCGATATTGAAGTGTTGTCCGTCATAGCGCAACAACTTATAACGATTAGAAACGCTAAAATAGCCAAACAATCTAGGTTTGCTTAAAATTCAATTCCTTTAAAAATGGTTTTATACAAATTTTATTTGCAGGTTCATGTTCGAAGGTCGAGAAATCAAATTAATTCCAAGATGTGCAGCTTTCATCACAATGAACCCTGGATACGCAGGACGAACGGAATTACCGGATAACTTAAAGTCATTATTCAGACCCATATCGATGATGGTACCGGATTACGGTAACAAGAATAAAGTATTCACATAGTCAGTTCTACAACGTGCATTTTGATTCCAGGCCTGATCGCAGAAGTAATTTTGTATTCCGAAGGATTCGAATCGTCGAAAACCCTTTCGAGAAAAATGGTAAACATGTACAAATTGTGTAGCGAGCAACTCTCTCAGCAGGATCATTACGATTTCGGGATGAGAGCGGTGAAAAGTGTCTTGGTAATGGCGGGAGCTTTGAAACGCGCGACTCCCGACAGAAACGAAGATGTTGTGTTGATTTGCGCTTTGCGGGATAGTAATTTGCCCAAATTCTTAGCAGACGATGCTATATTGTTTAAAGTAAGTTGAAAGGGAATTTTATATCCATGCATGCTGTAAAATATGAACTAGGAGTATTCTTGATTTGATTTTATCCTCGATTTTTAGGGTATATTAGGTGATCTTTTCCCGGGCGTCGAGCTGCCCGTTCCCGACTACGGGCTGTTTCAATCAACCATAGTAGAGTGCATGAATGAAGCCATTTTACAACCAGAATTCTGCATGATCAACAAAGTAATTCAGCTCTACGAAACCATGATAGTGCGTTGGGGAGTAATGTTAGTGGGACCAACTGGAGGCGGAAAATCCTCCATACTCAACGTAAGAAATTTTGTTACTTAACCCGCCTATAATACTTTTATCGGTGCGTTTTTAGACGTTGATGAGGACATTGATCAGAATGTACGAAATGGGGGTTTCCGGTGGCATGTTTCGACCCGTCCGAACGTTCATCATGAACCCCAAAGCAGTAACGGCAGGTGAACTCTACGGAGAGGTTAATCCCTTTACTTTCGAGTGGAGAGACGGCCTCATGGGAATAATGATGAGAGCCGCAGTAACAGTAAGTTTGGTCGCATCTAATTTGTTCAATCAAGTCATTTTGTGTATTCGCACAGTGTACACTAGAGGAACATCAGTGGATTGTGTGCGATGGACCCGTGGATGCTGTATGGATAGAAAATTTGAATACAGTATTAGACGACAACAAAATGTTGTGTCTCGCCAATTCAGAGAGAATTAAATTGACCGAATGGGTCCATATGGTATTTGAGGTTGAAGATTTATGCCAAGCATCTCCTGCTACAGTAAGCAGGTAATAGAGTTTTTAGTTTGATCTACTTGGTGCATCTACATAGTTAATTTTTCATTATCTTTTCTCTAATTTTTCAATTTGTATATTACCCTTTATAGAGCCTCTAGTAGGTTGTAAATCGTTTCTCATCTTGTTTAGTTTTCACATTATTTACCGATTAACTCTGTAATATTAGATGCGGAATGGTGTATGTAGATCCTGGAGAAATAGGATGGTTACCGTTCGTTAAATCATGGATAAGCAAAGTTAACGACTCATTGTTGAGTGCAGAAATGAAAGAATTTCTCTTGGGTTTGTTTGAACTCTACATCGATAAAGCGTTGGTATTTATGAAGCGACACGGACATTCTTCCATTCAACAAGTATGTATACTTATTTGCAAAATTTGAATGATCCAAATCTAAACAGCCCGCTGTTTTTAGGTTGATATCAGTAAAGTTAGTATGGTGTGTTCGTTGATTGAAAGTATTCTAAGAATGCCAGGTGCTATGGAAAAAATAGGAGAAAAGAGTAAAGTCCGCAATTTCTTGTGTCAGACATTCATCATGGGATACATGTGGGGCCTCGCGGGTAACTTAACGGACGTGAGTAGGGAGAAATTCGAAGCGAAGGCTAGCGACCAGTTTGGAGAAAATCCTGACGCAAAGTAAGTTATTTTATTGCGAAGAATAGATTGTTTTCTTCATCCACCGATCCTACTTTTAGAGTACAATCGGGTTTCGATCTGTGGGAAATATACATGGACATAGGCGTGCACAAATTACAACCGTGGCAAAATATCATTCCTGTGTTCCAATACGATCCGCTAACTCCGTTCTTCGAAATGTTGGTGCCGACTATGGATACCATACGTTTTGGCTACGTTATGGAAAGATTGTTGTACATCGACCACCCGGTGTTTTTAACCGGCGACACCGGTAACATTTAGTCACAATTTTCAAGCGGTTATTGAAATATTTCTTGATATTTTAGGCGTGGGGAAGTCCGTAGTGGCTAAAAACTGCTTAGAGAAACTTCTATCGACAGGTTGCTTTGCCACGGCCATTATGAATTTTTCAGCTCAGACGAGCAGTCCTAGAACGCAGGAAATAATCGAGTTGAAATTGGAGAAAAAGAAAAAGACTTTACTGGGTGCTCCTGTCGGGAAGAAGATGGTAGTTTTCGTCGATGACGTGAACATGCCTAAATTAGATACTTACGGGTCTCAACCGCCTATTGAATTGTTAAGGTTTGCTCAATGGTATTTTAGCTGCTGGATTTTTTTTCTGACAAGCTTTGTTTTATCAAGACAATTCTTGGATTACGGCGGATTGTACGACAGGGAAAAGCTGTTTTGGAAGCAAATACAGGATCTCATTATTGCGGTTGCGTGTGCTCCACCAGGCGGAGGAAGAAATCCGTTAACGCGGCGATTTGTTCGGCATTTTGGAATGTTGTTAATTCCACCACCCAGTGAAATGGCTCTAAAAGTTATATTTAAGGTATTTATTCACATTACTTCGACACGAGAGCTACATTTTTTTTTATTTCAGTCAATTTTGAGGGGATTTCTGGCTGATTTCATTCCCGAGATCAAAGCTATTGCAGATGCTATGGTAAACGCAGCAGTGGATATTTACCAAAAAATCGAAAGCGACTTATTACCGACACCAGCGAAATCGCATTACGTATTCAATCTCAGAGATCTTTCCAAATGCATCCAGGGCATTACCCAAGCAGATTCCGGCATGTTTAGAGATGTGCCTTCCATGCACCGATTGTTCTATCACGAATGCTTGAGGGTATTTATACTATATTTCTCATTATACCTAACTACCTCTCAATTTACTTATACTTCTTTCCCCTAGGTGTTCCATGATAGGCTTATTAACGTTGAAGACAAAACCTATTTCTTTTTGTTGATGAAAGACATATGCTTGAGGAATTTCAATAATGGAGTATTAGAACTACCAGACCAACCCTTGATTCACGATCCGCCGATGCTGCTGTTTGGAGATTTCATTAATTCTCCTCCGGACGCTGAAGTGAAATTTTACGAAGAATGTAATGAACTACCAAAAATCAAACGAGTATTGCAAGTAAACACAATCACAATCGAATCTATCTTAAGCCGTATTAATAACATGTACCGCATTATAGGAATATCTGGATGACTACAACTTGTCTACACCCAAGGAAATGAAGCTCATATTCTTCATGATGGCCATTGAGCATTGTTTCCGCATAGCAAGAATATTAAGAGCCGAACGAGGTAATGCGTTTTTGGTTGGTGTTGGAGGAATGGGAAAGCAAAGTTTAACTAGATTGGCATCGCACGTGACCGGTTATACGTACGTGTTTGTCTGATATTTTCAAATGCATTGCTTAATTGTTATTTTTTTCATTTAATTAGATGCTTCCAAATAGAACTAACACGAAACTATGATCACCAATCGTTTTTCGATGACCTGCGCAGGTTCTGTTCCCATGCTGGCGTTAACTACCAAAACACTGTATTCCTCTTTACGGACACTCAAATTACCCAGGAGGAATTTTTAGAAGACATCAATGGTCTTTTGAATTCAGGTAAATGCCTGTATTCTCTTATTTAGTAGCACTTGAAACACGTCAATAGAACCAACTAATTGCCATTTTACATTTTTTTATGAAATTTTAGGTGAAGTGCCTAATTTATACGAAGCAGAAGAACAGCAGAAAGCTATAATTGGATGCACGAATGCTGCAAAAGAAGCTGGTTTAGACGAAACTAACAGGGACACCGTATTTAATTTCTTCATTAGTAGAGTTAGAAGTAAACTGCATTTGGTCATTTGCATGAGCCCCGTCGGTGAAGCTTTTAGGTAAACCTTACAATCTGCCTTTGTAGATGCGTGAATACAGAATAATGTTTTAGACGACGTTGTCGCATGTTTCCATCGTTAGTAAATTGTTGTACGATAGATTGGTTTGAAAAATGGCCAAGGGAAGCTCTACTTTCCGTTGCGGAGACTGAATTAGAAGACACAGTTGGAAGGAAAAATGCTGAAAAAATAGCGCTCATTTGTGTTATAATGCATGAGGTACTTATTTTTAATCATTTCTAATTATTCTAATTATTTTTATTTCGTAATTATTTTAAGAGCGTTGAAACGACAACGGTAAGATTTTACGTGGAAATGAGAAGATACTATTACACTACCCCTAGCAGTTACTTGGAATTGATAAAACTGTACAAAATTTTGATGGAATTGAAGCAAGAAAATATTGGTAAAACCAGGGACAGAATTGCAATGGGTCTAAACGTAAGAATTTTATTTTAAGAAACCCTCAAATTTCAATTTTTGGACGTTATAGAAATTATTGGAAACAAACAACATGATCGATGATATGAAAGATACATTGACCGCTTTGGGACCGGTATTAGCCCAAAAATCGATAGATTGTGATGAACTCATGGTAGTTTTGGACGTTGAAAAAGAAGCTGCTAATAAAGTAGCCGTAGTCGTGAAAGCTGATGAAGAAATAGCAAGAGTAAGTAAACATGTTCACTCTAATTTATTACATTGCTAATGTTCGTTAAATAATACATTTGCAATGTTCCTGATATTAAGATCAATTGAAGGGTCCTAAAAAATTTATCGCTGATTGTTCTACCGGTTTAAATTTACATCAGACTCACAACGTTCATTGTTTAATAGAAAATAGCAGCGGAAACACAATCTATAGCTGATGATGCCCAAAAGGATTTAGATTCCGCTCTGCCAGCATTGCAAGCCGCCACGAAGGCGTTACAGTCTCTAAATAAAAAAGACATAGACGAAGTAAAAGTATTTCAGAAACCCCCATTATTAGTAACAGTCGTGCTGGAAGCGGTGTGCTTGCTGTTGGGTATAAAGTAAGATTCGTTCGAAATGTTAAAATGAGCTTGGTTGAAATAACACTATTTTCTTAGACCCGATTGGGCCAATGCGAAACAACTTCTAGCCGATTCCAATTTTCTGAAAAGATTGCAAGAATACGATAAAAACCGCGTAACTGACAACTTGCTGAGAAAGTTGAAAGTCTATGTGGACAATCCGGATTTTGTGCCGGAGAAGGTGGTAAAAGTATCAAAAGCGTGCAAAAGTTTGTGCTTATGGGTTCGAGCTATAGACAAGTACGCAAAGACATTCAGGCTCGTGGAACCAAAAAGGAAAAGGTTACTTTTACATTTAAATTTCTTCCCTAATAAATCTACAAGGATGTGTCTCTTGTAAAATTGTTTAGATTGAAGCAGGCGGAAGTTGAACTAGCTCAAGTAATGGCAGTTTTGAAAGAGAAACAAGCGAAATTGGCCGAAGTCGAAGGAATGATCGCGTCGCTGCAAAACCAATTCGATCAGACCATCGCAGAGAAGGAAGCTCTGATAAATAACATGGAGCTCACTGCTGCGCGATTGAATCGAGCCGGTAGACTCAATATCGCTCTTGCCGATGAACAAATCAGATGGGAAGAGAGCGTTAAGGTAATTTGTTTAATTACAACCCAGTTTATGTCATACATGCTTTGTCAACATTTTAGAAATTTGGTGTTCAAATGGATAATTGTCTGGGCGATGTTGCTATGGCCGCAGCAAATGTGGCTTATTTGGGCGCTTTTACCAGCAACTACCGTTACGAGCTTACATCTATGTGGGAACAAAAATGTAAAGCATTTAAAATCGCTTGTACAGACGGTTTTAGGTAAGTACTGTAAAGATTATTAAAATAACAGTTGTTAGAGTGAAAACTTAAAATGACCCAATATTAATCTTTCTTTTTCCTTTATAAGTGTCTAATGGAAGTTGTCTTTATCGCACCCATAGCCTATACAGGGTGTCCCAGAAACGTTGGGACATGGCTTAACTATAGACTTCTGAGACAAAAATAAAATAATTTAACCTAACTTACCTATATCCAAACCTATAACTATGATATTCTTTTATTTTGTCTATGATAGTTATTATCTCTACACCACACTTCCTACTAATATTAATTTAGCATTTACATTTTGAATTCAAAAAACTAGACATGAATGCTGGCATGAAAAATCCGTTTACGCAGAACCGAAACACAGAACATAAAATTCTATACCTCTCTTATCTTGCGGTTTTCCAGCCAACATTTAAAAACAAAAATGACAGCGCGCTAAAGTCACAGATTTATTTCAAATCTCGAAAAGAAGAATATACTAACCTCAATGTTTTTATTTATAATTTTTAATCACCATACAGTTGTTTATGCCAAGTAAAATAAAATGTTAGAAGATGTTCAAATGTTGGAAGACGGTGACGATTCGACGACGTGGGCAGGTACTTCGTTGACAGAAATATGCGGAAATAAAGGAACTTGGAGCTTCCATGTCAGCCCTATCATCATTTCGCAATATCACGCAGTATTATTTAATTTGCCAGTTACACTTAAGGAACCGCCTGCACCTCACAAGAATGCGATGCCTAAACATTGGGACGATGACCACGTTCGAATGCCTTATTCCGAGAGTAATTTATTTCCCGTAAAAGAGAACGATGTAGATGTTACCAAATGGCGGTGGAAGATAATTAAGGACAGCCTGTCTCGACCGATTAGAAATAGTGAAGACCTAGAAGCAGCCATAAGTGAATACAATTCTTCGTTACCTAAGCTAACAGCACTCCATGCATATTTCGATGAACTCGGAGAGGAAGAAAGTAGCAGCTTTTTCGACACTCTGTTACCCAAAATTATAGCATTAGCTCTACGACTACCAACTGTCTTACCAGGAAGTTTGCCATTATTAAAGAGATATCAAAACAAATCTGTAAGTTTATCTCAGGAACAAATCGCTTCGTTATTAGCTAACGCTGTATTGTGTACGTTCCCTTGGAAGAAACAAATAGCCAGTACATATCCCGGTGTTAATTTTATTAGCTTGTACGTTGCAGATAAAAGGCCAAAGAGACGAAACTTTCTTGAAAAGTTGAAGTGCATATTCAATTACTTTCATTTAGTTACTAAATCGATGCCCACTGGTGTTGTTACATTTCAGAGAAAATATGTAACGAAATCGCACATTCCGAGATGGGATACTTTGAACAACACGTTTAAAGATACAAAAGTCCATATTGACAGTTCCGGTACAATTGAAAATAACGGCTTGGGATTTTTGCAAGTTGATTTTGCGAATAAGAACGTTGGAGGAGGAGTGTTAGGTTACGGCTGTGTCCAAGAAGAAATTAGATTTGTTATTTGCCCGGAATTAATAATCAGTAGACTATTTGTTGAACAATTAACTGATTTGGAAGCTGTAATTGTAACGGGCATCCAACGGTATAGTCGTTATTCGGGTTACGCTGAAACGTTTAAATGGGAAGGTCCTGTTAATGATGATATACCCTACGATGAATACGGTAGAAGAAGAACAACAGTTTGCATTATCGATGCTACGCGTTATAATAGAGTTACCGATCAATTCTATCCTTCAGCTATGCTAAGAGAGCTAAATAAGGCGTATGTTGGGTTCAGTTCGAGATTAAAAGATGTTAATTTGTCACCGGTAGCGACGGGTAATTGGGGCTGTGGGGCATTTCAGGGAAGTCCTTATTTGAAAGCATTGTTACAATTAATGGCATGCAATGCTTCAGACAGGCACCTAGTTTATTACACATTTGGAAACGAAGATTTCAAAAATGAGTTGTATTCAATATATTCAGATTTGGTGAAAAATAACATCAAAATCTGCGAATTATGGAGAATATTGAGCGGATGTATAGTACCAAAAAATAAAGTTATCAACCTTTATGAGTACATTCGTAAAGCTGCATATGCTATGAGGAAGCAACCTACGATAAAAAGTTTCTTCAAAGAGAAAAATGAAAACCCGTTTGAAAATTCGAAAAAAACTTTTTATGCTGGTAAAAATGATGATGATGCGGGTCCTTCGAACTCTCATAAAAATGGTCAAGTAATTAAGAATGAAGAACTGCATCATTTAAGTTTGATTGACGATATCGAAAAAGGAGATGTAATTCCGAATACACCACCTGAGGGCTCTGTTATAAATAAGAAGACAAAATATTCCAAACAAATTAGAGAAAGCATACCCAAAACAGATATATGTTCAATCATCGATGAAATGGATGGTAATGCTTTTACAAAAACTGCAGTCACCGACGAAGTGTCCTTTTTGAACGAAATAGATCGGTTTACGAAGGTACCTAAATGACAGAAGCATGCGAAAGGAACAAATAAACTAGATATTTTTTCTTCATTCATTGTACCTACTTGTTTATTTCTAGCATGAAAATGTGATATTTATATTTAATTGTTAAGTTTTTATTTATATATTTTTGTGCTAGTTTTGTACCAGTAATAAAACTTTATTTAATGCTATAGGGTTTCGCTTTATTCGACACCTCTAAATAGTGGCTTTTATTCAAACTGAAACTCTGAAAAATTGAATATTTCAGTTTAATTAACGTGCTAGCAGACCCGTACGATATACGGATGTGGAACGCTTGCGGCTTGCCCAGAGACAGCGTCTCCACAGAAAACGCCATCCTAGTAACGATGGGGAGCCGTTGGCCTCTGATGATCGATCCCCAGGAACAGGCGAACCGATGGATTCGAACTATGGAGAAACCGAACGAATTGAAAATCATCAAATTAACCGATTCCAATTTTATGAGAGTGCTCGAAACCGCTGTACCGATGGGGTGGCCGGTTTTACTGGAAGAAATTGGCGAAACTCTAGACCCCACTTTGGGGCCCATACTGTTGAAGCAAACCTTTCAACATGTGAGTTTTTCGAAGAATTATTCAGGATGTTCTATAATGATATGTTAATATTTAAGGGGGTGATTCTTGGACTCATTTTAAGGAATATTACCAAATAACACTTATTGCTTTTGAAATGCTGGTTTTTCTTATTTAATTTTATGTACTTTCCTTAAAAGTTTCCTTGACATTCGAAAATAAAAATAAAGATGGTGCTATAGTTGTGCATCGCAGTGTAATATTTTATTTAAACTTTAATAATTCCTTTGCTATTTCAGGCAGGAAGAACTTTGATTAGATTGGGCGAGAACGACGTTGAATATAATAGCAAATTTAAATTTTACGTTACGACGAAATTGTCTAATCCTCATTATTTACCGGAAATTTGCATTCAAGTCACCATTGTAAATTTCACCGTCACCAAATCTGGATTAGAAGATCAATTGCTAGCGTAAGTGGTGTTAACTATAATTATGCGAAAAGCAATTTTTGCCAATAAATATTATTCTCAGTGATGTAGTGAGACTTGAAAGGCCCGATCTTGAACAGCTTAGATCAGAACTCATTGTTCGCATAAACACAGACAAAGCGCAGCTGAAAGGGATTGAAGACAAAATTCTGTATTTGCTGTATCATTCGGAAGGAAATATTTTAGATGACGAAGAATTGATAGAAACTTTAAACGACAGTAAAGTGAGCTGGAAACTTTTCAAACAAACTCTGTTTGAGATCAGACTTCAATCAATCTTTTATTTCATTAGGAAACCTCTGCGATAATCGAGGCACGTTTAATCGAATCTGAAGCTACGGAGGAGAAGATTTCGATAGCTAGAGAAAAATATAGGCCGGTTTCAGCTAGAGGTTCTGTGCTTTACTTTGTTGTAGCGCAATTAGCTGACATAGATCCTATGTATCAGTTTTCCCTGAAATATTTCAATCAAGTAACTATAGCCTGCTCTTAATTGCTTTGGTAGTACAATATTTTGATGCTACTTACACTTTTAGTTATTTAACACCGTCATAGAAATTAGTGAAAAAAACGAGAACTTAGACATTAGATTGCAAATTTTGATTAAAGAAATAACTGTGGCGGTTTACGTGAACGTTTCCAGAGGTCTTTTCGAAAGGCACAAGTTGATTTATAGCTTTATGTTGTGCGTTTCAATATTGCAACAGAGCAATGAAATATCAGACGGACAATGGAATTATTTGCTTAGAGGACCCGTAGGGACGAAAGGTATCCTTCATTAACTTATACCTGAATTAACGTGGACATAATTGAATGGGCGATTGAAAAAAAGGATAAATTTTGTTGTATTCCAGTTGGTCTTCCAAAAAAACCCGACAGCTCTGCTATAACAGAAATAGTTTGGCACGCTTCGAATTATTTGGCATCGACTTACCCCCTTCGTTTCCAAGCACTTCCTTCGGATTTAGAAACGCTAATTACGATTAATATAGGAGATATGGAAATGGTAAGCAAAACGTAACAATTAGAATCCTTTAGGGTAAAAATTCATTTTTATAGCAACTGCAATTGAATGAAGCGTTCACTACACCGAGCACGGTGAACTGGGACGATATATTAGAAGATTTCGACAAACTTATGTTGGTAAAAACCATGCAAGAAGAGAAATTGATATTTTGCATAACTCAATTCGTCAGAATGAAGCTGGGACAAACGTTTATCGAAAGCCCGATGGTTTCGATAAAAATGCTGTAATACCTTTCCATATGCAGCAAATAAATTACACTAAATATTCATATTTGCCTAGCTATCAAGATACATCCAACGCTATTCCGTTAATCTTTGTCCTAAGCACCGGTTCAGATCCCACCGGAGCTTTCCTCAAGTTTGCCAGCGATATGGGATTCCTGGAAAGGGTTCGGTCGATTTCGCTAGGACAAGGGCAAGGTCCCATTGCCGAAAAATTGATAGAGGACGCTCTCGAAACTGGTGACTGGATACTTTTGCAGGTCTCTATTTATAAACAATTACGGAGTCAAACGAGACGTAGAAGTTTACTGATTTTAGAATTGCCACTTGGCCACGTCCTGGATGATATCGTTGGAGAAGATCGTGTTGAACATTGCGAGGATGAGCGCCAACATCAACGAATCATTTAGATTGTATATGAGTTCCATGCCGTCTAAAGCTTTTCCCGTGTCTGTGCTTCAAAACTCCGTCAAAGTTACCAATGAACCGCCCAAAGGACTAAGAGCCAACGTGAAGAGGGCTTTCGTGGAAATGGAGAAGGACTACTTCGAAGATAATGGTGCGTATGGAATAAAGAGCTGTTATAAATAATATTACGAATATATTTTGCAGTTTTGGGTCAAAAATGGAAAACAATGGTTTTCGGACTGTGTATGTTCCACGCTGTAATCCAGGAAAGAAAGAAATTCGGGCCTTTAGGGTGGAATATAATATACGAATTCAACGACAGCGATAGAGACTTTGCGTTTAATTCGCTTAAAATGTTCTGCGCAGAAGGAAGAATACCTTGGGATGCTCTTGAATATCTCACAGGAAAGTCAACGCAACTTTTCTCTGAAATATAATTAATCGTGTTATTCAATTTTTAGGTGAAATAACGTACGGCGGAAGAGTTACAGACCATTGGGATCTGAGATGCTTAAAGACTATTTTGAAAATTTTCTTTTGCGAAAAAACGTTGAATCCGAATTACGTTTACTCGCCATCGGGAATTTACTATTGCCCCGTTTTTACAACGATTGAGGAATACAGGGAGTTTTTGGACAAACTGCCCATTATTGAGGCTCCGGAAATATTCGGCATGCACGAAAATGCAAACATTGCTTTTCAGGTATAATTTTACTAGTCGTTAGAGGGATGTCTAATAAGTTTGATCTCATATACAATTATCTTTAATTAATACAAAATACATTAGTAAAATATTATAGATCAAAGAGACTCAAACTATAATAAAAACTATCATGGAAAGTCAACCGAGGGCCGGAGGTGGCGAAACGGGGAGATCTGCAGATGATATTGTTTACGAACTAGCTGAACAAATTATTGAAACAGTTGCTACTGGTTTGTCTTTGGACAATGTCAATATTTATATGTACCGGGTGAGTTGTAATAGAAAACTATGACCTCTATATTAGGATAACTGGATTTAATTCCATGTTACAGAAAGACAAAAAAGGAAGGCTACCCTCATTGTCGACTGTGCTAATTCAAGAAGTGGATAGATTTAACAAATTACTGACGTTGGTGCACACTTCGTTAGGACAATTGAAGAAAGCGATAAAGGGGTTGGTTGTTATGTCTGATGCCTTGGAAATGGTGTTCAAAGCATTCATGAACAACATGGTATATTGTGTATAAATAAACCGGGCTATTATCTAAATTGAGTTAAATTTTAGGTGCCTGATATGTGGAATAAAATTGCTTATAACTCGCTTAAAAGTCTCGGCAGTTGGACCAGAGATTTGATATTAAGGATCGATTTTATTTATGTAAATTATCAACTTCCACATTAACTAAGTTATTATTATTTTTATTAATTTCGTTACAGATGTGGGTAAGATACGGAAACCCTACGTCCTATTGGATATCGGGATTTTATTTCCCGCAAGGATTCTTAACGGGAGTTCTACAAACCCACGCAAGAAAATACAACCTGCCCATCGACGAACTAAAATACGATTTTAAAATATACAACCTCGTTATTGAGCAGGAATCCATCAAAACTGCACACGAAGTAGCCGATAAAGAGGTAAATTCACGTAATTTTATAATTGAATCATGATTATTTTTTCGTGCAAATTTTAAATACAGGATTATGAAGCTTATGGTTTGTACGAAGTACCGTTAGACGGTGTAATAGTACACGGATTATTCTTAGACGCAGCTAGGTGGGATTTCAATACTAGATTACTGGCAGACGCCAGACCAGGTAACTTAATATTCATTAATTAATGAAAGCATTGAATTTAGCATAGACTATACAACAATTTGTATAGATAATAGCAATTTTGGCGTACCCCATAAATGATTTTTTTAGGCGAAATAAATCCAGCACTGCCGTGCTTGTGGTTTAGGCCAACAGTATCATTACCGGAGAATGATACTCGGTACGTTTGCCCTTTGTACAAGACGTCGATTCGCGCGGGCATACTCTCCACCACCGGCCACAGTACCAATTTTGTAGTTGCGGTATTAATTCCATCTAAATTTCCGCAAAGTTTTTGGATTTTGAAGGGGACCGCTTTGTTGACTCAAATTTCTGATTAGTTTTTTTGGATCTTAATAAGCGCAATTCCTTATTTCTTTTTATCTGTTTTATTGTGCGTTTTTTTGTAATATATTTACATTTTTTTTTAGTTATATTTACGATTTTTATTGTACTTTAGAAAATCTTGCATTCTCTGAATCAAAGTTAAATTGATTGTCGTTCGACCTTTTTTCGCTTTAATAATTTCCACCCTTTAGCGTCATATCTAAATGTATTAATCAAACTCGAGCTTTGTAAATTCGAACAAAAAAGCAAATCCATTGAAGTATCTACACTATATTTGATAGGTTCCGCGCAGGTAGTAATTCGACAACGTACAAGAAAAAGGGTTATTCGAGGGTAAAAAAGTCTAATGAAATTGTATTCGATATATGAATAGTCATGAGTTGCATATTTAAGGGACCTGCGAAGGGATTTGATCCTATCACGACATCATTAAAACGGATCATTACAACTATTAAACGCTGAATCATCTACTCAGATGTGTAAGATCTAAGAACGTATCGGGAATGAATGGAAGCCAAATACATTGCGAAATTTTGCTATTTGATTATTAATCACATCCAGATATCAATAGGGTATATCAATGAGTATAGAAAGAACTATAAAATATACTGCTCCACAATTTAGTATGAATTGTAGAGGTAAGGGCAAAAAATCCACTTAGATATGAGAGAAAACATTTAATTTCGCATATTTGAAAATTTGGTGATCAAAAAGTCAATTGTTTTAAACATACTAATTATTTCAATAAAACACAACCACACAGCCCGAAATATAAAAAAATCGCAACAAGTTATAATAACACTAATAACTTCATTTTCGACGGTCCCTGTTCCTTTTGCAGGCGGACGAAAGGCCCAAACGCCGAGCATTAATTGCCGAAAACAGAAAATTTTTGGTAGGACCACCGCGGCGGAATAATTCAATTAGGTCTAATAACACCGGGCAGATGGGCCTTCACTTTCATGATGTGCCTCCGCTTTTATTTACTATTATTTTGAGCGTACGTAACTATAGTAATTTCGGACCGTTCGAAATTAACTCGTCATCAATAAATGCGGACCACACACCGATTGCCATAAAAATGTTAGTTTTATTCTGAAAAACTAGAATCGCTAAATTGCTGCCTTCGGGCGCATCCACGATTTCTTGTTTGCCTTAATAGACAAACTCTGGGAGTGATCTCAACAAAAAGTTCGTTTTAAAATGTACATAATTAAATTAATAAGAACAATTAGCGATAAGCGATGTAGTTGATGATGTCTTCTAGGCCAATTACTTTTGAAATAGATTACTTATTTTAAAGTAACGCTAAGTAATATTTTCAAGATTTGCCATATATAATTTGAACTTATACCTACTTACATAAGAAATTTAAATAACAGCATCCAATTATTTTCTCTATTTTCTAGACAATAAAATAAAGTAATATTTTAACAAAAAATAATTTTATTGATAGAAATTACTATGAATAAAGTGTTCGGTATAAAAGATGGAATTAAATTTTTCACGTTGTGAAATGGAATTAAATCAGTTCCGTTTCTCTGACTTCCAATCGCCTTAACAATATTGGTAGTTACATTTAATTAAAAAAATACCAAATAAAAGTGTTGCGAAACAATATCACCGTGGGTCGGTCAATTATAATAAAACAAATTTAATCCGGAATTGACGTTTTTCGTAATTAATATGAAACAGTACGTGATAGAGAGCATTAAGGATGAAAACGACTATTGCAATTATTTCCTTTTGTTGGACTCTACACGCAGGTAATTCCTATTTAAGGGTAATTAATAGCGCACTAATTGATCCATCGGTTTAGCTGTTTCGGCCAGATTTGCTAATAACGATGTGAATGTGGATAACCACTTCAACTGGGCCCACCTTCCGAAAGAATGCGGCAAAAACAAAGAATTGGAAATGAGGATATTCGGAGGCGAAGACGCCGCCTTGGGCCAATTTCCATGGATGGTGAGAATCGGCGCAACTAAAGGTGATCTGCGAGGTTTAGTATGCGGGGGTGTACTAATTAATGCTAATCACGTTCTGACCGCCGCCCACTGTGGTGAAAACGGCGTTACCATGTAAGATACTTTTTCACCATTTAACATCGTTACAATCAACAAAGCTAAACAATTTTTTCAGTGCCTTCGTACGAGTTGGTGAATACGACACGCGCACCAACATCGATTGCGATCAATTTGGCTGCGCGCCACCTTACCAAGACTTACCAGTAGTCCACTGGATAGTACACAAAAATTGGAACACGGACACTGTACAGAACGATATAGCGCTAATTAAGACGAAGAAGAAGGCTAAATTCAATGGTAGCTAATATAAAATCACCTTATTTTTGTATGTAATTAATTAAATTCCAGATTACGTGAAACCGATTTGCCTTCCGGGTCGCGAATCCTTCTTCAGAAGCTACAAAGCCGAAGGTGGAGTCTCGCTGGCCGGTTGGGGAGAGACCAACAACAGCACCTATTCCATTATGCCCAAGGTTCTGCAGTATGTCAATTTGGACGTGATGAATTTAAGGGAATGCCAGAATACTTACATCGATTATAACATCACCAAAGCGCAAATTTGCGTGGGAGCGGGTGAAGGGCACGATACCTGCGAAGGGGACAGCGGTGGGCCCGTTATGAAAGAGCTCAAATTGAACGGGGAATACAGGTTTGTAAATTGTAGGTGTTTGTAGAACATTTTATAACGCGACGTGTTTGATTTTTTAGATGGTATACGATTGGAATTGTTTCTTTTGGTTCACCAGATTGCGGTGTAGCACCAGCAGTTTATACCAACGTTAGATATTATCTGCCGTGGATTTTAGATCACATCACACCTTAAAAATGATGTAAATAAATAATTACATGTAAAGGAATTTATTCTATTTGTTCGTTTATTATGTTTCGATTGTTGTTGGTATTCATTAGTAACTTGCTAATTTTTTCATTGGTCATTTGTACAATCGAATGGTTTATTTAATTTTTTGTTACTTCATCTTCTCATCCTTCATAATCACCAATAGACCACCACCAATTTATACAAGAACAGGAATACTACATGAAAAACAAATTGGGTACTTATTATAAAAATATATCTAGAATTGGATTCTTTTAATCTACACTGTGTCTAGGATTCTTATTCTTAGTTTTAATCCAGTTCAACTATACCGATATTACTTTAAGGAATTAAGTAATGATTCTTCTGAAGCGGATCCTTTTAACTCTGTTATTTGTACATGAATATTAAAAAGTTTACAATAAATCGGCGATTATTCGTTTAGCAACGTTTTTGACGAATACAATAGAGGCACAAAATTCACTAATTTATTACCGTCATTCATAAGCAATTACCGCTCCGGCGTTAAATGCTTGAGTAATTTTTTATAAAAATTTTCTGTTTGTCCGATTTCTTCGCGTGTAGGTATTCTAATGCGATAATGCTATACCAGTGATCGTGGCTTTTAAAAGTTTTGAATATAAGGTGTAATTTAATTCGAATTAATTATCTAAGAAGCGCTAATCGTTTGGCTAATTTGCGTGTTGCGCAAGCTACAATGAATAACACTTAAGTGATATTTCAACGGTGTTATCAGCGTATGTGACTTACCTGCAGGATTTTTAAATGTGCTTTGTTTTTTTAACAAATAATTGGATAAAATATTTAGTTTTCGGATGATAATATTAAAGTACATAACTATTTTTAGAGACCACACATTCTATTATTATAAGGTTTTTCCATGTACTTAATACGAAAATGTGGGGCACTAGAATCAATCAGTCTCCCTGTCTCTTCCATCCGCCGTTTTTATTGTAATTCAAGATGTTTGATAGAAAATTTTTAGTTTAATAGTACAAAAGTGTAGTACATAAAAAAGTCTAAATGCTGCTTTTAAATGCCGACACATGCTTTTTCAATTATGAATGAACGACGAAATTTAAAGGGCACACGTCCCGAGGAATAATTTACAGGAAGTATTAATTTCGTTTTATGTTACAATCCGCTTGACGCTGGGTGAATGAAACGCTTTGATTGAGGGAATGAATGGATGAGTTAAGTTAGTTATGGGGACCAGAGGCATGAATTTTACGGTGGTTATGATTTTTTCAGTAATGTTATTCCAACTGGGGCTGTAGCATATTTAAAAACAATTTATCCCGCTGACGATACATTGATGAATTGGTCGGAGACGGAACTAGAAAAAAAAAACCATTTTTTTACTTTGATTTGTTTATTTGTTACTAACAATATTCCCTTAGTATAAAGTATGTAATGTAATATTATAAGGAAGACAATCTAGATTTTGCTGTCTATTTTTAAGGCACTTTTTTAATATAAAAATATATACATATGTACTAATAATATTCAACTATACCATCACAATAACATAACAATTCAACCGTTCGAAATGTTAAAACAAAAAATATATGGTAAAAACGATTTTACTTAAAATTATATTTTAGTATTAGCATAGTGAATAATTCGATTCTATGTAATAGAATACAAGCAATGCTCAATACACAGTATCGAAAAATGTCGGTAAACATTTAATAAATTTTGTATGCGTACCTTTAATATGCAGTTTTATGTTGAGAATAATGATTTGAATTTGCACTATTGATTATTTTTCATTAATTTATTGATTTATTCTTTGATGCATGATGTAGTAGTTTTGAAAGTCTTCAAGTACCTAACAACAATTTTAATTATCTAAGTCAAATTCGCAGGCAAATTTTATTACAAAAGGAAATTATATAATACTGTGCACTCAAATAAAATATCTGTTAAAATATACTCTTCTTAATGCTGATTAGTGCAACAAAGGCACTAAAAATATCACAAACGCCACTAATTCTACCTATCATTAGGCTAGTTAACAATGGATATCTATCAATTTCTTTCGCAAGATATATGAGTAAGGTTAGGTTTTATCAAAAATGATATATTAATAGAATCTGCAATAAATAAAATAAATGAATTACGATTGAACAAAATAAAAAATATATTACTAGGCTTATATTCAAAAGCGCAGCCAGTTCTTCTTACAAAAAGAAAAAGTATTTGTGATTTGTATTTGTGTAAGTATTATTCTGATTAGTAAAAACAAAAATATAAATATTTCGTAGTCTAAACGTAAATAATAATAAAGTATTGCATGTTAATCGTCTTTATTCCCCCTGCGATGATTGGTAGACATTTTAGCGCAATCAGTTTCATTTAAGGCACTCCATCTCATATTTTCACATATTAAAAACATTTGTTTATTGCGAGACAATTATTTCACATCCCGGCTTAGCGGCTTCTTCGATTCAGTCAAAATCACGTCGATTCACCAAGGCCTCCAAGGTTTATCCTCGTCCATGGGCTCCATCTTCCTCACCACCAAAGACAGCGGCTGGCTGTAGACGGAGTCCGCCGGTTCGGGGCTGTGGCTGGGAGAGTAATTCGAATACCCGCTGGTCCCCGAAGCGGCCGAACCGGTTCTTTCCGGCATTATGGGAATAAGCGTGGGCACTGGGGAAGGTAACGTCGGCGCCTGCAGCGACGTTGGTAACACTAGAGCTATATCCCCGTTGGGCAGTCGGGTAGGAACTAATTGTAAACTTGTACCGTTACTATTGCTAAGGATGATCCCGTTGCCGTGGGGGCCCGTCGGCTCCAAGGGCTTCTGATTGGGCAGTATGTGCACTTGCACTTGGGGCGACTCGTGGATCTTGGAGCCTTGGCTCAGGCATGTGGCGAGGTGCTGGAGCAGTTTTCGCCGCACGATGGGATCCAGGCCGGGGAACCGGCCCACCTCCGAAGCGCATTCGCTGAAACCCGCTCGGAATTTGTTTAAAGACGCCGAATCTGTCGTCGCCGACATGACGGCTTGCTGTCGCTGGAGGTTCTGGAGATGCTTCACCGTCATTTCCAGGATGTCGGCTTTTTCCAGTTTCGAGTGCCTCGCCGGCTGGAATAAACAAATCTGATGAATAATTTGTTTCTTTCCATGTTTTTTTTTATTTATTACTTTAATTAACACGGAGGATTAGAAGTAACAGCTTGCAACATTTAGGTATCTAATAAGATTATTATGTGGTTCTAATTTATGTATTTTTCACATAACTTCTTTAGGTTCGCGAGTTTATCAGTATACATTTAGATAAAAAAATAGCTCTATTCATTATTTATAGTACAATCGTGTTGTAATGGAAAAAATAAGTGTTTACTGAACCGAATCAGTAAGTGACACGCGCCGTCTCGTGTAGGTATTAAAGGTTAAAACGCGCTACTTGTCTGGATTTAAGAAACAATGATCGTTTACGCATAATCGCATGGAAAAGTAACCAGAAATGGAAAAAAATAGATATCTAAATACGTGAAGCAAGGTTACCTGCGTCTCGGTAAACATCAAAAATAATGAAAATAAAAAATCGTCTGATAATAATTTTTTAATGCTGTTGTTATCAGATTCAGTCAAATATTGAGATTTACCTTCGTAGACATATTTTTATAACTACAAGGATATTATGTACTTATAATCACACTTATAAGTATACACAGGAAACAAATTGAAATTATTTGAAAATTGTACGTAAAATCCCGAGCAGACGTGTTTTTAATTTTATTAACCACTGATATTTTCAATGATACCAATTACTTTTAATAATTGACATAGTAGTAAAAAGTTTACCTACTTAATACCTAAGCGGTACTTGGGTATTTGGAGAGTGATTTCCTCTGCATATGGAATCTTAAAACTGGAAAACAACCTAATTTAGGCCACTTAGGACACACGCTATCCTTAAGGATTGTAATATAATAATAAATTTTACAGTAAAAATTATTTAAAAGTATAGAAATTATAGCGAATTTTCAAAACACTCTGTATATTGTAAGCCAGAAATAAAAATATTTCTGGCTCATTTACTGGTCGTATTTTGGCCAGTTTTTCGGCTTTTGTTAACCAAAAGTTTACGTAAATCGCCATGTAGCCAATTATCGCCAATTATTTTTACTATATATTATTACTCGATATAAAAAATAAAAAAAAACTCCCGATAAGTGAGTGTCTGGTGAAAATTTCCTACTTCAATTATTCATTAGATTTTTTTACGATACCGCCGATTACTAATTAGTACCTTCTAATTAGAATGGTTATCATGTAAACGTGCAGGTACGTATGTAAATACTCGAATCGAGATTTTTTTTTACCGACAAATATTCTTAAACTAATGCAAAAAACAAATGCAAAAAATCGCGTATTTCTCATTCTCAAGTTTTTTTATACGACCAATAGAATTTTCCAGCATATTTTCCGTGCCAAATTGCGATACTTATTTATTTTCTCTTCTTTAACCACAAACACAATTATTAAGATTTTTGCTTACTATCAGGTATTATTATTCTAATAAGATTAGAGTTATGTTTTTACCTAATTATACTTTTGAATTTAGCACCTTAAAGGTCCATAAATTTACTATAAATTCACTATATTCGATTCTAAGGTGACAATACAATTAATTTCTCTTCTTCACACAAAGCGATTCGATTATTTTCAAAGTAAACCAGAGCGGTAAACGTGTTAAAAAAATAACAAATAAAAGCACGCGTATAATCGAGCACTTACGTCTTTCTTCATTGCGTCCAATATGAGCGTCTTCAGTTCGTTGAGGCAGTTATTAATCCTCGCCCTCCGCCTTTTCTCCATAATGGGCTTGTTGCTCTGCAAAAAAACGAGAAAAAGGAAATGAGCAATCATGATCAAAAGCCGGCGAAACCGTGGGAACCGACAGACGATCATCGAAAATTGAATGACGCGTGCTACGAATTACCAACTCACATGCTCAAAATAAATTAGATAATTCATTTTGTAATTAGTAGTAAGTACGACGAGTGATTGATAATAACGGGAATATAAGGATAAAGCCTCTACATAAACCCACTAGCCTAATTCGGATTACGTGGTATATCATGCATTTTTCGCGAAGATGAAATCAACTCTTTTTTTTTTTTTCGAAAGTAAATTTCATACATCCTGCTTCACCCGCCTAGAACAGACCGACATTTGATCACGGTCAGTCTGGTTCTAAAATTAACAGGTCTTCTCGTGTTTTGCCAAGAGGCTGTCAATGAGGCACGCGTACGCACCGTGCCAGTCGGGTTCTCGCGTAGGTTTTTTTTTCAAACGGACGAACTTCGTTTCCCACGGTCCGAGATGCCGGTTTTCTAAGTAGCGTCTGCGGGTTTTTTTTGTCATGGACGCGGTCGGGCCGAGCCGAGTCCGACTGATCGAAACTGGGCGTACAGTATACGCAAAACGAGCGAGGAATACGCGATGTTAATGGCATTAATTCGGTAAATCCGCTATTGGAAAATGTTCGAAATGAACGTTGGTTTTGTACGAGGGGTTTCTTAACAAGTCGGACGTTCTTCGAGAAGGAATGGAAGAGATAAAAATAGCATTTAAAACCACTTTTGTCTAATTAATATTGATGGAAAGATAGTTAATTTGATAGGATTAATATTTGGGTTCTGGTCTAACATGCGGTCTACTTGGGTCAAGCTTCCATACTAGACGGTCTAATTATTACTTATATGGATTCATATTTATTATAGTTTCATGATATAATTTTATGCGGTGTACCGGAATTCCGAACCAAAATATGTAAATTTAAATTACCCTCAATTTCTACCGAAATTTCCTACAGAAAAATAGCAATACTTAATTGATTTAATTTCTACAAAACGAGAAATTTGGAAATATAGATATGTAATATTTTAGTGAACGTGGAAAAGTAATTTTAGTATATAAAAAACAATAAATTTTGCAAGATACAAGTGCTAAAAAGTAGGTGCAAGCGAAAATTATTGGCGTTGTTTTAAAAAGTATTTCGATGCAGGGTAGAGTAAATGGTAGGCAGTAGAGAGTAGAGGATTGTGCGGAACTCATGCGTGGAATTAGTGTAGATGCAGGTAACAAAATTTTTGGCGCGGAATTTCGGTATCGAATTACATCAAATTACTCGTCCTGTTATCAAATTGTTATAGGTTTTTTAATTATGTGTATTGACGTTTCCAAAATTTAATAAGCCTATTTTAAGGGCTAATGGAAAAATTATCGTTTACGTAAGCGATCAGTTCGGTGTAAAAGTTATTTGCTTAGAATTAGCTACATAAAAACTGTTAGATATCTGGCTCGACCAATATTTGATATTAATCATTTTGAATTTAATTTAGCACCAATCGCTCTAATGAGCTCTATTCAATTTGATTCTTCCAATTAAGTTAATTTGCGGTATATTAGAAAATATATGATTAAAAAATATATTTATACCTATTTCGAATTTGGAAACAACACTATAACATATTGTATTGTAAATGAATGGCTTAAATCATATTTTACACGCGCCTTGTTATTTGTAAGTTTTTATGCAAAACATACTGTATAATATTTTTGAATGTCGATAAATCCACCGACAGGAAGCATATAGTAATTTTAAAATATTCTTTTAGGCGACAGTTATTAGAATAAGCAATGATTAGTCAGTTATCAATGAATAAAATAACGATCAGTATGTAACATATGTATTACAATATCTCTATAGTTGATTTTTATGCATTTTATACTTCTTTTTCGATAGATACTTATTAATATTTTATCAACTTAATAATTTGGTCGCGCCCATTTATTTTAATAACATCTACAATTAAATAATAAGTTTATCAGTTGTTTATGAAAAATAAAACTGTCTATACACAATGGTTCGCTTTACACAAAGCTTATTTTGAAATTACACCGAAAGCTCCGTAAAGCGGTCGTTTCGACTAAGCTTCCAGTGGATTATTCGGAGGAAGTGACACGTTTTAGGACCGTAACTAAACGCATCCCTTTTGCCCCGAAGCATTTCTAATGTTCTGTTTTACCACACAAATCGCATCGGCATCAAACAAAGCGACTTGCCGAAGACAAATTTCGGTAAACTCTCGAAAATGCCTTGACCGCAACTACCAGATGCCTTTATGTAAACAATTATTTCTGGGAATGCTTCAATTGAATGACTAAGGACTCGCCGAAACAGGTAGGTGCCTTTACGATACTGTAAATATCGACGTTGTTAAAATCTCATTTCATACGTATTAAGGCGGAGATTGGAGAAGCGTAAAGAAGTCGGCGACTTCGCAGAAAATGAAGAAATTTTTCCAAACACGTCGAGTGGCCGGTAAGCGGTTTTAATTACCCGCGGCTTATTCCCAACTTGGGTTAAGCCGATGATGAAACACCCCGTTCGTTGCGTATAAAATTACATGCTAATACTGCTGTTAACCAAATCGGCTTATCTACCGCACTGTCGCATTGCCCGACTATAAGTCGTCGAAATTTTATGCGTAATGTTTCGAATTATTTAAAAATTCACGTTTTGTTTTGCGCGAAAAAAAATCGTGTTAATGACGTAAGTACGTATCAAAATCCTAAAGTAAATTGAGATGTTTGAAGGCGAAAATTCCCAGACGCGGGTCAACAAATTCGCCAATGAAAACAAGGATGATTGGCGCGAGTTTTTTTTATTTGCGTTATCAGTGTTGTTAAATAAAACACTTAATTTTATTACAATTATGCATAAATTAGACCAAAAACCTCGAGTGATAATGAAACTGTTAAAAAGATAAAAAAAATCAAAAACGCATTTCCATAAAAATTTTCAATTAAAAAAGGAATTTTGAATTTAAACATTTAAATCAAAATTATCTAGAATATAAGAAATTTGTAAATATCTCTAGAAACCTATGATACATAAATTATTCGTAACCAAAAAAGTACTTTTTTAGAAGTAAGTGCAAAAAGACCTAAAATTTGTTAAGAAGGTAATGATATCAAGAACTAAAATGCAATCAAATAAATTGAATAAAGCAATAAAATGTCAGTTCTGTTCTTCAATAAAAGATCCATCATAATATAAAGCCATTACTATTAATATAACGTAAAACATAGGTAGGTAAACAGAATTAACATGTTTGAATAACATTTGATTAGAAAAATTAAATCTGAATCCAATTAAACTAGGTAAATAATTATTACATCAATATACAACATGTAATATATTTGAATAGACGCTAAATGCAGTTGAAGATTAAAATTTTATAAGTAGGTAATTAAAGCAAATAATTTCGCGCTATAAATTTGCATTATCCTAAAAGCGCCTAAATCGCCTAAGGAGCCCATATACTAACTAACATGTACGTATCGTAATTTGTATTTATCATAATAGAAAAAAAAATGTAAAATCAACGCACGTTCCTGTCACGCTTCACGCTAGTCATGTTCAAATCGAAATTAATATACACGATACGAATAAATAAAATTAATTTAAAATGTAAACAATTTATCGACGATTGCGGATGTAAGTGTAATATGTAGTAGGTACACTATGGGTTTTCCCATATCGCCGGATCCAAATTCATTGAGACCGAACGTAATTAATTAATCGAAAATAGGAACTGACCCTTCGATTGTCGCTTATCCTCCTTACTCCGGTATTCCCCTCCGCTGGTACTAAACTAGGCGAACTAGGCAAACTAGGCGTAGGGGAAGCACTGGCCGGTTGAATCATAGTCGCAGCGGACGAAGCGGACGTAGTAGTAACCATATTTACTATGAGCACAACTTCACCACTTAATAGTTTACTACCTACTAATGTCGTATAAATGCTATACACTACGTAGCGACCATCTCCGGGTAAAGGCTGTGTTGCCGGATTTGGTTTCGAAAACGATCGGAAGATTAAATAACGCTCCTTCTGTAATCTGTAAACGTAGTTTTTTTTGGAGTTTTTGTTTGAAATTAGTAGCTAAAATCGTTACACAACTCGACACTTTTGTTCTTTTTGTATAGCTCAATTTGAAATTACTGCAGAGTAATTAGTGTAAGATTAACAGAGTAATTGCGAGTCGTTAGTTTCCTATAACAGTTTTATCAAAGTAACTACCTAATTGATGAGTAGTTTAGTTTACCAAAGTAAGAATAGTTTGGTTTCATATCAATTATTTAATCTTATCTCTCAGCTTCCTGATTGATCCTATGACCATTTTAATCAACTTTTAGTTTTCACAATTAGTGAGCCTAATTCTTCATTTTCTAAATTAAAGTTGTTTATGAAAACTATTAGCAAAACATTTTTTGCATGTTGAAATTCATTATCAATGTTACTTCTCCTTAAATTGTCTTAATTTGGTCCATTTTATACTTTATTTTGCTAAGAACTTGTTGTACGTGAATTAATGATTTCTCTATCTTAAACTAAAATTCTATACTTCCTCATACTATCATAAAGTCATAAAGGGCTTTCTGCTTTAATTCATTTCAACAAATTGACTTATGTATCTCTTGAAACTGAACTACCTATTGAACTGATTATATTAGAAAATCTAGTAATGCATTTATATTTAATCTACATTTGCTACTAACTTAACCATTTTTATATGGTCAATTTGATAGATTACAAAATGTGAGAATAAAAATAGCTTCTAGGTAGTATTACACCCATAAAAGTTTACTGTATTAAAAGGAAATTGTGTATAACTGGCAACGTCGAATCGATTCTACCGACAAACCGCCGACGAGAACTGAATACTGCCGCATTGCAAAGTTATGCGAGAAAAATTGGTCCTTCGTGGTTGTTTCACGCAGCATCCCATCGGATACAACGTTGTCACTTTTTCCACGAATATAGGGGCCTGTTTCAGTATAATAATTTAACCAGCCCTTACTAAAAAAATGTAAAAATTTCCAAACACCAATAAAACTATACTAAATACATTGGGCCTTAAATAGTACCTAGTCATCTTTAGCCTTCATTGTACACTCCACATTTCCTTTTAACCGCGTTTTCCCGCTCCCTATTTGATTAATTTGATATGAGGTGCTTCCCCGTGACTCGGCAACGCGTACGGGACATCAAATTCGGCATATTCCCATACACTTTCGACTCCTCTCGTAGCCAATCGTCTCCGGCGCAGGGCAGGATTTCGCTAATTTCAGTTTCCCCTTTGTATACTCACCTATTAGCGAATAATCAGCCCTATTCGTCGCGTTTCGTACGAAATTGAAACCGTTCGAGTTCGTCGAGCGAGCGGAGCGTGTCCGTCGAACGATCTCCCTAAACGCCCAAGCTTTCGCATTGTTTGATTCTCAATGTCACCATGCGACAATAATGAATACTATAAGGTCATTAAAAAACGTTGTAAACAGCAACAATGATTCCAATCGGAAAGTCTAAAAACACAGAACGAGGTTTTGTTTGTAATAATTTTTTAAATCAACGAAATGTTTAGTTCTTTTTCTGTTACCCGTTTGCGGTAATTGATCGAGTCAATATGATTTTTTCCTATTGTTCCTATTCATCTAATTATTGCAAACTCGTAGAGTACATAATAGACTTCCCATTAATTTGTCACTTGAATCCATTTTTTTAGCTACAATTCAAACAGCAAGTACTTATCTATAATTCATAATATGTATGCATTGTAATTAAATACCTCAAAACTTGCCAACCATCTAATATAAATCTGTAGTGTAGTCTTTTATTGGCATACAGAAATAATTATAGCATCATTGACAATAACAATGATCAATAAACAATGTTATTAAAGTGCATAATAGTGCTCACAAGACTTTGTTATACTACCTATTCACTATTCATTAAATTAATTTAATTAAAATTTTAGTATTTGTAGATGCTGGAGCGTGCTTTGACTTATTAAACACAAAACTTTAACTAGTAATGCTCATAGCAAAAAGTTTTAGAATGTTATAAGGGTATCAACAAATTTTAAAAATAATGAGAATCAATAAAATTTAAGCAAATAATCGCATTTAAGTGGAAGATATCTCCGCAGTTAAAACCATCATCGTTTAAAAAAATTCAATTGACTTGTTTTATCGACTCCCAAACCGGGTCAACAAAATTCCGATATTTTTTATCACGCCGCGCTCGCCGATAACCGGCGAAATTTCAAATATTTGAACATGGAAAAACTGGTATCGAATGCTGAAAAATACGCCGGGTCCTTTTCATTCCGACGTCGTGCTTCATTCATTTGATTCCTGATTCCAGTTGTTTTTTTTAACGATTCCAGCAGACCGCGCGCATCGATAACGATCATAAACTTAATAACACGTTCGAGAGTTTCTAAAATGATCCTGCAGCATCGCCGTCTAGTAATCGACTATCCGATACCATAAATATCATAAACGCCATAGAATTCCCACTAATTTGTCGCTAGGCATTCAGGAAAAAGAGTCCTGCTCTGCGCGCCGTCGGTATGCGATAGCCGGGCTCGGGGGCTCGGGCAGCAGCAGAAAACAGAGAAGCAAAGCAGGTCATAACAGCGGCAAAACAACCACCGACCAGCGATAGTCGCTTTTCCTGCTGAGCCGAGGCCGCCCGCGATTTACCAGCAATCGCCTGGCCCTCTACAGGTGGGTGGTGTAATCACGTCTCGGGACGAAGGACGATAACGCCGTTGCCACGTTTCCACCGCCATTTGTCAGGGATTCGAACAGGAACATTTCAATGTTTCCTACCATTATAAAGAACAACTTTAATGCAAGCTTAAGATTCGTTAGAGGTTCAAGATATGGCTCCACAAAAAACTAATAGAGTCTTGAAGATAATACTGAAGAGATCAAACTGAATTAGAGATGAAAATTGTACCAGGTGATTGTATGTAAATTGGCACTGAGAAAGATATCCAAAAGAGTAGATAGAGGTGAATGCCACAAGGACTATCCAAAATGGATACTTTCCACTTTCCACCTGAAAATTGATGGATTCTAGAAGAGATTCCACCAAAGCATTGGATAAAAATATCGAAAGCAGCCCTGCACATTCTTTTTTACAATAGGAAAGTAGGTGAGCCCACTGAAAACTTCGAGTAATTAGTTTGGGATAGTTCTTCATCCAACAACCAAGAAACTTGAGTAACTTTTTGTAGATAAAATGGAGCAGTTATGAAGCAAATATGAAGATGTGAAGGCCTCCAGCGATTATAAATAGAGCTCTAAAAGAGGCGTAATCTAAAGCGGTATTCCTCAGTTGAGGGAAATTGGCGGAGACATGGCGACGGGGCGACGGAGCGAGCGATCGCGCCCGAAAAAAGAAAAGAGAGGTCGATCGGTGGTCACACGTGCCTGTGTGCGTCACGCTCACACTCGTGGGAAAGCTCCGCCCATGACCGCGGGTGGCTGCCGTTCAAAGTGCCGACCGCGTGCCTGTAGTACTCCTGTCCCGCTCGTCCCTCTCGCGGACGTCAAGGATCCGCTGATTCATGGGTATGTGTATGTAAGTACACGTCCGCGAGTCGGGCGTCTCGGACGCGGTTGCCGCTTCTTTATTTTTATCTGATAAAAATAATATGGACGCGGTTTTTTTTTTGGTTGTTGGTCGGCGGACGGTCGGGTCCGTTATGCAAGGAAAACAATGCGCACAGGATTTAAATTGTTCGGCTTGTAGGTACTTACAATATTTATGGTGATATTCGATATGTTCATTGCGGAGTCTCTTGTTATTTATGTTAGTTGAGGTGGGTTTTGAGGTTTTAACATAAAACTAGCAACATGGAAATGGGTACCTCTGTACCTCAAGAGGAAAAAAAAGGAAAAACCAAATTATAGCAGTACAAGATGGAAGTTTTATGATATAATCTTTCACATAGCTAGATCTCATCAGTCAGTCTCTACAAGTTGGTACCAATTTCATCTACATGTTTGCTCAGTGTTTTTATTTCCGTACATACTAGAGTAAGTTCTCCAAATATGGACCACCGCCATTTTAAGAAGAACGTTCTTTATATCGAGTAAATGATCATCACACACTAAGCATCACTCCTTCCTTGACTCATCTGTCGCTTGCAATGATCCAAGATGCACGCATATACCTATTAACTACAGCCTTTTTTAGTTTTCTGCAACGCGCGATCTAAATTTCTATCAAACTTTCTTAATCCAAAAAATACTATTTTATTTGAAAGTGGATAAGACCACGACGAAGGTGGGTCATGTTGCAATTAATTGTATTAAGTTCTAATATTCTATAATATTCCAATTTTCTGAAAAAAAAATAATTCACCCAAAACAAATCACTTAATTATATCACCACCTAAAAACTTGGGAGACAATCAACATTGGTGTGAATTGGAAGATTAGTTAGTCAATTATATTCTAGTAATGGAAAAATTTGGATGTGGTCCATAATATGTTCACTTTCTGAAAGTTTGTAAAAATGATATACTTTAGAAAACGTTATTTATTTCAAAGATTTTGTTTTTTTGGAGAATTTTGTTATGTTTTTCTTAATTAAATGGTTAAGGAATTTTTTAATATAAATAAAGCTGATTAAAATTTAAAATTCAACTTTTTATTGAGAAAAGTGCTTATGGTGGTGCTTATGGTTCTCATATACAGGTAGTAGTAGAGGGAAATTTGAGAGTTGATCAAAGCATGAGAAAATATTAGTGAAATATATCTTCCTTAATAGCGATTGATGCAAATGCAAGATAGATTGTTGTAGATGACCAATGGGGTTGTTATTAATCCGGAAGGCCGGCAACGCGGCGAAAAATCCTTTCGTGTTGTTATTGTCACAGACATGATCAACCAGCGAGGCAGCGAGCGAGCAGCGAACGACAAGGTCGCACGG